GGTTGCACCATATCTTATTTAGGGGCTTCATAGCAAAGGGGGTGAATACATATGCACGCACCACTTTTCCGTTATTTATTTATTGAATTTTTTTAAACAAGTTCTTTTTTTCATTTCACTTCACCAATTTGGACTATTTTGTGTATGTCCATTACATGAAATCCAAATAAAATAAATTTAAATTACAGGTTGTACTGCAACAAAATAGGAAAAACGACAAGGGGGATGAATACTTTTGCAAGGCACTGTTTGCACCAATGAAACGGGCAGTGTTAACTTGAGTGACAGTGTCTTGGTCCAATGACCACCTTTCCTTTTGTAACATAGCTAGGTAGATAGCCAATGAGCTGGGCTTTCATGAGTATGTGATCGCTCTTTGTAGGACAAATGGCTGTTATGCTGGAGCTCTGCGTAAAACGATTAATTCTCAATTGAAAATCAACAGGACGCAGGGATGTTTACGTTACGCAGCGGTTCGCTTTCTTCTACACACTTTTCTAATAACTGAAAAAGTACAACATGGCTACTTAGAGTGGATAAGCTAAATCTAAGTCCAAGTATACAAATTGGGATGAGATTATTGCAGAAATTGACCGGGAGAGTGACACAGAACAATGGATGAGGAGTTCAGCACGCAAAAAAGATTTTTGGAAGAAGATACTTTTAGATCAGTAAGTAAATACCTTTTTTGCTTCTCATGCTAATGCAGTTGTTTAAATGGTTGCATATTAATTTGAGATATTTTTATTTGATTTCTATTGATATATATATATAATACACTGCTCAAAAAAATAAAGGGAACACTTAAACAACACAATGTAACTCCAAGTCAATCACACTTCTGTGAAATCAAACTGTCCACTTAGGAAGCAACACTGATTGACAATAAATTTCACATGCTGTTGTGCAAATGGAATAGACAACAGGTGGAAATTATAGGCAATTAGCAAGACACACCCAATAAAGGACTGGTTTTGCAGGTGGTGACCACAGACCACTTCTCAGTTACTATGCTTCCTGGCTGATGTTTTGGTCACTTTTGAATGCTGGTGGTGCTTTCACTCTAGTGGTAGCATGAGACGGAGTCTACAACCCACACAAGTGGCTCAGGTAGTGCAGCTCATCCAGGATGGCACATCAATGCGAGCTGTGGCAAGAAGGTTTGCTGTGTCTGTCAGCGTAGTGTCCAGAGCATGGAGGCGCTACCAGGAGACAGGCCAGTACATCAGGAGACGTGGAGGAGGCCGTAGGAGGGCAACAACCCAGCAGCAGGACTGCTACCTCAGCCTTTGTGCAAGGAGGAGCAGGAGGAGCACTGCCAGACCCCTGCAAAATGACCTCCAGCAGGTGTCATGTGCATGTGTCTGCTCAAACGGTCAGAAACAGACTCCATGAGGGTGGTATGAGGGCCCGACGTCCACAGGTGGGGGTTGTGCTTACAGCCCAACACCGTGCAGGACGTTTGGCATTTGCCAGAGAACACCAAGATTGGCAAATTCGCCACTGGCGTCCTGTGCTCTTCACAGATGAAAGCAGGTTCACACTGAGCACATGTGACAGACGTGACAGAGTCTGGAGACGCCGTGGAGAACGTTCTGCTGCCTGCAACATCCTCCAGCATGACCGGTTTGGCGATGGGTCAGTCATGGTGTGGGGTGGCATTTCTTTGGGGGGCCGCACAGCCCTCCATGTGCTCACCAGAGGTAGCCTGACTGCCATTAGGTACCGAGATGAGATCCTCAGACCCTTTGTGAGACCATATGCTGGTGCGGTTGGCCCTGGGTTCCTCCTAATGCAAGACAATGCTAGACCTCATGTGGCTGGAGTGTGTCAGCAGTTCCTGCAAGAGGAAGGCATTGATGCTATGGACTGGCCCGCCCGTTCCCCAGACCTGAATCCAATTGAGCACATCTGGGACATCATGTCTCGCTCCATCCACCAACGCCACGTTGCACCACAGACTGTCCAGGAGTTGGCGAATGCTTTAGTCCAGGTCTGGGAGGAGATCTCTCAGGAGACCATCCGCCACCACATCAGGAGCATGCCCAGGCGTTGTAGGGAGGTCATACAGGCACGTGGAGGCCACACATACTACTGAGCCTCATTTTGACTTGTTTTAAGGACATTACATAAAAGTTGGATCAGCCTGTAGTGTGGTTTTCCACTTTAATTTTGAGGGTGACTCCAAATCCAGACCTCCATGGGTTGATAAATTTGATTTCCATTGATCATTTTTGTGTGATTTTGTTGTCAGCACATTCAACTATGTAAAGAAAAAAGTATTTAATAAGATGATTTCATTCATTCAGATCTAGGATGTGTTATTTTAGTGTTCCCTTTATTTTTTTGAGCAGTGTATATAGACCTGAGGTATACACTGTATTAGCGTAGCCTATATGTATGTTATGTTAGCTATGACATGCTGTGGCTGTGGTTTTTGAGGGTCTTATTGCCTATTGGTCCACATATTCCATTATAGTGATTGTGTTCCCCATACTCTATATAATATATATGTTTATAGATATGTGTTGTGTATTTGATGTATTGATGCAGGGCTCATCCCCTGCTAAAATAAAGGTTAAATAAAATAAGTAATAATAAACTTGTGTTGTAATTGATTAAAAAAATAAATAATCCTTAATAGTGGTAGAGACAGATGACCTCTGAGAGCAAACTCCAAAGAGACCACTTTCAAGTCCTCCATCCACAACTCATTCAAACGTAGGAACGGGTTCCTCCAGTCTGACCCCTCTGCTGTTTCTGGCTCCACACCCACCCCGGCCCGGCCATCTACAGGTGTGAAGGTTAGTACCTTTTATGTAGACATTAGTACCTTTTTATGTAGGGCGCTAATGATCCATCAAACTACCAGCCTTCCAGGACACCTACAGCACCCGATGTCACAGGAAGGCCAAAAAGATAATCAAGGACAACAACCACCCGAGCCACTGCCTGTTCACCTCGCTATCATCCAGAAGGCGAGGTCAGTACAGGTGCATCAAAGCTGGGACAGAGAGACTGAAAAACAGCTTCTATCTCAAGGCCATCAGACTGTTAAATAATCTTCACTAGCACATTAGAAGCTGTTTACATATCTTGCATTACTCATCTCATATGTATATACTGTATTCTATACTGTTCTACTGTATCTTAGTCTATGCCACTGACATTGCTTGTCCATATGTTTATTTATATATTCTTAATTCTGTTGCTTTACTTAGATTTGTGTGTATTTGGTATATGTTGTGAAATTGTTCGATATTACTTGTTAGATATACTGCACTGTCAGAGCTAGAAACACAAGCATTTCACTACACCCGCAATAACATTTGCTAAACACGTGTATGTAACCAATAAAATTTGATTTGATTTGATGACATTCCTGGGAGTGTGTACACTTTTGAATTTTTTATTACCATAGCATTTTTGTATGTTCTATATAGTTATGTACTTGAAAATGTATAAATTGACCAATTCGGCCACATTTGGGCAAACTCGTGATGGACACATCGGAGACGTCATACAAAATCTTATGTAGCTCTCTCATTCTTTAATGTATCAGTCTGAAACTTTTGCGACACTTGCTTCAGGTCCTGAGCTACAGGCAGTTAGATTTGGGTGTGTCATTTTAGGCGGAAATTGAGATGAAGGGTCCTATCCTCAAGAGGTTTTAAGGAACATCGAAGTTCAGCAGCTGGAAGCAGCCACATTGTTACCGTGATGAAACAAAATGAATTGTGGGAATTTGAGATTTAATTGTATCACTTATATAAAAATCTGATTATATTTTATAAAATGTTATGATATCTCATTGGCATAGCAATAGTTTTACACTACTCTCCTCCATTACTTTCCAACACCCATACACACACAAAAATATGTATGCACGCATGACTGTAAGTCGCTTTGGATAAAAGCGTCTGCTAAATGGCATATTATTATTATTATTATTTATATTCTCTGACTGAAATACACCGGTACAGGAACAACGTCATGAGCAATTTAGGGTGTGTTCGTAAATTCACTCTGGAGTGCTCATGGGTGTTCGTAAATTCAGAGCGTTGTCAGATTGTCCATTGGTAATTTCTGAGCGTTTTGCTCTCGGAGCATTCAGAGCGCACATTGGACGCTCTGGCCGGGGAATAGGGTTGATCCGAGCGTTCTGACCTCACAATGGCAGTCAAGCAAGGTTGGTTAACTTGCTAGCTATTTCCAGACACAAATGAAGAACACCTCACTCTGACCATTTTACTCCCCCTAGCAAGGCTGGTTAGGCTGTTTTCATGTTATCTAGAGTGTTTGTGACTAACTGTGATGCTGGCAACAATTGAATTACCCTCTTTTGCCGACATTTACTGACACCAGCCATATTCAACGGGCGTTGAGCGTTCGTAAATTCATCAGTTATTCTGCGCTCTGCCACACTCAGATGAGAGTGCTCTGAAATTGGAGTAGATAGCCAGAGTGAATTTATGAAGTCGCCATTCATTTACAAGCGTTATTTTATCTCGTTTGTCAAATACATAAAAAGTAAACATATTTTTCTTTAATAGTAGCAGTCGTTATCGTACCGTATAAAATGTAAATATTTTTTTTTTTACAAAACAGGTCTGTGTAGGGATCTGAATAGACATTTAAATCCAACTGAAGGAGTTTTGTTTTTGTTTGACATTCAGTGTAGTATCGGGAATTTGGATAGTGTTTTTTTGTTTTTGGTAATTAGTATGAATTTTTTCATTCAAAACATTTTGTTTTTGGGGTATTCTTTACAACCCCATACAGTAGGTGGCGGCAATACACCGTATGAGTGTAGTCTGCCAATAAACCTTGAAGAAGAAGAATTACAAAACAGCTTCCACTAGAGACCAACAAAAAGTCGGAACGTTTGTACCTAGTATGTGTTTCAGTCCAGCGGAATTGTTGTGAAACTCATAGCACACCAACGCCGCAAGAAATTTATCGCCTTACTGACAGATTACTCTGTTTTGTAAAGCAGAAATATGTCCATATTTACACCAACAAACCAGATCCGACTCACAAATGTGGCGGTGGTGAGGATGAAAAAGGGAGGAAAACGATTTGAAATCGCCTGCTACAAAAATAAAGTGATGAGCTGGAGATCTGGAGCGTGAGTATTTAAGGAATTTAGCTGATAGCTAGCTAGCAGCAAGAAGCTAGCTAGCTAAATCTATCTGTTTGATACCCACCGAGGCATATAGCAAACACTACCATTATGTCAGACAAATGATAGTATGTTTTCATCTTTGATGTATTTCTAATTAGCTCCGAATGTAACTAAATAATGTTTAAACAATATGTGCTGTTTCGGAGGAGCAAGTCATGACCTATCACTGGCCTTGTATCGTGCATCATATTCTTACCCAGGGCCGAGAGGCTGTGGAATAATGGGGATTTGAGGAACAGTCTAGGTGCCATGTGTTTTGCATCACTGATTCTTTGGACTTTGAAGCACCTACACCTGGCATCTTTTGAATAAAAAAATGGGACCTCCCTCAGAACCAAATCCAGTAGCTGGTCAGAGTTCACACAATATTTGGTTTTAGGTTGTAGAGATTAGCCTTACAATCACTATAGGTATTGAAAGCATCATCTAGCACAGTGCTTCTATTTTTGCCCTAGCACTATTCACCTGATTCCACTAACCAACTCATCGTCAAACCTTTGATTAGTGGAATCAGGTGTGTAGTGCTAGGGCAAAAAAATTGCACCCCTTTGGATCCCCAGGACCAGGATTAAGAAACGGTGATAGCAAAACCCCATGTAAACGCTTAATACATTTCCATACCATTTCCATTTGCCAATTACACAGAGAGAAGGACCTGGATGAAGTGTTGCAGACCAGCTCTGTTTTCAATAATGTTTCTAAGGGTCAGGTTGCCAAGAAAGATGATCTGTCAAAAGCCTTTGGAACAGATGACCTGACCGAGATATGCAAACAAGTAAATACATTGACAAATACAAACTAACACCAGTAACTAATATTAAACTCACATTCAACATTATGTATTGCTGTTAGATTTGCCTATTCTGTATTGCTGTTAGATTTGCCTATTCTGTATTTGTCTTTTCTTTGTCGGTCAGATTTTAGCTAAAGGAGAACTCCAGGTTTCAGACAAGGAGAGGCAGAGCCAGTTGGAGACGAGTTTCAGAGACATTGCGACCATCGTGGCGGAGAAGTGTGTGAACCCAGAGACCAAGCGACCATACACAGTCAACCTCATAGAGAGGGCCATGAAGGATATCCACTACTCTGTCAAGGCCAACAAGAGCACCAAGCAGCAGGTATGGCTGGGACATAGTGTTGTTGCTACAGTACACTCTGGAGCCTAGACATTGTGGTAGAAATATTTGACTCAAAAGTAGTCAACTCAAAAATATCTCAAGAAACTGGAGCTTGTGAATCCAAAAATTAGACTTTATTATTATGTAACAAAGCCGAGGTGCTCCATGGAACATCTACTCTCCTTGGCTCAAAGCTTTCCTTTTATCCAAATACAAATGCATAGTCATCCTTACATTGAATATACAGTTACTCCCCTTAGGGTAAATTATTAACTTATTTCATGGCCACACCACCCTTATCTCTCAACGTCTAGATGTCACATGTTGTTTTCTCCAAAAAGGCTATGTGAACTTTTCCAGATGAGACCTCTTTCCCTTATACAAGCAGTGGCAAGATGTAGCCATACATTATTCCCTTCAAATGTGAGGAGTTTGATCTCTCATATTAAACATTCTTAACATGTATGTTGTTTAGCTATATAAACCAGGATACTTACATGGATGGCTTTCAGTACATACCAACTAATGACAGTCTTTGTCATGCTAATGCCCCATGAATCTAACGGCTGTTTGTTTGTCCCTAGGCTCTGGAGGTGATCAGGCAGCTGAAGGATTCCATAGAAATCCAGAGGGCTCACATGAGGCTAAGGCTGGTCCTGCCGGCCAAGGACGGCAAGAGGCTGAAGGAGAAACTCAAACCCCTCCTCAAGGTGGTGGAAAGTGAAGACTTTGACGACCAGCTGGAGATGGTGAGAGACAGATCCCTCTGGTCAACACTGTGGGGCTGTAAAGCACATGTGTCAAACTAATTCCACGAAGGGCCGAGTGTCTGCGGGTTTTCGCTCCTCCCTTGTACTTGATTGATTAATTGAGGTCACTAATTAGTAAAGAGCTCCCCTCACCTGGTTGTTTAGGTCTTAATTGAAAGGAAAAACCAAAAATCTGCAGACACTAGGCCCTTCACGGAATGAGTTTGATACCCCTGCTCTAAACTGAAATGGTTATATCTTATCTAGACATGATACCCAAACGAATATGTAATACATTGTATATGCTATGAGTGGTAAATAGTTCAAGTAATGCAACAACAACAACTCTCTCCCTCCCCCTCTCTATATATATTTCTCTCCCCCTCCCTCCATCCTCCAGGTGTGTCTGGTGGACCCAGGCTGCTTCAGGGAGATAGATGAGTTGATCCGCTGTGAGACGAAAGGTAAAGGTTCCCTGGAGGTGCTCAGTCTGAAGGATGTGGAAGAGGGAGACGAGAGGCTGGAATAGCCTTCACACAGAGCCCTATAGGACTACATACATACACTATCTTGCCACACAAACTGCAAACCCATAATTAAAGAGACCGCTATTTCTAATACCAATGGAGCCCTTCTTATTTCCAGACTCTGTATATTTAAATATATATATTTTCCTGCCCTAAATACAACTACTGGATGTATAGTCTCTCGTGACTGCTGATTTGTTTCTGGGTGCCGAGATTACTGGATTTATAACCTCTTGCAAGTTGCATGATGCTTTAGCGCGGAGGTTGGTGGAAACCTGTGCTCAAATATTGAGATGCTCTGTATTTATTTAGTTTACAAAACAAGTTTGAGTCTTGTCAGGTATTGACCAGTTTTTCACTTCATATTATGAGTTTTGACAAACACTGACAGAACATTTTCAATCATTATATTGACCCATTTCCGGCCGTGTCATGAAAAGTTGCATGCGCATGAAAGGGGATTGTTTACATGGAAGTGGATAGGACAACATGTGATGTTAAATGCAGCTTGTGCAAGTTAACAAACGTGGAATCCGATGGTTAACATCTACAACATCGCAGATGTCATCGGAGGGTTGATTTATCTAGAAAAATATCACAAATGGAGCTAGATAGATAAAGCCAGAAGAATAATATACTTGTTGAACATAGCTATAGCCATCAGTCTTGTGTTTTCATGGTCATCACTCACTGCTAAGTTTGTCAAGGTCCCGACATCGGTGTATAGCTATCTGCCACAGGGCTTTTTGCTGCGAGCATGCACGTGCACAACTCGAATGTGACGTTTGCTTATAAACAGAAAATGGCTCTATATAATTGAATGAAGTAATTTTTATGAGTCAACTTCTACTCAAGTAATTAATATGGTTTTGACCCTGCCTTTCATTTTACCAAGTGTGCCATTTCACCATGTTTGAAAAGTCATTTTATTATGAATAGTTCATTTAACCACTTAATTTTTTGTTATTTTTCAAAATTAAATGAGTCTTTCCTTATAAACAATTGCAAATAAAAACGTAATAATCTATTTCATCTATTTCATTGTTTTTATTAATTATTTTGTGATTTAATCCCAAGTTTATGCAGGTAAAGTGACAATATCAAGAATTTATGTTACTGACATTATTCAAGAGCAGAAATTGTACCATACCATAATTGTACAGTGCCTTCAGAAAGTATTCATACCCTTTGACTTATTCCACATTTTGTAGATCGTTTTTCTCACCTATCTACACACATTACCCCATAATGAAAAGTGAAAACATGTTTTTAGAAATGTTTGCAAATGTATTGAAAATTTAAATAGAAATATCTCATTTATTTAAGTATTCACACCCCTGAGTCAATACATGTTAGAATCACCTTTGGCAGCGATTACAGCTTGTGAGTCTTTCTGGGTAAGTCTCTAAGAGCTTTGCACACCTGGATTGCACACTATTTTCTAATTATTATTAAGATTATTCAAGCTCTGTGAAGTTCGTTGTTAATCATTGCTAGACAGCCATTTTCAAGTCTTGCCATGGATTTTCAAGCTGATTTAAGACTAAACTGTAACTAGGCCACTCAGGAAAATCCAATGTCGTCTTGGTAAACAACTCCAGTGTACAGTATACTTGTAGTGGTCCTCTGTTCTGTAGCTCAGCTGGTAGAGCACGGCGCTTGTAACGCCAAGGTAGTGGGTTCGATCCCCGGGACCACCCATACACAAAAAAATAAATAATGTATGCACGCATGACTGTAAGTCGCTTTGGATAAAAGCGTCTGCTAAATGGCATATTATTATTTATATTATACTTGGCTTTCCGTTTTAGGTTATTATCCTGCTGAAAGGTCAAATTGTCTCCCAGTGTCTGTTGGAAAGCAGACTGAACCAGGTTTTCCTCTAGGATTTTGCCTGTGCTTAGCTCTATTCCGTTTCTTTTTATAAAAAACAACTCCTTAGACCTTGCCAATGACAAATATATCCATAACATGATGCAGCCACCAACATGCTTGAAAATATGAAGAGTGGTACTCAGTGATATGTTGTTGGATTTGCCCCAAACATAACGCTTTGTATTCAGGACATAAAGTCCATTTCTTTGACACATTTTTAGCAGTTTTACTTTAGTGCCTTATTGCAATCAGGATGCATGTTTTGGAATAGTTTTATTCTGTACAGGCTTCCTTCTTTTCACTTGGTCATTTAGGTTAGTGTTGTGGAGTAACTACAATGTTGTTGATCCATCCTCCCTTTTCTCCTATCAAAGCCATTCAGCTCTGTAACTGTTTTAAAGTTACCATTGGTCTCATGGTGAAATCCCTGAGCAGTTCCCTTCCTCTCCGGCAACTGAGTTAGGAAGGACGCCTGTATCTTTGTAGTGACTGGGTGTATTGATAACTTCACCTTGCTCAAAGGGATATTCAATGTCTACTTTTTAAATGTTTTACCAATCTACCATTCAGTGCCCTTCTTTGCGAGGCATTGGAAAACCTCCCTGGTCTTTGTGGTTTAATCTGTGTTTAAAATTCACTGCTCGACTGAGGGACCTTACAGATAATTGTATGTGTGGGGTACAAAGATGAGGTAATCATAAAAAAATCATGTTAAACACTATTATTGCACACAGAGGGAGTCCATGCAACTTATTATGTGACTTGTTAAGCACATTTTTACTCCTGAACTTATTTAGCCTTGCCATAACAAAGGGGTTGAATACTTATTGACTCAAGACATTTTAGCTTTTCATTTATTATTAATTTATAAAAATGTCTAAAAACAGAATTCCACTTTGACATTATGGGGTATTGTGTGTAGGCCAGTGACACACAATCTAAATGTAATTTTAAAAAAATATTCAGGCTGTAACACAACAACATGTGGAAAACATCAAGGGGTGTGAATACTTTCTGAAGGCACTGTAACACTTTAATGCTTAACCCTCACCAGCAATACAAAAATTAAGCAAATTGACAACATTTCAGACCCAATTATTACAGTTGAAAGCGCAATTCACTCTCCATGTTTAGTGCTACTCCTTTACCCTTATCATAAATTCTTCAACATCTTTCAAAGTGCTTCATTGCAGTAGAATAATGACTTCTAACATTTACTATAGTACCTAGAAATCCATTCATACCTAATACATATGCAATTTAGGTAGGATTTCACAGAAGAATAGTTCATAGGTGGAAGGTTCCTCACTCAAGGCCCTCAGTGATTGCATCTTCTCATTAAGGCTGTGTTGTTTCCCGAGCATACTGGCTGTGTCTAAAAGCAGTCCTGTGGATAGTATCCAGGGGGTTGGTTGGCTCCTGCTCCACCCCAGGATAACCTGGAGGGTAACCCCCTCTTTCTGACTCCTCCTGTTGCTGGAACGTGGGGCATCTGGTACTGCGAAACCCTCCCACTACTAACATCAGAGAGAAGGAGATCCATCCTATGTACAGAGCAGGTCCCCAGTCTCTCCTCAGCACCACAGCACCCTCCAGTGGCTCGTTAGTGTGGTGGCAGGTCCAAGCAACAGGGACAAGCAGCAGTATTCCAGACAGCACAAACAACACACCGGAGACAACTTTCACCTGATTCCTCTTCGGAAACCACACCTCTCCAATGATACTGATGAGCACAGCAAAACCTCCAGCAGCTATAGAAGCCATGATCAAGCCTCTCCATGTTTGGAAGTTTCCAGAGAGGGATAACAAAGACTGGTAGAAGGAGCAGTGGAGGCTACCGTCATGGTTGAGGTCCCAGTAGTCCCATTCCAGCCACACCCCGTCCCAGTATGCCGGCAGCGTGGCTGTGGAGTTGTCCAGAGTGCCGCTGACTTTCCACAGGGGCAGACAGCGGGTGAGGATGGCGCACAGCCAGCCTGTAATGCCCAGGCCCAACGCCGCTAACTCCAACTGCCTCTTCATGACTGAGCTGAGCTTAGCTCCTCACAGGAAGAGGCCTAACAGCAGGGTTTAACCAGCTGCAGGCACAGCAGGGTGGGGTGTATGTGTGCCTGTGTGTGTGTGCCTGCCTGTGAGCGTGTTTGTGCCTGTGTGTGTCTAGCCTGTGTGATGTGAAAGCGCTCCTTCCGGATTCCTGAAAAGAAAAGGGCGTGGGGCAGCAGTGCAGCTCTACAGCTGGGGAATAAAGGGGATTCCTTCTGTTTACTGTGCCATGGTTTCACAACAATCCCTCTTTTTCAGTTTCGCCACAGCCACTAAAACAAAGATGCCACTGTGTCTTCTGTTGACTTCAGCCTCTGACTTTGTGGTCTTGTAGGAAAATGTAATTGTGAAATAAGCCTTGTGTGCCTCACCATGTACAGCATCTAGTCTTTCACACTTAATTCTGAATGCTCGATGTTCTCCCTTCTAATCAGTTTTGATACACTTTTTCCAATAAGATAAATAAAAGAGATGCAATAAAAGTAATTTAGAATCAAAATGTTTATTTATATTCGGATCAAATCGCAAATCAATCAAATAACATGCTTTGTTGCCCTCTAAAATCTATTTTCTTTGCATGCAGATTCTAGTCACAAAATAAACTGTGATAAACATTGTTACAAAACACATTACAAGTAATAACCACAGTTGAATAAGATGTAAAATACAACACAGGGATGTAAAAACAATCTGGTTCATTCAGTGGATGTACTTGTACTGTCAATAACAGTAACCTATTGATTTTCAGTGATTATCTTTCAATAACAGATATTTCCTCAGCAAACATCTTTCATGGTGATAGTGAACATTTGAATAGCTACAAGTACCTAAGTCAGACTTATTTTGTAACAAGAATTAATTAACATGATCTTATTTTTAATAACTTCCACCAAAGCTATAAAATAGTTGGAATTATTTTGCACTATGGCCTATTTATTGCCTTACCTCCATAACTTACTTCATTTGCACACACTGTATATAGATTTTCTATTTTTCTATTGTGTTATTGACTGTACGTTTTTGTTTATCCCATATGTAACTCTGTGTTGTTGTTGTTTTTATCGCACTGCTTTGCTTTATCTTGGCCAGGTCGCAGTTGGAAATAAGAACATGTTCCCAACTGGCTTACCTGGTTAAATAAAGGTGAAATAAAATAAAAAATTAATCGTTCCAGGGCAATTCTAAATGTATCAAAGTCAGACAATAGACTGCATGACCAGTCCTACAATGTACACAATTACAATGTTCTCATGGAAAAACATGCTGTGACATGTCTCTTCAGAGTGCCAACAACTGCCAACTCTATTTGCCTGAAGTTAACAGGCAAATAAAGCACTCCCCCCTCACACATAGTTCTTTATGGCGTAGCTGCTGTGAGTGGGCGTCCTAGCCAGGGTGTACCTACTGCTGGATCCATGCCTGCCCTCTCTCCCCCCTGGAGGACAGCTGGTACACAGCACCCCTCCTCCACAGAACAGGAACCCAGAGGTCACCCAGCCCACATAGATGGCCGCCCCCATCTCCTTCTTCAGCATCTCAGGGACCCGCGGGTTATAGAAGTCCCTAATGATGGACTGGGCCGTCCAGGACACAGCCACTATGGTGCTTAACCCAGCCAGGGCGAAGGTGACCCCTGCGGCCTGCACCACGCAGGCTTTGACCCTGGGATTGCTCAGGCAGTTGGTGCACCTAGCCCCCAGGAGGAAGACGAGGAACGCCAGGCAGCCCAGTACCATGCTGATGACGATGAGGCCCCTGGCCGCCTGGAGGTCAGGGGACAGGTCTAGAAGAGCGTCGTAGATCTTACACTGCATCTGTCCCGTGGTTTCAGACACACAGGTCATCCACAGGCCCTCCCAGAACACCTGCATGACCACCAGGTGGGTGCCAATGAACGCTGTGACCTTCCACATGGGCAGGGCGCAGATCAAGATGGTGCCTGCCAGGCCCACCATGGACAGGGTGATGCCCAGCTCCTCCACAGCCATGGGGGGGGGGGGGGGGGGGGGGCGCTACAGTTTGCCCAGAACTGGGGATGAAACAAAGGGAAAATAAGTATTAACAATATGCTCAACATGGCTGTTTGCTCATTCATGGCTGGTTCATACCACACATATTTTTTTCTATTTATACTTTTTTAATTTCCATTTACAAAGACAACAACAGAAAAGTTTTGGTCATTTAGTAGACACTCTTATCTAAATCAACTTACAGTACTGAGTCCATGCATTTTCATACTGTGACCTGGCAGAAGTCAAGCCTGCGGGGGGGGAGGTCAATAAGTACATGAATTCCCTTAACCAATTGTCCATGCTGAAGCACTGCAGTTTATGCACTTTCCAATTTAAAAATATTGTCTGTTTGACTGAAAGGAAGGCCAAAGCAATGATGCATTGCGTGGTTCTAAGTTGGACATTGTCCACCGTACAGTACTCCCTAACAGGCACACTACAGGACAAAGTGGGATACATACATAAAGAATTCCAGCAACATATCTACCTCAGTCCAAAATCTTTTGACGGCTGGACATTTCCAGAACAGATGCATTGGTGTACCAACCTCACCACAGCCATGCCAACACAAATATGAAAGGCTTTGATCCATATTTTTCAACCTATGAGGTGTGATATAATCCCTGTGCAAGACCTTCGTTTGAATAATTGTATACCTTACACAGTTGGATATCGATGTTGTGTTTTTCCATATTGCATCCCACTGTGCTGCGGTGAGAGATATGCCCAAGTCCTCTTCCCAACGTAACTGAGTAGGGATGTTGCTGTTTGGGGAGGAGTGGCCAATCAGCTTGTATAATGCGGAAACTGTTCCTTTCCCATTAGCAGCACCCCTCAGTTTGTTGCTTATCACACTTTTAGATCCCTTTTAGGAAATTCATTAAAAATTTGATTTGAGCTGCAAATAGGGTATAAATGCCATATCATTCAGGCCAAATTCTGCTAGAAACTCTTTCAGTGGAATGATACTGTATCTCTCACCCTTATATCCTGCCCCGTCTAAATGATGTTTTGGAGTTGCCAGGTTCTGTGTCTTGCCAACTGCAGTAAACAAGGGGTTGTTCCATATTGGACATGAAGGGAGGGATGCTCCATTGATAGATAACCTTTTATGAAGTATCTTTGCCACTTCACATGAAAACTCCAGTAGTGGATAATCTATTTTACAGTGGAAGTTGGGGTACTACCATAATGATTATATGGAGATAGATTTGCTACAGTATGTTCTGTTTACAATTTTCTCCTCTAGCCACTCACAGTTACCACGCTTTGCTTCTCACTTCGCTGCTAAAAATACATTGAAGATCTACTAAACCAGAATGGTTTAAATAGTGAATTGCCAGATTTAATTATTCAACAGTGTGCCTACAATGGACTATACAAGGTCAGTGATTCAGTCAGCACAACATTGAGATGTGATATATCTCGTTAACTTGACATGAGTTTGACTTTACTAAATAAAGTGATATACAAAACAAATTAAATGTATTCATTTCCGTGACTCTGAGCAGCGTTTCCCATCTATGTTCCTATTAGATAAACGTCACAGGATGTTTACAATGGTAGGTGGCATTGTTAGGAGGTTTGTCATAGTTTTTGTCATGTGGGGGGTAGACAGTTTCTTCATCATTTGTCGTAAAAGAACTGTGCTGAGAAAGGGCATAATGATATACCACTAGGAAGCAGTAGTGTGTCATCAGTGTATTTGATGGAGGGACATGACTGAGGTGTTGCACTATATTGCAGGTTTCTTTGAATATAATAGAAAGAGAACAAGAAACAGTGAAACAGTCATTCTGAGTGAAACAATTATGCTAAAGTTGATACTGGGCGGAATATGAGGATGATTTGATCATTCAATCTTACTGAATATTAATGGACAGTCTTTCTGTAACACTACTAAATATAATGTGACAATCAATGAGTTGATGTAAAAGTTTATCTTAATAACACAATAACAAAAACACCTAAGGCTAAGAGAATTTACTGGTGAGACAAATTAGACAAATAACTAAAGGAAGGGATTGTATTTTTCTGCATGAGAACGGCGTAACTCGAGCCCCTCTCTCTCCCTGATCGACAGATCTGATAGCATGGGAACATAACACTGCTTTCTCACAGCTTAGTGTGAACTGACTCAACTCACTCCAGTCTTTTTATTAACTCAACCATAATTGATTATTTTATTGATTTAGACGTTAAGAGTGGATTGATTGCCCCTTTACAATAATAACTGTCACAATAGACATACAGTCAAACAAAAAAAACAAAAATTGTAAAGTGGTTGTACTACTGGCTATAAGGTGAATGCACCAATTTGTAAGTCGCTCTGGATAAGAGCGTCTGCTAAATGACGTAAATGTAAATGTAAATGTAAATGTCAACCCAATGTCTGGAGGCCTTGTAATTGTATATGTTGGTCGAAAAACACATTGAAGTGATGTAGTCATTGAGTTTGAAGCCTGGGTGGAGTTCTCTGACACCAGTTCCTGTCAAACAGGTTTTCTCAGTGTTCTGTTTTAACCTCACAGACAGTATTTTATGATCATGATGAATGCATATGGAAAACAAGAACATCAGTGGGAGAACTGAATCAACACACACACCTGAAATATGAAAAGATAGTGTCATGTAATAAAAGAGACCATACAACAGTATTAATAGGTGCTGACTAATATAATTTGCAACAGTGGACTGTAAAATCAACTTCCTTTAAATGGTTGAAAATTACATTGCCATGCAATACTTTGAGAAACAAATAACATTTACACTACCGTTCAAAAGTTTGGGGTCACTTAGAAAGGTCCTTGTTTTCGAAAGAAAATAAAAAAAATTGTCCATTAAAATAACATCAAATTGATCAGAAATACAGTGTAGACATTGTTAATGTTGTAAATGGCTATTGTAGCTGGAAACAATTTTTAATGGAAAATCTACATAGGCGTACAGAGGCCCATTATCAGCAACCATCAGTCCTATGTTCTAATGGCACGTTGTGTTTGCTAATCCAAGTTTATCATTTTAAAAGGCTAATTGATCATTAGAAAACCCTTTTGCAATTATGTTAGCACAGCTGAAAATGGTTGTACTGATTAAAGAAGCAATACAACTGGCCTTCTTGAGACTAGTTGAGTATCTGGAGCATCAGCAATTGTGGGTTCGATTACAGAATCAAAATGGCCAGAAACAAATAACTTTCTTCTGAAACTCATCAGTCTATTCTTGTTCTGAGAAATGAAGGCTATTCCATGCGAGAAATTGCCAAGAAACTAAAGTTCTCATACAACGCTGTGTACTACTCCCTTCACAGAACAGCGCAAACGGGCTCTAACCACAATAGAAAGAGGAGTGGGAGGTCCCGGTGCACAACTGAGCAAGAGGACAAATACATTAGAGTGTCTACTTTGAGAAACCGACACCTCACAGGTCCTCAACTGGCAGCTTCATTAAATAGTACTCGCAAAACACCAGTCTCAACGTCAACAGTGAAGAGGTGACTCCGGGATGCTGACCTTCTAGGCAGAGTTGCAAAGAAAAAGCTATATCTCAGACTGGCCAATAAAAATAAAATATTAAGATGGGCAAAAGAACACAAACACTGGACAGAGGAAGATTGGAAAAAAGTGTTATGGACAGACAAATCGAAGTTTGAGGTGTTCGGATCACAAAGATGAACATTTGTGAGGCTCAGGCGAAATGAAAAGATGCTGGAGGAGTGCTTGATGTCATCTGTCAAGCATGGTGGAGGCATTGTGATGGTCTGGGGGTGCTTTGGTGGTGGTAAAGTGGGAGATTTGTACAGGGTAAAAGGGATCTTGCCATACCCTGTGGATGGCACTTGATTGGAGCCCATTTCCTCCTACAACAGGACAAGGACCCAAAGCACAGCTCCAAACTATGCAAGAACTATTTAGGGAAGAAGCGGTCAGCTGGTATTCTGTCTATAATGGAGTGGCCAGCACAGTCATCGGATCTCAACCCTATTGAGCTGTTGTGGGAGCAGCTTGACCGTATGGTACGTAAGTGCCCATCAAGCCAATTCAACTTGTGGGAGGTGCTTCAGGAAGCATGGGGTGAAATCTCTTCAGATTACCTCAACAAATTGACAACTAGAATGCCAAGGGTCTGCAAGGCTGTAATTGCTGCAAATGAAGGATTCTTTGACGAAAGCAAAGTTTGAAGGACACAATTATTATTTATATTAAAAATCATTATTTCTAACCTTGTCAATGACTACATTTCCTATGCATTATGCTATATTTCCTATTCAAACTCATTTCATGTATGTTTTCATGGAAAACAAGGACATTTCTAAGTGACCCCAAACTTTTGAACGGTAGTGTACATATATCTAAACAGTGGCATGTAAATACACTCATACACTCTTACAAAGAAACGTGCTATCTAGAACCTAAAAGGGCTCTTTGGCTATCCCCATAGGAGAACCCTTTTTCGTTGCAGGTAGAACCATTTTGAGTTCTATGTAGAACCCTTTCAATAGAGGGAACCGAAAAAGGTTATCATATGGGGACAGCTGAATAACCGTTTTGGAACCCTTTTTTCTAAGAGTGTAGTGTTTCCCTGGCTAAGCAATCAAAAACGTGTGCATATTTTCCTTCATAGTACACTGTCTGTGCATACAACATCCTTCCACTGGAACCTTTTCCTTCATATTCCACTGTCCGTCCATATACAGTTGAAGTCGGAAATTTACATACACCTTAGCCAAATACATTTAAACTCAATTTTTCACAATTCCTGACATTTAATCCTAGTAAACATTCCCTGTCTTAGGTCAGTTAGGATCACCCACTTTATTTTAGGAATGTAAAATGTCAAAATAATAGTAGAGAGAATGATTTATTTCAGCTTTTATTTCTTTCATCACATTCCCAGTGGGTCAGAAGTTTACATACACTCAATTAGTATTTGGTACCGTTGCCGTTAAATTGTTTAACTTGGGTCAAACGTTTCGGGTAGCCTTCCACAAGGTTTCCACAATAAGTTGGGTGAATTTTGGCCCATTCCTCCTGACAGAGCTGATGTAACTGAGTCAGGTTTGTAGGCCTCCTTGCTCGCACACGCTTTTTCAGTTCTGCCAACACATTTTCTATAGGATTGAGGTCAGGGCTTTGTGATGGCCATTCCAAGACCTTGACTTTGTTGTCCTTAAGCCATTTTGCCACAACTTTGGAAGTATGCTTGGGGTCATTGTCCATTTGAAAGACCCATTTGCGACCAAGCTGACTGATGTCTTGAGATGTTGCTTCAATATATCCACATAATTTTCCTTCCTCATGATGCCATCTATTTTGTGAAGTGCACCAGGCCCTCCTGCAGCAAAGCACCCCCACAGCATGATGCTGCCACCCCTGTGCTTCACATTTGGAATGGTGTTCTTCGGCTTGCAAGCAACCCCCTTTTTCCTCCAACATAAGGATGGTCATTATGGCCAAACAGTTCTATTTTTGTTTCATCAGACCAGAGGACATTTCTCCAAAAAGTACGATCTTTGTCCCCATGTGCAGTTGCAAACCGTAGTCTGGCTTTTTTTGGCGGTTTTGGAGCAGTGGCTTCTTCCTTGCTGAGCGGCCTTTCAGGTTATGTCGATATAGGACTTGTTTTACTGTGGATATAGATACTTTTGTACCGGTTTCCTCCAGCATCTTCACAAGGTCCTTTGCTGTTGTTCTGGGATTGATTTGCACTTTTCGCACCAAAGTACGTTCATCTCTAGGAGACAGAATGCGTCTCCTTCCTGAGCGGTATTACAGCTGCGTGGTCCCATGGTGTTTATACTTGCGTACTATTGTTTGTACAGATGAACGTGGTACCTTCAGGAGTTTGGAAATTGCTCCCAAGGATGAACCAGACTTGTGGAGGTCTACAATTTCTTTCCTGAGGTCTTGGCTGATTTCTTTTGATTTTCCCATGATGTCAAGCAAAGAGGCACTGAGTTTGAAGGTAGGCCTTGAAATACATCCACAGGTACACTTCCAATTGACTCAAATTATGTCAATTAGCCTATCAGAAGCTTCTAAAGCCATGACATCATTTTCTGGAATTGTGATACAGTGAATTATAAGTTAAATAATCTGTCTGTAAACAATTGTTGGAAAAATTACTTGTGTCATGCACAAAGTAGATGTCCTAACCGACATGCCAAAACTATAGTTTGTAAACAAGAAATTTGTGGAGTGGTTGAAAAACGAGTTTTAATGACTCCAACCTAAGTGTATGTAAACTTCCGACTTCAACTGTACCTTATACCACCAATACCTTTTGAAATGTTCATGCCGACCAGTTTGTCCCATGAACTGTCATGTTAAATGTAGGTCTTTGTTGGTGTGGAGGGGCTTGCCACAAAACCTGCTGCTTTGTTGTGACCTCCTGATGACTTGGCCAGTAGATATTTCACAGAGGGGGATTTGTCATCCTCCTTGGGGGAGCAGTTACCACAGAGGAGCCCCCCTTCCAGGAGTAGCAGGATCCCAGCCCCCCAGCTGATGTAGAGCGCAGCCCCCAGCTCCCTCCGCTGGGCATCCACCACAAGCGGGTTGTAGAAGTACTGGATGATGATACTGGCCGTCCAGGATACAGGGATGAGACACAGGATACCACTGATGATGAGCACCACCTCTGCCGCCATCATCACCCGTGCCTTGGCCACCTCCTCCACCACAAAGTTGGTGCAATTCCCCCCGGGGGAACGCCATGAGGAGGCCGGCGATTCCCACCACGATGTCCACCACGACCAGCGCTCTGGCAGCCTGCAGGTCAGAGCTGAGGGCCAGCATGGAGTCATATACCTTACACTGCATCTGGCCTGTGCTCTGGACCACACAGCTCATCCAGATGCCCTCCCAGATGGTTTGTGAGGTGACAATGTTGTTTCCGATGAAGGCTGTGACCCTCCACATGGGCACGCCGTAGACGATAATTGTCCCCACCCAGCCGAGCAAGGCCAGGGCACTGCCCAGCATCTGCATGCCCATGGAACCCATTCTGAATGCAATGTCTCTCTGTCTCTCTCTACTCGTTGACTGACTCTTTGTGTCTCCGAGTTAATATTGGAAGGTGATCAGGTGGTTATGTGCATTTCAAAAGGAGAAAGAAGAGTGTTACTGGCTGTTCCAGTTATAATAAACTGAGAGCCAGCCAAAGAATACCAGTCTTACATGATTATTTGTTGTCTGTGGACAATAAAGGTTGGAATTTCATTTAATTCTCCTTTTTGGAGATGGTAGATCGGTTTACAAAAGCTGTTATTGTTCAAACACCCTATGAGGAACGAGGATGTTGGTATGTGCCGGAAAAATCACCAGCTTGAAAGCTCAAACAGCAAAATGAACTTTCAATGGGATTTGACATTATCAGGAGAAGAGTGCGAGAGATAATCTGATCTGTTTAAAGTCATACAACATATTTTTAGAATATGCACTGTTAACTTAAGCATAATGTAATGTACAGTATGTAAAAAGTGTGTCACTGTCACAAGAAGAAGATGTGACATGTTTTGGTATACTTGGCACAAGGAATTACGATGTAGTTTCGTGGGTGATAAGGTGATACTGTTCTTAATGCTTCTTAGTTAAAGAAAGTAGGGACTATTGTCTCTTCAACAATGAAAACAAACCAGGTTCTTCCAGTTTTTCTAATGTCTGTCTGACAGACCTAAATTCTAGTATTTTTTAATCTAAACAACAATAAATTATCAAAATATCCAGTAGGCCTATACATGTTGGCCCATCTGTGCACACCATCTCTACATAGCTGGTTCTGAGAGGAAGACAGTTTAAATAGCAGAACTGTTTCACAGACAATTGTTATTTTTTTCTTATCTCACCTGACTTAAGTTGGGCATTCTTGCCCCTCAAAGATTTTGAAAACGAATTGGTGTCAATATGTCACTGCCAGTCTTTACAGTAAATGTCTCAGTGGGGATAATAGGGTAAATCTATTTCAAATCCTTAGAAGAAATCGGTGTTCTCAGGATTGTGTGACAGGGCAAAATATTTTCCTTAATTTCTTACTCGAATCAATGGGATGTTAAGTCCCACTTTCCAAAACCACTTTTGGTGTCATTCAAACAGAAGACAGCGAGGGAGGATCATCAGTAGTTCAATTCACCTAAATACTATGCTATCAGACATTTTCAGCTAAGATTTCAGCTGATAAAGGAAATCACAGTAACTGGGAGTCTATTTCTTAAAAAAGACAGTTAACACCAATGTATAAACTTTGTTGGAAACTTTTTATAAAAAAAATAAGGTTTGCAATTGAATAAGTTCTTTAGACATAATCAAGGAACATATATTGAACAGACAAACTTGGCTATTTGCAAAACATACTGTGATCTACTGTACAAAGTTATGACAAGTCAATCATACAAATATATTGTACCTATGGTTTAACTCTCAAATCATATTGTCCATGTTCTTACATGAATATCAATATTATCATTCTGGCACGGTGTCCTTATACAGTAAAAGAGAAGTTAGGGTTATGGGAATGGCTTCAATTCACTTCAGTCATCAACCCATGACTCATGAGATGATCCCTCCAGACAGCATATACAGTAGCACTACTTCTCTGTATTGTCATTTCTTATAGGCATCAGTTCTGTCTTGTCTTTTTCTTGCAAAGTTCTGAAGCACAATTTATTTTTCATAGATTCACTCTGTTCTGATTTCACATCACTTTCAAAACGTAAAATGCAGAAGAACAAGACTTGATAATACCAGTAACTTGCATGGTATTTTCAATTCACAGAGGATTACCAAAGATAATCAAATAATTTATAGTCTATTTTTCAACAGTTTCCAGCTCAAACGTAAGCTCTGCTGGTAGCTGTGGACCTTGCCTGTGAGTACTTCACTGGGTAGTTGTCACGCTCCTCCTTGGGTGGGCAGGAGCTGCAGAGGAGCCCCCCTCCCAGGATCAGGAGCCCTGCGGTGCCCCAGCCGATGTATAGCGAGGCCCCCAACTCCCTCCTCTGGGCCTCGACCAGCAGGGGGTTGTAGAAATCCCTGATGATGGTGTTGGCGGACCAGCAGACAGGGACGAGGATGAGGACGCCAGCCACGATGAAGATAATCCCGCTGGCAATGGCTACTTTAGCTTTGGAAGCCTCATCCTCCACGAAGTTGGTGCACTTTCCTCCAGCAATTCCCAGGAGGATACCAAAGCATGACGCGATGATGGCGATGACGCTCAGAGCTCTGGCGGCCTGCAGGTCCTGGGGTAAGGCCAGAAGGGAGTCATAGATCTTGCACTGCATCTGTCCCGTGCTCTGGGTCACACAGTTCATCCACAGGCCCTCCCAGATGACCTGAGCAGTCACGATGTTGGCTCCGATGAAGGCTGTGACTTTCCACATAGGCAGGGCACATACAATGATGGTCCCCAGGAACCCGATGATAGCCAGGACTAAGCCCAGCATCTGTCTTCCCATCGACACCATTTTGAAGACTTCTTGTTTTTTGTTGTAAAATCAATGAAGCTCAGGAAGAGGTTGTAGAGGACAGTCAACGCAGGTCAGCTCAGCTTGGTTGTAGTCGTTGTTAACTAATGGCTCAGTCATGTCCCCTGAAGTTATATGGATCTCTCTGCTCCTGAAAGGGAGGAGTCAAGCTCCTTACCCCTGACCTGAAACCAGATGAAATGGTAATTTTCAAGCCGGACCAGATTCTTTCACTTCCCCAATCGGTAGGTGTGGTTGACGACCGGTTTCGATGAGATGCGCATCAATCTCTTTGGACATGCTAACGAAAACGAGACCTGCCTATGTAGTGAACACCGGTTGGCTAGGTGGTTAGGCCTGTCTGCCCACTGGTTTCAGGGTAGAGAGATAAGCAGTCAACATTGCCACCTGAATTCTCATTAGTCATGGCCGGAAGTTCGAAGCTACTCCTTTTGTTCCTCGTTGTCATGATGACATTGTTTATTGCAGCTATTGTTTCCTGTAATCAAGTTGCTAATACCACCAGAATTGTGATAGCCAGAAGTAAGTTTAGGCCTATATTCAGTTTCTGTTTTCTTGGTTTTGATCCTGAAACCATTTACATTTTAGTCATTAAGCAGACGCTCTTATCCAGAGCGACTTACAGTTTGTGAGTGCATACATTTTTTCATACTGGCCCCCCGTCAGAAACGAACCCACAACCCTGGCATTGCAAGCGCCATGCTCTACCAACTGAGCTACACAGGGCATTTCTTTTATGTAATAAACCAATACATTAAATAAACACATTACAGAACATTGCCTTTAAGTCCGGTACAGATCAAAGATACCTTGATTTTAAAGAAAGCTGTTGGTAATCTAATTTAATAACCTATTTGAGTTACATTTTAGACTCTCAAAACCATCCCACTGAGCATGGACGTCAATTCAACGTCTATTCCACGTTGGTTCAACTGACCTAATTTTATTGAAATGACGTGGAAACAATGTTGTTTCAACCAGTGTGTTCCCAGTGGGATGTTTGTATATTTGGAAAGAGGAGATATGAGGTAGCTTTTGAGTAACCATGATATCGCCAAAATAAAAGGAGATTCACAGATATGTCGTCATGTAACTGAAAGATATTGATCTCTTAAAATCCTTAAGAGTCTATTGACGCACCCCATCAAAATCCATCAGTTTAAGCTAAAGATATCTTTTTTTGCATGGGCTGTGTCTCAATCCGCCACATCCGCCTATGTCGGCCTTCCGCATCAGCGGTGGAAGGTGGCCGAGCTACAGCAGTGTTTGTCAGCCCATGAGACATCCCGAAAATTGGTCTTCTCGCGAAAATGTCAGTAGCATCCAAACAGTTTGGCCTAGAATCTAATATGGAAAGATGAGACTTTCACTAACACGATGGTGTTCTCCGTTTTGCTCTACAACCCCTACAAACCCCACGGGACTCGTCTGATGTCAGTAACGCTGATGTGCCAACTTCTGTCTGTAGCATCCTAACCGTTTGGGCTACAAACTAAGTGTCACAGGACTCATCTTAAAGTAACCCATACAAATGAATATAAGAAGTATGGAGGTAGTTTTGTGGCAACAAAAATAAAGGGGTTAAATATGTGTAAAAATATATTTCCTGAGCTTTCTTATATCTCCTAGATTTAGGACAGACACTTGAAAACCTTATTCCTCAATATTTATTTTTTACTGTCTTTTTTTACATTTATGAATGTCTTATTCAATGCGCTTCTATGGGCTATAGTAGTAAAGGCCAAATTCAATATTTTTTAAAATAATTTATTAATATCTTTCTTTGATACCTAAAGGGGTCCTAAAATTCCAAAACAAATAGCTAAATGATCCATGGTATGAACATCCTAAAACAATTCCATGTGTTAGCTTAGTACCCCCCTCCCCCCAAAGGCTTAGACTTTTAGATTAATGATTTAAGGGAGAGTTTAATTCAAAATGCAACTTTTAAAACATGAATAGTAAGTTAGAAAATGCATAGGCTTTGATTATTGGTATGATTATTGCTCATAGTTCATGTACATTTGAAATTGCAGTTGTTGTTTCCAAACTTTTCCACAAAGACACATTAAGACTTCACATTATTTTATATAATATTTACAGAAAAATGTGTTGTTTTTCGTGTACAGATACATCACAAGTCATAGACCAACCAGCTATTTACAAAACAACAGTATCGGTTGCACAATGGGAGAAGAACACAGGTTGCTGCTAAAATGTCTCATAATGTTTGCATACTAGTAGTCAAGACATAAGGATTTACATTGTCAACATTTGAAAGAACAGATTCTTCCTCGTGTGCAGGTGCAAACACTCGTAAACAAAATTAATTGTATTCACGCCAAAACACTTTTGTCTATAAATTGCATGTTATTCTCATCAATAATAATATCTACATATCAATGTGGACAAAAGTACATGATATAAATACATTTTGGTGGTGCAATTACACTCTGCAGAGGCAAAGCTAAGCAAAAAACAATAGCTTGAAAACATCAAGTTTGAGAATACCAGTCAATATTCAGGGAGACCTTCCCTCTTTCCATTTCACTTTGTTACAGATACTGTCCAGGCCGTCCAGGTGCAGTGTATGCTATTGGTGCTGCATACGGCTTGTTTGGTACATACGACCATGTCCCTGAGTAGGGTCTGCTGGTTGGGGTGTAAACTCTCACATAGGGCCCTGCCTGGACCATTGGTTGGTCTGGATAGGATACATGGGCGTTCCTTGAGGATAGCCTGGGTACCCATACATCTTCTGGGGTGGGCAGGAGGTGCAGAGGATGATCCACCCGATGAGGAGCAGCGCTGTGGAGCCCCAGCCGATGTAGATGGAGGCTCCTATCTCCCTCCTCTCGGTCTCGATGGTCAGAGGGTTATTAAAGTCTGAGATAGTGAACGCCGCTGTCCAGCAGACTGGGATGAGGACCAGAAGAGCACCAATGGTTAGCCTCATCACAGAGTCGTTTATCTTACACTGCATCTGTCCCGTGCTCTGCATCACACAGTTCATCCACAGGCCATCCCACACGATCTGGCCTGTCACGATGTTGCCACCGATGCACTTGGTCACCCTCCACATGGGGATACCCGTGGTCACTGCCACCCCCACGAAGCTGATTAAGCTGTGCAGCTGGCCCGACACCTCCTTGCCAATCCTCCCCATGGCGAGAGGCTGTGTCTGGAGTGGGAGAAAGAGAAGTCTGGCTGCCTAGGTCTGGAGCTATGTGGCATGTCTAATTGATGATCAGGAAGAATGTGCAGGAGGAGTGGTTTCCTGCCACCAGGTGAGTTGTTCCGGACAGACCAGATTCCTCAGCCTGTCACACTGTAGATACTGTGTGACACTCAGACAGAGCTGACGGAGTGGTGACAATCTTTAACTCAATACTGTCATCTTCAGAAAGCTCTCTTTCATATGCGACAGGTTCAAAACAACCTGGAGTTTAGATGGTTACACTTCCTCCCACCGAAAAGTAGGTTGGGAGGTTGGTCAGGGTGGGTTATAACCCGAACGTCTAGCAACCCTAAGGTTGTGAGTTTGAATCACATCACGGACAACTTTAGCATTTTAGCAACTTCAACTACTTAGTACTTTGCAACTACTTAGCATATTAGCTACCCTTCCCTTAACCCTTTTAGCTAACCCTTCCCCTAACCTTAACCCTTTAACCTAACTCCTAAACTTAACCCTAAACCCTAGCCTAGCTAATGTTAGCCAGTTAGCTAACGTTAGCTACCTAGCTAGAATTCGAAACATATCATATGTTTTGAAAATTCATAACATATACACTACGTTTTGCAAATTCTTAACATATAGTACTAAATGTAATTCGTAACATATCATACGAAATGGGTGATGGACATCCACAAATTAATACATACCATAGGAAATGTAACATACCATACTAAATGGAAGTTCACGGAATATGAAATGCTCTGAGACCAGTTTGCAGTCAGCAAGTGGGCCCTTGAGGAGATTTAAATAGTTTTATTGGCATTTGGTTTAATTTACTTTGTGGACAATCTTACCACACTGCCTCAAGGTAAATGGCCAGACTATGTAGCCCATCCTAAACAGGCAGCTGTCCAACTACTCCACACCCATCAATCACAATTCCAGCAATGAAAGGAATCAACAGTTTGATATCACTCATTCAAATATGGAATAAAAACAGACATCTCTTGTCAATTTAAAAACTTTGAAATTAAAATGATTGGAGTAAAAACAAAAAAGTCTGTTCACAAAGGCCCAAAGCAACATTGTTAGGCTATTCAATGTTCAAAGCAAACATTTCCATCTGCTCTTGCCGAGTAGGATTTTACAGATCTCGCCACGTTTTATTTGGAGGAGTGTCCCCGATCCTGGCCTGGTGGACACTGGCTAGAGATCCTCCACCCAGAATCATTAGTCCCGCGGACCCCAAGCCTATGAACAGTGATGAGCTGAGCTCCTGCTGCTGTGTGTCAATCAGTATAGGCTTGTAGAAGTCTCGGATGATCACGTGAGCTGACAAGCAGACAGTGGCGTGTATTCATGGATGCCAAGGGAAGCCCAACAAAAATGTATATTTCGTCTCTTTGTTTCATAATTTTCCTTCAATTCGCAAGAGGCTGAATGTTTCTCACAGGAGTAAGCAATATGTAGCTAGATGTAGAAGGCTAATTAATGTTAACTAGCTAACATTGCCCATGAACGGAAGTTAGCCTAGCGAGCAAGCATTTTAGCCTGGTAGCCTAGGACAACAAAAACTTAAAGGGTGTACTGTATGACAGTGATAGACTGTTTCGTCAACATAAAAGAGAGGAGGATGGCATTGCCATTTCTCTACAAGTAGGGTGAGTCATGTTTTTCTACTTTCTACCCACGCATGCACACAGAAATCAGAACCATGGACAGCCACATCATATTTAGCTTACATTGATTGGACTAAATTGTTTTGGCTTCCCCAGTGATTTTACCCATGCACCGCTTCTGCAAGCAGACCAGGATGCCAGCGACAATGAAAAATACCCGAGATGCTGTGGCGACTGTGGACTTTGACTGTTCGTCCTCGATGCAATTGGTGCATTTGCCCCCAGCCATAGACAGCAGGATGGCAATGAGTGCGACCATGATGGAGATGACCATCAGGGGGCGCGGGGCGCCTGTAGGTCCTGAGGTAGTGCCAGCATGGAGTCGTAGACTTTACACTGCATTTGCCCCGTACTCTCTACCACGCAGTTAATCCAAAGGCCAATCACATTATCTGTGCTGTGACAATGTTGTTGCCAAGAAATGCGATCACTTTCCACATGGGAAGCGCACAGATGATAATGTATCCAAACCATCTGATCACGCCGAGGCTAATGCCCAGGATTTGCAAACAAGCTGAAGGCATAGTAGCCTACTTCTAGATGGTGCTAAAATGCCAACAGTGGTTCACTTTATAAAAGCGTGTAGCCTATGATTGTTCCAGTCGACCATGCCATGGCAAAGCACGCTTATATGCACCTGTGTAAACACAGCCAAATTCTTATTTTCCCCATCTTATTGTTTTTCAGATTTATGATCAAGTCAACATGCATCTCTGATTGTTATCAAGCATCTCACAAGTCATTCTAAATAGGTCAAGGTTTACACACCAAGCAGAGCAGAGCATAGGGGTGTATGTACTGATACTGGCTCAAATGATTTACCTCAACAGATAGATCATTCACCTCACTAATACTCCAGTCAAAGTACACATTTGAGGGATTAATTGTTGCACTTTCACAAATAAATGGATAATACAGACTGATTATATTGTACAGTTTATTTACAATGATGATACAATTGTTTTAATTACAGGAACAATGTTAAGACAGTGCCAAAATGGAGACATAACTTGATATATTCCTAACTTAATGGATTTCATTTTACATTAATGGATATCAACAGGGTACTTCAGTGGTAGAGAAAATAGGTGTTTAAAAAACAACAACATTATATTACACTTATAAAATAACTATCAGACAAGTCCTTCGAGCACAGTGTCCTAATTTAAATTCAATTTAATTAAGTAGATATTTAACATTCACTGACATGAACAACATCTACTCAACATTACAACCAACTAATTGCAGCATTACCACAAAAATGGAAGAGGCAAGTGGAAGGGAGAGAAAGTAAGGAACTTGTCTGTCGGCCCTACGTTAAAGACCGAAATTGGTTAAAGAAAATTGTGATAAATAAAAAGGTATACCAGTTTCATTTAAAGAAAAAAAAAAGAACAGTTATGCCATATAGATTGCAAAATAGTTGGGAAAAGATTTTCGTTGTACCGATTCCATGGCACATGGTTTATGAACTGATACACAAAATGACGCTGGATTCAAAACTTATGTCACGATCGTCTAATGAGGGAGTGGACCAAAGCGTAGCGCGTTGAGCGAACATGACTTTATTTAATTAAAGTGCAACACGAAAACCACAAAACAAATGACGATACGAGAAGTCCACAGTGACAACGACTGTACAGGAACAAAAACCCACAACCACAAGGTGAAAACACACAGTTTAAATATGGCTCCCAATCAGAGATAACGAGCCGACAGCTGACACTCGTTACCTCCGATTGGGAGTCATTTGACCAAACAAGGAAACACAACCAAATAGACAACCCAACCAAACAGAACACAACGAAACGAACACACCCTGGCTCAACATACAAAGTCCCGGAGCCAGAGCGTGACACTACCCCCCACTAAAGGCGCGGACTGCGACCGCGCCTCAAAAACCCCAAACAGGGGAGGGCTGGGTGGGCATTACTCCTCGGAGGCGGCTCCGGCTCCGGGCTTGACCACCACCCTTCTTCAATCCCCCCGTAGCGCCCCCGGTCCGATCTGACCCAGCTGGTAGGATCTGGACTGACGACGCGCACCCCTGGCTTGGCGCGTGAGGCAGGAACGGACCGGACCTGGCCGACGATACGCACCCTAGGCTTGATGCGTGGATTCGGAACGGGCCTCACCAGGCTGACGACTCGCACCCTTGGCTTGGTGCGAGTAGCAGGAACGGGCTGAACCAGGCTGACGACTCGCATCCTTGGCTTGGTGCGAGTAGCAGGAACGGGCTGGACCAGGCCGACGACTCGTACCCCTGGCTTGGTGCGAGTAGCAGGAACGGGCTGAACCAGGCTGACGACTCGCACCCTTGGCTTGGTGCGAGTAGCAGGAACAGGCTGGATCCGGCTGACGACGCACACCGTAGGCTCTGTGCGTGGAGCAGGAACAGGCCGGGCTGGGCTGACGACGCACACCGTAGGTTCTGTGCGTGGAGCAGGAACAGGCCGGGCTGGGCTGGCGACGCACCCCGTAGGCTTTGTGCGTAGAGCAGGAACAGGCCGGGCTGGGCTGGCGACGCACACCGTAGGTTTTGTGCGTGGGGCAGGAACAGGCCGGGCTGGGCTGGCGACGCACACCGTAGGCTTTGTACGTAGAGCAGGGACAGGCCGGGCTGGGCTGGCGACGCACCCCGTAGGCTTTGTGCGTAGAGCAGGAACAGGCCGGGCTGGGCTGGCGACGCACACCGTAGGTTTTGTGCGTGGAGCAGGAACAGGCCGGGCTGGGCTGGCGACGCACACCGTAGGCTTTGTGCGTAGAGCAGGGACAGGCCGGGCTGGGCTGGCAACGCGCACCATTAACTTAGTGCGTGGAGCAGGGACAGGCCTCACCGGACTGTGGAGACGGATAGGAGACCTGGAATGAAGAGCGGCCACAACCCGTCCCGGCTGAATGCCTACCTTCACACACTCTGTGTGAGGCATCCGCACAGGACGTACAGGGCTGTGTACCCGTACCGACATGACAGCACGTGATACTGGAGCAGGATATCCGGGACCGCGGAGAGGCATAGGAGACCACGAGCGTTGAGCCGGCACACTCCGTCCTGGCTGCATACCCCCCTTCGCACGACACGTGCGGGGTGCTCGCACAGGACGTACAGGACTGTGCCGGACCACTCGTGGCACCGTACGCTGCTCCGCATACCGCGGAACCTGCCCCGTCCCATGCTGCCATGCCTGAGTACGGGAAGTTGGTTCCGCTCTCCATCCCGGCCGAGCCAACCTGCCTTCTGGCCCCCAAAACCCGGTGGCCTCCCCTCCGAATTGCCCTGTGGCAGCCTCCTGCTGCCCAGCCGCCCAAGCCCTGTGCCCCCCCCCCAAATTTTTTTTGGGGTTGCCTCTCGTCCGTCCGACGATGGCCCTGCTGACGCCGTTGCTCCTCTCTCGCCAGGGCCTTGATCCTACCCCAAGGTCCCTTGCCCCCGAGCATGTCCTCCCAGGACCACGATTTGCCCACCTGGGCCATCGCCAGCCTCTCGATCTCCTTACCCGGCGCTTCCTCCCATGTCCAGCCTCCTTGCTCCTGGACACGCTGCTTGGTCCTTTTACGGTGGGTTTTTCTGTCACGATCGTCTAATGAGGGAGTGGACCAAAGCGCAGCGCGTTGAGCGAACATGACTTTATTTAATTAAAGTGCAACACGAAAACCACAAAACAAATGACGATACGAGAAGTCCACAGTGACAACGACTGTACAGGAACAAAAACCCACAACCACAAGGTGAAAACACACAGTTTAAATAAACCGCCGACCCAGCTTCCGGCAGGGCAGGCGGAGGGGCAGGTTTCTGGTTGAGAGCCAGACTCGATCTCCAGGTGCGTACACTGGCCCCTCACTGCGGTGGAGATCGGCGCTCGTCTTCTGTCGACGGATGGCTCGCTGCAGATGGATGTGTGCAGCGTTCCACGTCTCCTCCGAGCGCCGCACCCACTCATCCACCGCAGGGGCCTCGATCTGGCTCTCATGCCAAGGTGCCAGAACCGGCTGGTACCCTAACACACACTGGAAAGGGGTTAGTTTAGTGGAGGAGTGGCGGAGAGAGTTCTGTGCCATCTCGGCCCAGGGAACATATCTCGCCCACTCCTCCGGCCGGCCCTGGCAATATGACCTCAGAAACCTACCCACATCCTGGTTGACACGTTCGACCTGCCCATTACTCTCCGGGTGGTAACCCGAGGTAAGGCTCACCGAAACCCCCAACCGTTCCATAAACGCTCTCCAGACTCTGGAGGTAAACTGGGGGCCTCGATCAGACACTATATCCTCGGGTACCCCGTAATGCCGGAAGACGTGGGTAAATAGAGCCTCAGCGGTCTGTAGGGCAGTAGGAAGACCCGGCATGGGAAGGAGACGACAGGCCTTCGAGAACCGATCCACAACGACCAGGATGGTGGTATTCCCCTGTGAGGAGGGAAGGTCTGTAACAAAATCCACCGAGAGGTGAGACCAGGGTCGTTGTGGAACGGGCAGGGGTTGTAACTTACCCCTGGGCAAGTGTCTGGGCGCCTTACACTGGGCACACACCGAGCAGGAGGAGACATAAATCCTCACATCCCTGGCTAACGTTGGCCACCAGTACTTTGTGCTAAGGCAGTGCACTGTCCGGCCAATACCTGGATGCCCGGAGGAGGGTGACGTGTGAGCCCAATAAATGAGCCGATCCCGGACCTCGAGCGGGACGTACGTCCGACCCACCGGACACTGTGGAGGGCTAGGGTCGGTGCGTAATGCCCGCTCGATCTCCGTATCGACCTCCCATACCACCGGTGCAACCAGACAAGACTTAGGTAGTATGGGAGTGGGCTCAACGGACCTCTCCTCCGTGTCATACCGCCGAGACAGGGCATCTGCCTTCCCGTTCTGGGACCCAGGGATGTAAGTGATCTTAAACACGAACAGGGCTAGAAACATAGTCCACCGAGCCTGGCGAGGATTCAGTCTCCTAGCTGCCCGAATGTATTCCAGGTTACGGTGGTCAGTCAGAATGAGAAAAGGGTGTTGAGCCCCCTCAAGCCAATGCCTCCACACCTTTAGGGCTTGTACCACGGCTAACAGCTCCCTGTCCCCTACGTCATAATTACGCTCCGCCGGACTGAGCTTTTTCGAATAAAAAGCACAGGGGCGGAGTTTAGGTGGTGTGCCGGACCGTTGTGAGAGAACAGCCCCGATACCGGCTTCAGACGCGTCCACCTCCACTTGGAATGGTAAAGCGGGATCCGGGTGCGCCAGCACTGGAGCCGAGGTAAACAGGTCCTTCAGTCTCCCAAAAGCCCTGTCCGCCTCAGCTGACCACCGCAAGCGCACCGGACCCCCTTCAGAAGGGACGTTATGGGAGCTGCCACCTGTCCAAAACCCCGGATAAACCTCCGGTTTAAAAAAAAACAAGAACTGCTGCACCTCTTTAACCGTGGTTGGTGTTTTCCAATTACGCACGGCTGACACACGGTCAACCTCCATCCTCACCCCTGATGCAGACAACTGATAACCCAAAAAGGAGACCGACTCCTGGAAGAACAGACATTTCTCGGCTTTGACATACAGGTCATGCTCCAACAACCTCCTCAATACTCGGCGCACCAGGGCTACATGTTCGGCCCGGGTAGAACTGTACACCAGAATATCGTCTATGTACACGACTACTCCCTGCCCCTGCATGTCCCGGAAAATCTCATCTACAAAGGATTGGAAGACTGATGGAGCATTCATTAACCCGTATGGCATGACGAGATACTCGTAATGACCGGAGGTAGTACTAAATGCTGTCTTCCATTCATCACCCTCTCTAATGCGCACCAAGTTATATGCGCTCCTGAGGTCCAATTTTGTGAAGAACCGTGCCCCGTGTAATGACTCCGTCATAGTCGCAATCAGCGGGAGTGGATAACTATATTTCACAGTAATCTGATTGAGACCGCGGTAATCAATACACGGGCGCAAACCTCCATCCTTTTTCTTCACAAAAAAGAAGCTCGAGGACGCGGGTGAAGTGGAGGGCCGTATGTATCCCTGTCTCAGAGACTCGGCAATGTATGTCTCCATTGCCCTCTTCTCCTCCTGTGACAAAGGATACACATGGCTCCGCGGGAGCGCAGCTCCTGCCTGGAGATCTATCGCACAATCCCCCTGTCTATGAGGTGGCAACCGCGCCGCTCTCGTCTTGCTAAACACGAGTGCCAAATCCTCATACTCGGGGGGAATGTGCAATGCGGGCATTTGGTTCGGACTCTCCACCGAGGTCGCCCCTACGGAAACACCCAGACATAGCCCCTCACACTGAGCAGACCACCCCTTAAGAGCCCTCTCTCGCCACGAAATAGTAGGATCATGGGTAATCAACCAGGGAAGCCCCAGTACCACCGGATACGCAGGAGAGTCGATCAGATAGAGCTGAATTGTCTCCTCATGACCCCCCTGCGTCTCCATCCTAAGTGGCACTGTGACCTCCCTAATCAACCCGGATCCTAACGGACGACTATCTAGGGCATGTACAGGGAAAGGATTATTTACCGGAAGGAGGGGAATCCCTAACTCTACACAGAATTTGCGATCTACAAAATTCCCAGCTGCGCCTGAATCTACTAGCGCCTTATGCTGGGAACGAGGTGCAACCTGTGGAAAACAAACAGGTATGGTTATGTGTACGACAGAAAGCTCTGGGTAAGTGGGGCGCCTACTCACCTGGGAGGACTCCCCAATGTGTGGCCTGCCTTCTCCTCCACCAGGAGACCCTCCCCAGCACCTAGCCGCGGTGTGCCCTCCACGGCCACAGTTGGTGCAGGGGACGGCCCCCCTCGGGCTCCTTCTTCTCCTTCCTCTAGCGCCAGCACCTCCGAGCTCCATAGGGCTCGGCTCGGAGGTGCTGGAGGGTGGAATGGGCGACCCCCACCTGGGACGCCCGCGGGTAGCGAGCAGGGTGTCCAGCCGAATGGCCATGTCAACCAATTGGTCAAATGAAAGCGTGGTATCCCTGCACGCCAACTCTCTGCGGACGTCCTCCCGGAGGCTGCAGCGGAAGTGGTCTATGAGTGCCCGCTCATTCCACCCCTCATCTGCCGCTAGAGTCCGGAACTCCAGTGCAAACTCCTGAGCGCTCCTCATCCCCTGCCGGAGGTAGAATAGACGCTCCCCCGCCGCTTTCCCTTCCGGTGGATGGTCAAACACTGCACGGAAGCGGCGGGAGAACTCCGCATAGGTGATAGTAGCGGCGTCTATTCTCCTCCATTCGGCGTTGGCCCACTCCAACGCCTTGCCGGTGAGACAGGAGATGAGGGCGGAAACGCTCTCGTGTCCCGAGGGCGCCGGGTGTACGGTGGCGAGGTAGAGTTCAACTTGCAACAGGAACCCCTGACACCCGGCAGCGGTGCCGTCGTACGCCCTCGGGAGCGAGAGCCGAATCCCACTGGGTTCCGGAAGTTGGACAGGCGGGCTGACCGATGGTGATGGTGCGGTAGGTGGGGGTGTGGGTACCCCGCTGGTCTCCCATCGATGGAGGGTGTTCATCACTCGGTCCAGGGCGTGCCCGATTTGGTTGATCCTGTCCTCCTGTCCACGAAGGCGCTCCTCGATGATCTCTGTGGGTGCGGGTGCTCCTGCTGATTCCATAGAGATGGTGTGTAATTCTGTCAGGGTTGAGTGTAGAGGTAACGTGGAATCACACGCAGGACACACAGAGATTCGAAACAGATGTCTTTAGTGAAGTCCGAAAATACAAGCCAAACACGGCAACAGGCCACAGGCGAAACATACGCACACTGGTAAGAACCAAAGTAAATGCGCACAACGTGCAGGACTCTCTCAAACCAAACGAAATACAGAGAGCACAGAACAGCGAACCAACTACTACACGTGACATCGAACAATTACACACAACACCTGACCAAACACAAGAGAACTAAATAGGACGCATAATGAACACTTAACAATGAACAGGTGTAACAAACAGACAAAACCAATCAAACATAGAAACATAGAACGGTGGCAGCTAGTACTCCGGAGACGACGACCGCCGAAGCCTGCCCGAACAAGGAGAAGGAGCAGCCTCGGCCGAAACCGTGACATTCATTTACAATATGTAGAATCTATGAGAATAGAAAGATTCAGAACTTTTGTGAAACATCACAGCACAGTTGAAAAATATATATGGCAAATACAAATCAAAACTGGATGGTGTTCAGAGATAGATGGGAGGGGTTGAGTGGAGCTGAAGGATGGGCCTAAAAACAAACAAAAGATAACTATTGTAAAATATACTGTGTCCGTTAATTGTATATAGTATGTAAAAGCTGGAAGTAGAAGCTTAAGTGTTGTTGTCCATTTGTATACTACGATTAGGGGAGGTCTGGTAGGGTTAGGGGAAAAAAATGAAGGAAAATATAAAAAAATATATATATATCTTATATACAGTGCCAGTCAAAAGTTTGGACACACCTACTAATTCAAGGGTTTTCCTTTATTTTTAAAATGTTTTACATTGTAGAATAATAGTGAAGACATCAAAACTATGAAATAACACATATGGAATCATATATTAACCAAAAAAGTGTTAAACAAATCAGAATATATTTTATATTTGAGATTCTTCAAAGTAGCCACCCTTTGCCTTGATGACAGCTTTGCACACCCTTTGAATTCTCTCAACCAGATTCATGAGGTAGTCACCTGGAATGCATTTGTATTAACAGGTGTGACTTGTTAAAAGTTAATTTGTGGAATTTATTTCCTTCTAAATGAGCCAATCTGTTGTGTTGTGACAAGGCGGGGGTAAAAGACTTGGTAAAAGACCAAGTCCATATTATGGCAAGAACAGCCCAAATAATCAAAGAGAAACGACAGTCCATCATTACTTTAAGACATGAAGGTCAGTCAATCCGGAAAATTTCAAGAACTTTGAAAGTTTCTTCAAGTGCAGTCGCAAAAACCATCAAGCGCTATGATGAAACTGGCTCTCATGAGGACCGCCACAGGAAAGGAAGAGGATAAGTTCATTAGAGTTACCAGCCTCAGAAATTGCAGCCCAAATAAGTGCTTCACAGAGTTCAAGTAACAGACACATCTCAACATCAACTGTTCAGAGGAGATAGCGTGAATCAGGCGTTCATGGTCGAATTGCTGCAAAGAAACCACTACTAAATGACACGAATAAGAAGAAGAGACTTGCTTGGGCCAAGAAACATGAGCAATGGACATTAGACCAGTGGAAATCTGTCCTTTGGTCTGGAGTCCAAATTGGAGATTTTTGGTCTCAACCGTTGTGTCTTTGTGAGATGCAGTGTAGGTGAACGGACGAACTCCACATGTGTAGTTCCCACCGTGAAGCATGGAGGAGGAGGTGTGATGGTGTGGGGGTGCTTTGCTGGTGACACTGTCTGTGATTTATTTAGAATTCAAGGCACACTTAACCAGCATGGCTACCACAGCATTCTGCAGCGATACGCCATCCCATCTGGTTTGGGTTTAGTGGGACAATCATCTGTTTTTCAACAGGACATTTAACCCAACACACCAGATGACCTGGCCTACACAATCCCCCGACCTCAACCCAATTGAGATGGTTTGGGATGAGTTGGACCGCAGAGTGAAGGAAAAGATGCCAACAGATGCTCAGCATATGTGGGAACTCCTTCAAGACTGTTGGAAAAGCATTCCAGGTGAAGCTGGTTGAGAGAATGCCAAGAGTGTGCAAAGCTGTCATAAAGGCAAAGGTTGGCTACTTTGAAGAATCTCAAATACAAAATATGTTTTATTTGTTTAACACTTTTTTGGTTACTACATAATTCCATATGTGTTATTTCATAGTTTTGATGTCTTCACTATTATTCTACAAAGTATAAAAAAGTTAAAATAAAGAAAAACCCTTGAATGAGTAGGTGTACCCAAACACAGCACAGCAGCCCCCTTCCCATCAACAGCAGTGCTGCGGCACCCCAGCCTATATACAGAGACGCCCCCAGCTACCTCCTCTGGGCCTCGATCAGCAGGGGGTTTTAGAAGTCCCTGATGATGGTGTTGGCCGACCAGGACACTGGGATGAGGCAGAGGATGCCTGAGATGATGTAGAGGACTCCAGCCACGATACAGGCTTTAGCCTTGGATCCCTCCTCTGCTATGCAGTTGGTGCATTTCCCTCCAGCGATCGACTAGCAGATGCCGATCATACCGGTCAGGATGGAGATGATGATCATGGCTCTGGCAGCCTGGAGGTCCTGGGGTAGAGCCAGCATGGAGTCGTAGACCTTACACTGCATCTGGCCCGTGCTCTGCACCACACAGTTCATCCACATTCCCTCCCAGATGGTTTGTGCTGTGACAGTGTTGGCTCCGATGAAGGCTGTAACCTTCCACATAGGCAGGGCACACACAATGATGACCATCAACTACCCGATCCATGACATGACAATTCCCATAATCTGGATCCCCTGGGAAACCATCTTGACTGAATAGTTCCTCACACACACACTGTCAACTGATTGTTCCTGACCTCACACACTCCAACCTGAGTCTCACACACGCCTACCTGAGTATCACACTCTAACGGACAGATCCCGAGGAGTCCAGCTATTCCCAAAGAGTTCAAAGATGGTTCACACAAAAGAGGCCAGTATTTATAGAGTTGTAGTGTTGTAGAAGGTGGAGTTTGTAATGTGTTAAAAACAGAGATATGATGCAGGCATATGATACTAAAAGTCCCTGCTCTGCTCCCATTTGCTGATAGATGTTTATACACAAACAGACAGAAGCCCAGTGACCTCTAGCAGTGCTGACCTAAGAGAAAAGAGCAGCTTCAAGGTCATATAGCCACCTGACACAGAAACAAAACAGCTATTACTTCTGACTCACTACTATGTGACTGATATCAAAGAATGACTTGGAAACTGACTATGGAGTTTTAACAAGAAGGATATGGAGAAAGAGTTGGGTTATTCGGAAATGTGTTATTTGGAGGTGTTTAAAACTATTGTTTTTTTAAATGACTGCACACTGATTTACACTTTATTCAGGACACACAATGTTTTCACTGAGACTACCAAAATACCAAATGAAGTGGGGTGTAGTTAGCAGTGATGGGGAACATGTAACAGAATGTTGTTTTTAGGGGGCACTATTGGACAATGAAGGATGGTCAAGAGACTATTGGAACTTCAAAAGTGAATCATCCTACTCAAAATTTTAGTGTAGACTAAAGCATTTCTCAACCTCAGGTCTTATCTAGCCATCAATCAGTTGTCTTTTTTCGCTTAAGTTAAATGTACCAATTTTGGTGCATGTTATTGAACTAGGCTAATGTAGTAAATGTTAGGCCTACATTTCAGCATGGCTAGAGGGTATATATGGTATATATTTACAAGAGAATGGAGATGTTTACTCTTAAGGTGAAACTGTCTACTAAATAGTAGTCTAATCTATCTACTCTGTCATTTCTCAATGAAATAGTCTGTTTGACGGTTGGTGTGGGGTGTGGCTGAAGAGCTACGAATAAGCATGACCATGCTGAGGGATAAAGATTCATTCATTTGATATATGATCAAAGGTTGTTACTCATGTACAGTCAAAGAAAACATGAGACAGTGCATTTGAAGTTGAACAAAAATATTTATTTACAGTTTTTATCACATTTACAGAATCACACATACATTAAAAAATATATATTTAGTAAAAATGATGAATGAAATGTACACTTTCAATGCAAACGTTATGGGAAACCCATTCAGTTCATTCTGAAATATTTTATAATGTTTTCAAATAATAGCTTCGGTTAGTTCTTATTCATTCTATGTATTGTGAATATACGTCTGAAGGAGTATTAGCTGACATTGTCCATCCACACCCTTTTCTGGGTGCGTTACATGCCATCATGTAATTTTTTACTTATACAAGTGCCACTGTCTGGAAGTACTGTCTGTCTTTAGCTAAAGTCAAATACATTGGAATTTTGTCACTTAGCAGTCGAATCAAGCTGTGATATCATACAAACATGATCGAACAATCACAAAATCACAATGTGTGACAGTAAGGATCACACTGCACAGCACCTGTATAAATATACATAGTCTCTCTCTGTCTTTTATGATCTCTCTTGCTTTTCTTTCTCTTCCTTCTCTCTCTGACGTTTCTCTCTGATGCTCCTCAAACATAGTCCTTGGGTGCTGCGGACCTGGCAGCTGTGTACTTAGTGGGGTAATTGTCCTCTTTAGGGGGACAGTTGGCACAGAGGAACCCTCCTCCCAATATCATGAGGGCCGCGGCCCCCCAGCCGATGTAGAGCGAGGCCCCCAGCTCCATCTTCTGAGAGTTGTTCAGCATGGGGTTGTAAAAGTCCCTGATGATGGTGTTGGCCGACCAGCAGACGGGGATGAGGCACAGGACGCCAGCGATGATGAAGACTACACCCGAGCCCACGCCTATTCTGGATTTGGCCCTCTCATCCTCCACGCAGTTGGTGCACTTGCCCCCGGCCACGGCGAGCAGGATGCCCACCAGGCCCATCATGATAGAGATAATGATGAGAGCACGAGCAGCCTGGAGGTCCTGGGGTAGAGCCAGCATGGAGTCGTATACCTTACACTGCATCTGACCTGTACTCTGGACCACACAGTTCATCCAGATGCCTTGCCAAGTGGTTTGGGCTGTGATGATGTTCTCGCCGATGTAGGCTGTGACCTTCCATTGAGGCATGGCACAGACCACGATGGCCCCGATCCAGCCAATGATGCCCAGGGCTGTGCCCAGCATCTGAAACGCAGCAGATACCATATTTTCTTCTTCTTTAAGTCCTGGAGGAGTCGATGAAGGAAATCTGCCAAAAATGAGTGTCTTCTTAGGAATCAGTTCCTTGGTATGTCTTGCTTGAAAGATATCCAAGTGTCAATGTTTAAGCCATAGTGGGAGCAGGTGCTTTTATACACCTGACTTGGGAGGGGCTTGGCACACAAACGCTCAAACACACCTTTGACATGCCTTGCCGCTTCCCCCCCAGGGCATATGTCGTCATGATGTTTTTTGTCTTCTCTTGTCTATTAAATGGTACAGGTGGAACAGCCACATTGTGACTCACCAGTGTTCAAACAGTTTTAGCCAAACTATAAAGAGTAACCATGTGTGCCAACACCCTTAAAGTTTAAACTCAGTATCAGGGTTTCATGCTTACACTACATTCTGTGGTATTAAACTAATATAAAAACCTCTGTTCATGTCTGAGAATAAGGATTTTCTACTTTTACATCAAACTCAAATAGAAGTAGAGAAGTATTATAATCTGACATTCAGACAATTACATTGAGATAGTTCCCAACCCCTTTCCTCTTAGTATGAACAGAGCCCTTTCATTTCTCAAATCAAAGGGTTGGCTCTATATAGAGTTTTAGATTAGCGAGTTTTAACAAAATGTTATTTTGCTTTGGCTATCTATTACCTGACATTCACGCTACACCTTTGACCCCATGGCTGACCTTTGTAGCTCTGGGACTCCCATCAGATCATGTTGACTTGAAACAATGCCAGACTACACACACACCTTTATAATGGTAGAGTTTAACCAAGATATCCACTTATTTAGTTATGTCAAAAAACAATGTATCATCCTCCACATCCCCTTGAATACATAGGCCTGCTGTAACTTATTATTTTCCTGCTTGAGTTTAGAATCCCTCGCATAGAATATGTTACAAGACTGCAACAAGAGTAAATATGTAAGGTGCTCTTTGGTTTCCCAGGCTTGTGACATTGTCAAAATAATGAAGACATGTTCCCTTTCTATGAGATAATCTATTTTCCCTTACAGAAACAGTACAAATATTTAAACTAAAGGTACATTTCATCAGGGGTGTAGGGCTGCAGGAGCGCAAGGGAGCAGCGCTCCCTCACTTTTTTCAATTTGAGAATACACAGAGCTGAATCAATTACTGAAGCTGAATCAATTACTGCAAGATCACATAATGATGAATTAGTATTTTAAATAACAGAACTGAATATAATAGCATAGCATTGTAGGCCTATAACACCTCCTCATTTGTAGTGAGATTTTAGGATGGTTAGCTGAAGCTGAATAGTCACATTTCTTTTCTCATGCAGCCAAAACTCAACAGCGGATTCCACTAGGCAGGATTTACAGTATGCTTTGATTGAAACAAAATGCAAGAAAGGCTAATAGTTTGTTAACACCATCTGCTCTAATTCACTCACGAAACAGTTATTCAAGAAAATGTAAATGCATATTCCCATGAAACTGATTGAGACCATGCAGATGCAGCTTGGACATTTCACTGGTAAAACGTGAAGAATTATCATTCACGATTGACAGTGATGATGGCCTATTTTGAAATGAGGTATGCCTAACTTGGTGTTTTTTTCTGGAGACAATATGTGTGGGCATAGACAGACGTTGCATTTGGAGGATGCATTTCATGCATATTCTATAATAATATTCAATAGGCTACATCTGTCGGTACAAACTTTGATTTAGAAATGATGACGTAATTAAACATTTTGGGGGGCGCTCCCGCACCAAAGAAATAGCACTACACCACTGCATTTCATTAAAGCTATTTCACAAATTTGAACAGTACAATTGCACATAAATATACAATCTGATAAAGACTACCGTATTGAGTCAGTGAATGATTGTCCTGTTACTCTACTCATTCTCTTGAGAGAAAAAGTTCACTCCCCTCCAGCCATGTCTGTTAAGGTATCATTCAACCAACCATACAGATTGTTTCCATATACAGTATCTCACAAAAGTGAGTACACCCCTCACATTTTTGTAAATATTTGAGTATATATTTGTGTGACAACACTGTGACAACACTGAAGAAATGACACTTTGCTACAATGTAAAGTAGTGAGTGTACAGCTTGTATAGCAGTGTAAATTTGCTGTCCCCTCAAAATAACTCAACACACAGCCATTAATGTCTAAACCGCTGGCAACAAAAGTGAGTACACCCCTAAGTGAAAATGTCCAAATTGGGCCCAAAGTGTCAATATTTTGTGTTGCCACCATCATTTTCCAGCACTGCCTTAACCCTCTTGGGCATGGAGTTCACCAGAGCTTCACAGGTTGCCACTGGAGTCCACTTCCACTCCTCCATGACGACATCACGGAGCTGGTGGATGTTAGAGACCTTGCACTCCTCCACCTTTCGTTTGAGGATGCTCCACAGATGCTCAATAGGGTTTAGGTCTGGAGACATGCTTGGCCAGTCCATCACCAGTTCTTCATTTCTTCAGTGTTGTCACATGAAAAGATATACTCAAATATTTACAAAAATGTGAGGGGTGTACTCACTTTTGTGAGATACTGTATGAAAGAGGCCACTATTAAAGAGCTAAAATGCCTCTATTTTACCCAGGCAGGTAGCACGTTAAAGATACCCTGGCATGGAGCAACCCAAGAAGATTGAGTTCCACACTCAGGTACTACGCATTGAGGAGGAAAGATTGTTTTGGAGCGAATCTCCTTCAAACTGAGATTATACTCCCACCACTGGGGATCAGATAGGCCTCAGAGGGTCCACTATTTTAGGATCAGGCGTCCTACACCAGATCACATAGTAAACATGTAATCAAACACTCAAACATCAGCTGTGCTGCTACCCCATAATGCCCCAAACAACATAGACACTCAGAAAGCAGAACTTTCTTGCAACATATCTGTTTTTCTTATTTTGGTAACCCTTTCCATTTCTTCTTCTTATCCAGTGTTCTCTTATACCACTGTAGTAACACTGTAATTACACTAGTAACAGTGTAGTAACATGTTGTTATATATTGTTATATTGTTTCTAGTTTTTTTGTCAAACAGCATACATCTGGTTCTATGGTGTAATGTTGATCATGTTGTTGTGGAACTCTTAATAAAGAGGCTGTTGAAACTGAATGGGGGTGTTTCCAGAAATTGTTGTTCTGGGTGTGACAAATAAAAGGCTTGTTGAGACATGCAGTTTAAATAAAGGACACACACTACTCCAAGGATCACATGACGTTGGCCACAAAGAGACAAAAACACCTGTTACTCCTGTCTAAACCAGGGCTGTTCAATGTCGGTCCTGGTGGGCCAAAATACTTCTGGTTTTAATCTTCTCCTTCTAATAAGAGACTAGTTAAGACCTGGGACACCAGGTAAGTGCAATTAACTACCAAAACAGAACTATTTTGGCCCTCCAAAATTGAACAGCCCTGGTCTAAACTATACCTTTAGTACCTTTCACGCCACAGAAAGTGCCAAAAACGTGCTCGAAGTGAAACTCTTTTTGGCCCCATGGCTGACCTTTGCAGCTCTGGGACTCCCATCAGATCATGTTGACTTGAAACAATGCCAGACTACACACAAAATAGTTTTTGAGCTGAATTCCAGCTGATTTTACAGTGATGTCGCTGTGAATGAAACAGTTTGGCACTAAAGCTACGTTACTTCACATTACAGGTAGTTCAATCCACCTGTGAGTTAGTCTTGGGGGGGAATTCATTACACGTGTCAGCAGGTAGAGAGGGTAGGGATGGGCCTCACACACTCTAATTTATGCTGGCTTTGGATTATAAAAGTACAACCGAGTTCTGCTAAACTGGCTGGGTCACTGTGGCTGCGTTTACACAGGCAGCCCAATTCTGATCTTTTTTTCCACTAATAGGTATTTTGCCCAATCACATCAGATCTTTTCACATCAGATCTTTGGTCAAAGACCAATTATAAAAAGATCAGAATTCGGCTGCCTGTATAAACGCAGCCTTTGTGTAGTTCTCATAGAACTATAACTCCTGCGGTTGGATAGTCAAACATTGTTACTGTACCTTTTTCTTAGAAGTGTGAATTAGCTTATATAGAGACTAAATAGTAGTATTTTCAGACATTGCTATTGTTGTGGGTGTGAACTAAAGGCTAGAAGGCATGTTGCACTCATGTGATGCTACTATGGGAGAATTTGTATTTGGTTTCAGTATAATGGTTGATGAAACTGGGATGTGTGGTTTTCTCCTACAAATTCGGTTATCTGTGTGTGTATCTGTGTGGGGGGTTGGGCATGAGTCAGGGGGAGATTGTTTTGTGTGATTTGTGATGTAATTATTCCGTGCCCAGGGGTCATGCTGAAGAGAACGGAGTCACAGTTTCAGTGGGTTATCCAAGCATGCAATAACCCACTCATGTGGTTCAGGGTTGACAGAGCATCACATTCATCATGACATGTAAATTAAATCGAAGTGGTCATCAGGTGTAATAAGAGTTGTTATAATACTTTATTTCTTAACATGAGAATCTTTATCATTCTCAGACGATTTAGGTGACTATCCTCCAGACACAGTCAACTCACAAGTTCCTTTAAACTCACATGCTGAATGTATCCCACTGTAATTTATATTTTTTAATGAAGGGATTAATTTAGAGGCAGTGATCACTTTTGTCAAATTTTTTGTCTGATCATATTTTCTCAGGGGATAATGCTGAGAGATGTGTCATAGTGTGTTGTGGCATCATAGATAGGGAGTGACAGGCAGTGACAGGGAGAGAGAGCGATTCTGCCCCCAGGGATCTTCTGTTATTTATTTGCTGGAACCTAACCTTAACTGTGAATGTACTAGAGTACAGGAATGTCAGAGGAAAACATTTCTCCCAAAGTTCTCTCTCTGTTTACTTTTGGTTACATACAGTTTTTCATCTATGTTGTTTCACTATTTCAGATACTAGAAGAAAAAGAATCACCAAAAAAGGTTCACATTCAAGAATTTTGAGAAGGTAGAGAAAGTATCAACAAGGTACTTTTCTTTCTTTCTTTCTTTCTTTCTTTCTTTCTTTCTTTCTTTCTTTCTTTCCTTGTCTTTCTTTCGAGTCGTTCTATCTTTCTTTCTTTCGCTTCTATCTATCGCTCATCTATCTCTATCTCTCTCTCTCTCTCTCTCTCTCTCTCTCTCTCTCTCTCTCTCTCTCTCTCTCTCTCTCTCTCTCTCTCTGTCTCTCTCTGTCTCTCTCTCTCTGTCTCTCTCTCTATCCCTCCCTACACTCTTAGAAAAAAAGGTGCTATCTAGGACCTAAATGGGTCTTCGGCTCTCCCCATAGGAGAACCCTTTGAAAAACCCTTTTTGGTTCCAGATAGAACCCTTTTGGGTTCCATGTAAAAGCCTTTCCACAGAGGGTTCTACATGGAACCCAAAAGAGTTATACCTGGAACCAAAAAGGGTTCTCCTATGGGGACAGCCGAAAAACCCTTCTGGAACCATTTTTTCTAAGAGTGTACCTTCCCCTTTCCCTCCCTCCCCCTCTGAATTACCTGTTCCCAGAAGGCGAGTCTCTACTTGAGCAATAAGGCCCGAGGAGGTGCGGTATATGGCCAATATACCACGGCTATGGGCTGTTCTTAGGCACTTCGCAACGGTAGCCATATATCACAAACCCCTGAGGTGCCTTATTGCTATTATAAACTGGTTATCAATGTAATTAAAGCAGTAAAAATAAATGTTTTGTAATACACGTGTTATACGGTCTGATATACCACGGCTGTCAGCCAATCAGCATTCAGGGCTCGAACCACCCAGTTTATAATTGTTAGTTATTACTGCCTGGTGTGTATAGTGTAGTGTATGTATACATGGGCAGCAGGTAGTGACGAGCTAGCCAGGCACCTGTAACCCTGAAACTGGTCTAAGCTGCTCCCTTTCCCACGGCAGGTGAACAACTGGAGAAGTGTTTGAGCTTGTTCCCTTTCCAAGGAGAACTCTTGCCAAATACCTGCTTCAAACCTGATGACTCCCTAAATTATACCAATAGTAAACATTTGATTTCCACAGAAATAAATGTGTTGATCAGTCGCACCTTCAGTCCTTCAGAGTCAACAGTTACCTTCCTCCACCACATGGAGTCTCCTTGAGTTGCAGTCTGTTAGGGTGGGTTGCACCAACATGGATTAACTCTTAAACTGGGTTAAATCAAGGTTTATCTATTAATCTTGTTGAACCCAATTTTAAACCTAGTTTTAAACTAATCTCAAGTTAAATTAAATCCTTCCTATAATCTAAGTTTAGTTTTCACTTTAAACCTAGATTAATTTTAAGACTGTTGCTCGATTTAAAAAAAAGAAAAAGAATATACATTTAGATTGGAGAATAATTCTAAACTGCCACTTGAGGTGGTTTAACTGATAAAATGGCAGCATATCTACTGTGGAGAGACCAAAACGACAGAGTTCCTCAGAGAATAATTTAGTTTTATGATGAGTTTTCAAGGAGATACCGCTTCTCCAAGGACTCTGTAATGCAACTAGAAAGAAAGGCTGCACCAACCATTAAGCATGGGAGTGATAGGAACGCGGCTGTACCCCCACTACTTCAGCTCCTGGTGGCCCTACCGTTCTACGCAACTGGATGTTTCCAGATGGTGGATGGGGATCTTTTTGGACTCCACAAGTCAACCGTCTGCAGGATTGTAGTCAGAGTGTCCAGTGCTATTGCCGGTCTGAAGAATCAGTACATAAGGTTCAATCCTACAGAGGAAACAGCAGCTGGATTTTACAGGAGAGCTAGATTCCCAGGTGTACTAGGGGCAATAGACTGTACACACATTCCTATTCCCAACCCTAGTGGCGAGAATGGAGAACTATTCCATAATCGGAAAGGTTACTGCTCCATCAACATGCAGGCTGTCTGTGATGACAAAGGTCAGCTCACCAACATCGTAGCTGGATGGCCAGGTTCCACCCATGACAGCAGAATCTTTGACAATAGTTGTCTGTGTGCAATGCTGGAAAGGGGGGCACATGAAGGCCACCAACTAGGTGACAATGGATATGCCTGTCGTGGGTACCTTATGACATCCCTTTTAAACACCTGAAGAGAGAGAATACAACACCTCTCATATCCTGGCAAGAGGTCTTGTAGAGAGTTTTTGAGTGTGGAAAACAAGATTCACGTGCCTACAGGAGGGGCTCCGCACGAAGATGGACACTACACTGACAATCATTATTGCAGTGGCAGTTCTGTATAACTTTGGCAAGAGACAAGGAGACGAGCTCCCCGAGGAGACTGAGGAGGACCTACCTGAGGAGAATGGAGAAGATTGCCAGGTGCAACATGTTGCCAATGCAAATGGGAATGCTGTGAGGAGAACCTTGATTGAGAACCATTTTGCTGCCTAAGGTGTGTATAATGTAAAATGTAAAAATAATATTATATTTAGATTGACACGTACAATTCCTAATTAGGCTATCTGTATTCAAATGTATTATTAAGACTTTGTTATTCTCAATACCATACAGGGTGGAACTGGAAGCACCAAAACACAAGATTGGGGACAAAACTGGAGGGCATCAAAATGCTTGGGAAAGCATTGTTTTAATAAATAATTATTTGAATAAATAAAAAGATCAGCATTCTTTACACAGTGGTCATTTGTTTCCCTGAAGGAGTTTCTGTTTCTGAGTTTGCAGTAGCTCTTTTTGTAAATTCAGGACCTCAATCTGCATAATATTTTTCTCTCTCTCTCCAGCTCCAAAACATCAATAGGAGCTTGGTTCATGTCAGTTCTGGGGCGTTTGCTTGGCCTGTCTGGTGTTTTTGCTGCTGGTGCAAGATCCAGGCACTGCTGTTTCTCCATGGCACAGGGTGTTAGCTCAATTAAAGGAAAGGAAAGGTGTCTTCCTTCTTTTTGACAGTCGTGTTGTCTGTCTTTTTGTACTAATAATAATAATATGCCATTTAGCAGACGCTTTTATCCAAAGCGACTTACAGTCATGCGTGCATAAATTTTTTTTGGTGTATGGGTGGTCCCGGGGATCGAACCCACTACCTTGGCGTTACAAGCGCCGTGCTCTACCAGCTGAGCTACAGAGGACCACACTCCAGTACGTTAGTAACATACTCCAGTACGTTACTAAATTCCTCCATCAGCTCCGACAAGGTTTTTTTCATAAGTGGAGAAATCTGAACTTCTTTAACATTAGCTAATGAACAAGTTTTCTGTCTAGTACTGGCAAATAACGGAATTTATTTCAAATCAGCCAACCCATGAGAACCTTTCACGATGGAGTTGCAGCAGTGCTACATTGTTATTATTTTATCAAGGAACAGCAACTTTGTTGCCTCATTTGTCAAGTAGCTAGCTACATTTACATTACATTTGACTCATTTAGCAGACGCTCTTATCCAGAGCGACTTACAGTTAGTGCATAATTTTTTATTATTATTATTATTATTATTATTAATTTTTTTCCATACCCCCCGTAGCTACTTTGTTTCAACTCACGAAATACTTCATATATGGGTGTACTGTAACATGTCATTAATCATAGTTTAAAGCCGTTAATCATAGATTTACTGATCCAGATTTAAAATTAAGTGGTGCAACACGTCTCTGATTAATTATAAACCTAGATTTACAAAACCTAGATTAGCTCTAATCCTAGATTAATTTAAACCATATTGGTGCAACCCACCCTTAGAATCAAACTCAGGATGATGTACCAAGCTACCAATCAGCTCCTCTGTTGTGATTCAAACCTTATCCTGGAGGTATTCTGTCTGTGGGTAGCCTTCTCTAGGTGTTCCTGGACAAGTGTTTTTGTATAGTAATATGAGTCTAAGATTATAGCCAGTGAGTCACAAAGCTGCTCACTCATATTTTGTTTGGGAATATTACAGTAACTATAGTAACAGGAGCCAACATATACAACATAATTATGTTGAACTTAATCGTAGCTTTAGTTTTCATGACAAGGTTTGTGTTGATTATGCTTGTCCTCACACAGCTCTGAAGTCTTCAGTAAACAGAGATCAGTTTTCTCTTTTTACTCCTCAGTTCCCCTTCGTATTAGGAAGTAACCACTGAGATCTTTGAATGTTTAGTTGACACTTTTTAAGGTATTTTTGTACTTTGCATTTAACACCACATTTAATGAGCTTTATACAACTTGCTGGAGGCAAAACAGCAATAGGGTCAACCTGAGATCAGGTGTAAACCAGATCCTCTTTTGACCATTTCCCCAGACAGACAGACAGCTATTCAGTAAGACACTTACAGGATGATAATGTTCAGTACAGTTTAACTGTACCTGTACTTCACGTGGCTCCCTTTGGCTGCAAAAACATTATACACACCATAAACAACTCTGGCTGCAACCTCCCTGTTCTGATCTGAAAAGGACATTCTGCATCTCACAGAAAACAGAGATTTCATAAAGTATTTGGTAATTCAGGGACTTTCACTGATGATTCAGTGATGAATCACAAGCCTTGTCTAATAGTAAGGAAGTCTTGAGGTTTTGCTCGCCTGAGGTAGAGAATCTCATGATAAGCTCTAGAACACACTATTTACCAAGAGAGTTTTCATCTATATTTTTTGTAGCTGTCTATCTACCCCCACAAACCGATGCTGGCACTAAGATTACACTCAATGAGCTGTATAAGGCCATAAGCAGACAGGAAAACGCTCATCCAGAGGCAGCGCTCCTAGTGGCCAGGGACTTAAATGCAGGGAAACTTACATCCATTCTACCTAATATCTATCAGCATGTTAAATGTGCAACCAGAGGAAAAAAAACTCTAGACCACCTTTACTCCACACACAGAGACGCATACAAAGCTTTCCCTCGCCCTCCATTTGGCAAATCTGACCATAACTCTATCCTCCTGATTCCTGCTTATAAGTAAAAACTAAAGCAGGAAGCACCAGTGATCGGTTAATAAAAAGTGGTCAGATGACGCAGATGCTAAGCTACAGGACTGTTTTGCTAGCACAGACTGGAATATGTTCCGGGATTCTTCAGATATCATTGAGGAGTACACCATGTCAGTCACCGTTTTCATCAATAAGTGCATCGATGACGTCGTCCCCACAGTGACCGTACGTACATACCCCAACCAGAAGCCATGGATCAGAGGCAACAACCGCATTGAGCTAAAGGGTAGAGCTGCCGCTTTCAAGGAGCGGGACTCTAACCCGGAAGCTTATAAGAAATCCTGCTATGCCCTCCGACGAACCATCAAACAGGCAAAGAGTCAAGCACAGCCGCGAACTGCCCAGTGACAGAAGCCTACCAGATGAGCTAAATCACTTCTATGCTCGCTTCGAGGCAAGCAACACTGAAGCATGCATGAGAGCATCAGCTGTTTCGGATGACTATGTGATCACACTCTCCGTAGCCGATGTGAGTAAGACTTTTAAGCAGGTCAACGTTCACAAGGCCGCAGGGCCAGACGGATTACCAGGGCGTGTACTCTGAGCATGTGCTGACCAACTGGCAAGTGTCTTCACTGACATTTTCAACATGTCCCTGACTGAGTCTGTAATACCAACATGTTTCAAGCAGACCACCATAGTCCCTGTGCCCAAGGACACTAAGATAACCTGCCTAAATGACTACCGACCCGTAGCACTCACGTCTGTAGCCATGAAGTGCTTTAAAAGGCTGGTCATGGCTCACATCAACACCATTATCCCAGAAACCCTAGACCCACTCCAATTTGCATACCGCCCCAACAGATCCACAGATGATGCAATCTCTATTGCACTCCACACTGCCCTTTCCCACCTGGACAAGAGGAACACCTACGTGAGAATGCTATTTATTGACTACAGCTCAGCTTTCAACACCATACTGCCCTCAAAGCACATCACTAAGCTAAGGATCCTGGGACTAAACACCTCCCTCTGCAACTGGATCCTGGACTTCCTGATGGGCCGCCCCCAGGTGGTAAGGGTAGGTAACAACACGTCTGCCATGCTGATCCTCAACACGGGGGCCCCTCAGGGGTGCGTGCTCAGTCCCCTCCTGTACTCCCTGTTCACCCATGACTGTATGGCCAGGCACAACTCCAACACCATCATTAAGTTTGCCGACGACACAACAGTGGTAGGACTGATCACCGACAACGATGAGACAGCCTATAGGGAGGAGGTCAGAGACCTGGCCGTGTGGTGCCAGGATAACAACCTCTCCCTCAACGTGATCAAGACAAAGGAGAATATTGTGGACTACAGGGAAAAAAAGAGGACTGAGCACGCCCCCATTCTCATCGACAGGGCTGTAGTGGTACAGGTTGAGAGCTTCAAGTTCCTTGGTGTCCACATCACCAACGAACTATCATGGTTCAAACACACCAAGACAGTCGTGAAGAAGGCATGACAAAACCTTTTCCCCCTCAGGAGACTGAAAAGATTTGGCATGGGTCCTCAGATCCTCAAAAAGTTATACAGCTGCACCATCGAGTGCATCCTGACTGGTTGCATCACCGCCTGGTATGGCAACTGCTCTGCCTCCGACCGCAAGGCACTACAGAGGGTAGTGCATACGGAACAGTACATCACTGGGGTCAAGCTTCCTGCCATCCAGGACCTCTATACCAGGCGGTGTCAGAGGAAGGCCCTCTACCGTACGGCAAGCGGTACCAGAGCGCCAAGTCTAGGTCCAAAAGGCTTCTCAACAGCTTCTACCCCCAAGCCATAAGACCCCTGAACAGCTAATCATAGCTACCCGGACTATTTGCACTGTACCCCCCCCCCCCCCCCCCCCCCCCCCACCCCCACCCCCACCCCATCCCACCCCTCTCTTTTACGCTGCTGCTACTCTGTTTACTATTCATGCATCGTCACTTTAACTCTACCCACATGTACATATGACCTCAATTACCTCAACTAGCCGGTGCCCCCGCACATTGACTCTGTACCGGTACCACCCTGTATATAGCCTCCCTACTGCTATTTTATTTTACTGCTGCTCTTTAGCTATTTGCTTTTATTTTTCTTAATTAACACTTTATTTTACATTTTTCTTTTAAAAACTGCATGTTGGTTAAGGGCTTGTAAGTAAGCATTTCACTGTAATGTCTACACCTGTTGTATTCGGCGCATGTGGCAAATACAATTTGATTTGATTTGATGATAATTTTCTAACCTTCCAACAACCTGTAGTGGAGATCATCCAAGTGAGATGGTATGTGTCCTTAGGTGTTGATTTCACTATCAGGTGGGAGGTATGAGATAGCAGTGACCCCTGTTTTGACCTATGACCACAGTGATGACCCCTGTTAGTGAGACAAGAGCTGTCCAGCCAACCCAACCCAACAACCCTACCAGGACTGGACAGTTGTTTGTCTGATAAGTGAAGTGTACAGAGCCACCCTTTATCATTTTATTTACATCCAGAGAACATCCATTACAACTTGAGTGAGCACGCTAACAAACTAGGGCAAACAGTGATAGGGCTACTAGAGTTTTCCTGTTCAGGTCACATGGTTTTTTCATGGTTTAAAGACAAACTTTATCGAACAAAACAGGCAGAGAGAGACACATGTTCAGTGCCAAGCCTGTTCTGAGCAGAGTGGTTTCTCCCAAGAGGTATAATGTGTCTGTTTAACAGACTGAACAAAGCCTGTAATTGTCTCTCGTTTGCAGAGACGGTGATTCAACGTTTGGTGTTATTTGAACGTAAACTGACTCCACCTTACTGTCTTCTTAGCAGTATAAAGGAAATAATAATCGGTTTATCCCACTCTCCTTCTCTTTCCCCCTCTCTCCATAACTGACTAAAGTCTTATTCAGGGCATTCTGAGCCAAGGATATCCGATATCATCTTTAGAGGGCTGTGCTCTGAGACCCAGAGCGCCTTCTATCCAGACCAGACCTGAGAGACCTAGGGATAGGGAGTGACTGCTGCAGCCCAACCCCATCCCAGAGAACCAAGGGACAGAGAGAGACAACAGCCCAGCACCAGGGACAGACCACAGCCCCAGATCACAGCACCAAGGACAAAGAGAGACGACAGCCACAGACCAGGACCAGAGCACCCAGGGACAGGGAGAGACTAGTTCCAGAGATGGCCTCGGCCGGCCTTGAGATTCTGGGTATGATCCTTTGTGTGTCAGGTTGGCTAGGGGTCATGGTGGCCTGTGGCCTGCCAATGTGGAGAGTAGCTGCCTACATTGGCCAGAACATTGTCATCTCTCAAGTGGTCTGGGAGGGCCTGTGGATGAACTGTTCTGTCCAGAGCACGGGCCAGATGCACTGCAAAGTCCACGACTCCATGCTTGGACTCCCTGTGGACCTACAGGCGGCCCGTGCCCTGGTCATTGTCTCTATGGTGCTGTGCATCATGGGCATCGGCCTGTCTGTAGCCGGGGCCAAGTGCACCAACTGCAGCTCGGACACGGGCAGCAAGCCTCGCATGGTGCTGGGGGCCGGGGTGACCTTCATCGTGGCGGGGCTGTTGCTGCTGACGGCCATATCGTGGACGGCTAACACCATCGTCTTGGACTTCTACGACCCGATGCTGGAGGAGACGGGAAAGAGGGAGTTTGGGAACTCACTGTATTTCGGATGGGCTGCCTCCTGTCTGCTTCTCCTAGGGGGAGCTCTGCTCTGCTGCTCCTGCCCACTGAAAGCACCCCAGAGTGGTAGCGGGGCTGGGTCTGGACCCCACAGGGTGGTGAACTACTCTGCGGTCAAATCCCCCATGTCTGTCAATGGATATATGAGGAGGGACTATGTGTGAGAGAGAGTGGGTTCAATGGCTTTAGTATAGAGACAGCCTCTTGAGACTGATGGGACTAATGGAATAACTAGTGTTAGCGATCCCCATTTCCTGACTGCACGCTATATGGGTAGGGCAGAATAAATGCAGCCATGTGGGATATCTGATTCAGAAATAAAGTATGAACGATTGGCGATTAACGCTAGATTGTGTTTTACATATATGATTTCTGTAGAGTTGGAGACATGCATTTACATACAATTCATGTTTTGCCTGTTCGGAAATCATTTTTGTACTAAATTTCACATGAATGTTACTCAATGATGACGATTTAGATCATGAAAATGTTAATGTTGTTTAAAAAAATAAACTCAGAATTGTCTTGCACATGACTGAAAATGGTGATACAAAAATGAAGATAAGTTCACTCTTTACTGTGGTAATTACAGCATTGTGCAGTATGATATCATAATGTGAGTACATCATGCATTGTGCTAACTAATGTTTGTACACAACGTTTGTATACAAGCAACTCCTTTTTCTTTGCTTAATTGGCTTATAGCAGGGCCATTCCCATCTGAAAGTAAGGTCTTATCGCAGCTGATATCCCCACAGGAATGTTATGTGAGTGAGGAGGGGTAGCCTTGCCTACGCTTAAGTACAAAACTGGTTTAATAAGGTCAGGCTACCAACAGAACACTGAGACATGACATCCCATCGAAGACACAGGGTCTAAAGAAATAGACCAAAATATCGGGCAGGAATGCCTGCAGGTCCATATCACCTGAAATCTAGAAAACTCAGCCCCTCTACCCCGCACAAATACGGTTTATGATTTCAATGCAAATGTGAGCTTCAACATTATCCTTTTTATTCCATTTGGGAGAGTGAAACTGAGCCCGACAAAAAGCAGCCATTTTGATAGGGAGGGGAAGTAGGTAACCCACACTGTAATCATAGGGTGAACCCGTTTCTTTCACAATGCTCCCATTGATGAAAAATAAGACAATGGCTTTATTTACATTCTAGTCTAAGAATAGGATAAGGGAAAATACTTTTAAGACAGTTTTATAGCATAGACTTAAAGTACTTCCTATGGAAGTTTGAGCATTGTACAAACAAACATAGCCTCCAATAACTGTATTGTGATACTAAATCTGTTCACCTGTGGAGTATAAGTACCCGTCTATAACCGTGCAGAGTCAAGTGTCTGTGTGTGGAACTTCCTGTGCTGCAGACAGTTGAGACAATTCAAATGAGGGTGAAACCCCTTTGGTGCAGAGTGACCATGTGGACAAGGCACTGTCTGATAACACTGACCCACATCAACTCGCCAGCCACAATTACCACTATCCCAATCACTCATTGGGGATGTTTGTTGACTGGACTGATTAGACAAACCGTCTATCTCTATTCCTAAAGTTGACAGCCAAATATAATCTTGTCCCTAAAACTGTCAGCCAAACAAAGACAAAAGATAACGGATTCTCACTTTTTGTCATCATACTTCAATGGCAGTCAGAAACAAGTTACAATTTACTATGAAATTCAGGCTTGTCTGTTTCCTGAATCATGGCAGTGGGAAACAATGAGCAAATGCAGCTTTGCATTCATTCATTGTGCAATGTCATCTCCCAAAATGGTGTTATCTGGTACCAGAGAGAGCAATCATTGGCTCCCGACCCAGGTCATGTCATTTTGAAAGAAACTGATCCAAGAAAGAGCCCTGCTGCTGGGGTTGGAAACCAGATGAAATGATATTCAGCAACAATGGAAGTTTGTTTAAAAATATATTTATTATTAAAACCAATGCAATTCAGCTCATCAGGGTATTTGGGTTGGAAACTAGCCAATAGTGCTTGTATACAGTAGGCTACCAAAGATGTTCCTAGGCAGCTCTCTCTCAGGGTTAGCAGTAAGACACAGAGGTAAACACTCCAAAGAGAGCTAAATATTTCTCTTGACCTGAACATAATTGTACAATGACGCCTTAACACTCTGCCATAAATTAGAGAGGAAGAGAATATATCTCTGGCCCTCTAGTATGGTGAAAGGAATGTCCTTTGTTTCAGAGACTTTTGCCGCCCAAAACGTTTAGGTCCAAAAAGTAAACACTGGAACAATATTCCTAACAACCGAATGTTTGGAATGGTCAGTGGGGATCTAAACACTAATCATGTCATATTGTTTAGTGATGGAAATACTGTAACTCAGAGAGTATACATGTCAGGTCTTTACATTTACATTTTAGTCATTTAGCAGATGCTCTTATCCAGAGCGACTTACAGTTAGTGAGTGCATACATTTTTCATACTGGCCCCCCGTGGGAAACAAACCCACAACCCTGGTGTTGCAAGTGCCATGCTCTACCAACTGAGCTACAGTTCTTCATCCTTTACTTTGTGCAACTAGGATAAAGGATGATGAGAATATGTCTGTGAAGATAGGAATGTGATTTTAGTTTTCTAACGAGATCACGGTTATCCTAATACTTTTGCCCAGTCAGTAGCCACGCCCGAGGGGGCTCAGAAAGAGTGTCGGATTGATGGAACGCCCCCTTTTTCCCGGGGGTATAAAGGATGAGTTGAGAATGAACATATCAGACCAGATGGACTCAAGCTGCAGCTTTTGTCTCCATTGGTTACGATCCTGAAAATCAACACAAGGTGAAGACGACAAAGTCGCCTCTCTAACAATCAATGTCACGGCTGAGTAGCTGTTCTAAGTACTGTATCTAAGAATGTGAATTTAAGTAGGACCATCCTGTTACTCTCTTCAATCCATCGTCTAATACACTGCTCTCATCACCCCACAGGGGATCATAGACACGGCTGATTAGCTGTCTTCAGAGGACCACTCTTCTAGAACGAGTGAAAGGAAACACCACCCTTTTGGGTTTTGGCCCAGACTACATGACCAGTCATTTAAGCAACGGACAACTAAGAAGAAGAACATTGTGACCTCTGGTGGACAACCAGAGAGTTACACTCCAAGTTGGAGAGAAGGCCCAAATAAACCCTTCCCAAGAAGGCTTGGGTCCAACAGAGATAGAACAACGAAGGAAGACAATTCAGACATGTAAATACATTAATTTCTTCTTCTCCCAATGGGCGGTGGTTAGGGTGCTAAGTATTCTGATTACTGTGAGCATAGTTTACAAATGTAAATACGTTTTGTGTCTCTCTCCCTCTCTCTCTCTTTTCCTCTCTCTCTATTCCTCCATCTTTCGGTGAACAAGTAGTCATGCGTAGTTAGTCCACTAGGGACCTGTTTCCATTGTATTAAGTCTCTAATCAATAACCTATACCGTGTGTGTGTATCCTGTGTTACCATTTAGTTAGTTAGTAAATAAATAATTAAACCAATTTGTGTGGTACGGATTGATCAGTAAAGGCTGGGGTTTGTGCGGATGCAAGGACTATGCGATGTTCAGATGATTTGATATGAGGTAGTGACTAATTAGTGACTGTTATTGACGTAAGAGATATCCACATATCTTCTAGAGTTAATTCGGGAGATGGTAACTTGTTAAACAAATTCTCACCGTGGTGCCCCAAATCCTAATGAGTTAATTGCTACATTATTAATTTAATCAGGTAAAAATTAAACATAGTTAGTTAATTAGAGAAATAACAGTAATCAGATTAATATTAAGTCATGTCACGACAGGTGTATGACTCCATGCTGGCCCTCAGCTCCGACCTGCAGGCAGCCCGAGCCCTCACAGTCATCTCTATAGTTGTGGGCATCATGGGGGTGCTGGTGGTCATGGTCGGGGCTAAGTGTACCAACTGTGTGGAGGACGAGACGGCCATGGCCCGGGTGATGATCGCAGCGGGGGTGGCGATCATCACCCGGGCCATGGCCGTCTCGTCCTCCACACAGTTGGTACACTTAGCCCCGACCATGACCACCAGCACCCCCATGATGCCCACAACTATAGAGATGACTGTGAGGGCTCGGGCTGCCTGCAGGTCGGAGCTGAGGGCCAGCATGGAGTCATACACCTGTCGTGACATGACTTAATATTAATCTGATCCCTGACCCAGCTGATCCCTGTCTCCTGGTCAGCCAACAGCATCATCATGGAGTTCTATAGTCCCATCACTCCTGAGGCTCAGAAGAGGGAGATTGGAGGGGCTCTCTACCTGGGCTGGGCTACAGCCGCGTTTCTCCTCATCGGGGGTGCATCCTGTGCTGTAGTTGCCCCCCACAGCCTGAGAAGAGGTATGCAGGGCCGCCCTCGCGGATTCTGTACTCCCCAACCAGGTCTGTGGCCCCCAGCGGCTATGACAAAATAGACTATGTTTGAACTGACCTGGGTATCTGGCAGCAGCTGCTTTCTGCTCACATTTTTCCCACAGTGGATGAAGGACATCTGATACCAACCTTGAATTCAAGAACAGATCAAATGGGGGTGATTTCTACCAAAACATTTTTGTTATATGTTTTGACATTAAGAAAATACTGCTTTTTCACTGGATCATTTGTTGAAGAGGAACAACACCAAACTGGACTTTATGTGCTTTTATTTCATACTGTATACCTAATTAAAACATACATAGGTGTTGTAAATATTGTATTGGAATCTTAATATTTGAATGAATAACTACTTATGTTGTGCATACAGTGCCTTCGGAAATGTTCAGACCCCTTGACTTTTTCCACATTTAGTTACGTTACAGCCTTATTCTAAAATGGATGAAATACTGTCACACCCTGATCGGTTTCACCTGTCTTGTGCTTGTCTCCACCCCCCACCAGGTGTCTCCCATTTGTCCCCATTATCCCCTGTGTATTTATACCAGTGTTTTCTGTTTGTTTGTTGTAAGTTTGTCTTGTCTCGTCAAGCTTACCTGCGGTTTTCCCGTACGCCTGATTTGCTCTAGTCCATGTTTTCCAGTTTTTCCCGGTTTTTCCCTTTCTGCCTGCCCTGACCCTGAGCATGCCTGCCATTCTGTACCTTGTGACACTGTTCTAGATTACCGACCTCAGCCTGCCCCGACCCTGAGCCTGCCTGCCGTTTCTGTACCTTTCGGACTCTGCTCTAGATTACTGACCTCTGCCTGCCCTTGACCTGTCGTTTGCCTGCCCCCTGTTTTTATAAATAAACTTTTTGCTATTTTGAACTGTCTGCATCTGGGTCTTATCCTGAGCCTTGATAAAATACTTTTTTTTCTCCTGAGCAATCTACACACAATACCACATAATGACAAAGCAAAAACAGGTATTTAGACATTTTTGCAAATTTATTGGAGAAAGAAAACAGAAATACCTTATTAACATAAGTATTCAGACCCTTTGCTATGACACTCGGAATTGAGCTCAGATGCATCCTGTTTCCATTGATCATCCTTGAGATGTTTCTACAACTTGATTGGAGTCCACCTGTTGTAATTTAATTGATTGGACATGATTTGGAAAGGCACACACCTGTCTATATAAGGTCCCACAAGTGACAATGCATGTCAGAGCAAAGACCAAGCCATGAGGTCGGAGGAATTGTCCGTAGAGCTCCGAGACAGGATTGTGTCGAGGCACAGATCTGGGGAAGGGTACCAAAACATTTCTGCAGCATTGAAAGTCCCCAAGAACACAGTGCCCTCCATCGTTCTTAAATGGAGGACGTTTGGAACCACCAAGACTCTTCCTAGAGCTTGCCGCGTGGCCAAACTGAGCAATCGGGAGAGAAGGGCCTTGGTCAGGGAGGTGACCAAGAACCCGATGGTCACTCTGACGGAGCTCTTGAGTTAATCTGTGGAGATGGGTAAACCTTCCAAAAGGACAACCATCTCTGCAGCACTCCACCAATCAGGCCTTTATGGTAGAGTGGCCAGGTGGAAGCCACTCCTCAGTAAAAGGCACATGACATCCCGCTAGGAGTTTGCCAAAAGGCACCTAAAGAACCTCTGACCATGAGAAACAAGATTCTCTGGTCTGAAACCAAGATTGTTTTTCAGCGGCAGGGACTGGGAGACTAGTCAGGATGGAGGGAAAGATTAACGGAGCAAAGTATAGAGAGATCCTTGATGAAAACCTGTTCCAGAGCACTCAGGACCTCAGACTGGGGCTAAGGTTCACCTTCCAACAGGACAATGAGCCTAAGCACACAGCCAAGACAACGCAGGAGGAGCTTAGGGACAAGTCTCTGAATGTCCTTGAGTGGCCCAGCCAGAGCCCGGACTTGATCTAACATCTCTGGAGAGATCTGTGCAGCAACACTCCCCATCCAACCTGACAGAGCTTGAGAGGATCTGCAGAGAAGAATGGGAGAAACTCTCCAAATACAGGTGTGCCAAGCTTGTAGCGTCATACCCAAGAAGACTCAATGCTGTAATCGCTGCCAAAGGTGCTTCAACAGAGTACTGAGTAAAGGGTCTGAATACTTATGTAAATGTGATATTTCCGTTTTTTTATTTTTTATAAATTAGCAAAGATTTCTAAACCTGTTTTTGCTTCGTCATTATGGGATATTGTATGAAGATTGATAAGGGGGAAAAAAAACATTTAATACATTTTAGAATAAAGCGGCAACGTAACAAAATGTGGAAAAAGTCAAGGGGTCTGAATACTTTCCGAAGGCACTGTATGTTGGATAAGAATGTGCCAAACACTAACAGCTTAACAGCTTTTGTTAAGTGTGAAAATATAAAGTATTTTGATGTTTAATGTGTGTCAATTTCACAATAAAAACAGTTTCATAATACTTTCATTTTTTCTTCAAATATTTTAATACAATGATAGAAAAATTAATTGTTGCTATATGTTGCATTATACAGTACATTTCATTAACATTTGTAAGTGCTTTGCTACATGAGAAGTGCCACTACAGTGGCTTGCGTAAGTATTCACCCCCCTTGGCATTTTTCCTATTTTGTTGCCTTACAACCTGGAATTAAAATGGATTTTTTGGGGGGGTTTGTATCATTTGATTTACACAACATGCCTACCACTTTGAAGATGCAAAATATTTTTTATTGTCAAACAACAAAAATAAACCCACCCTTAGAATCAAACTCAGGATGATGTACCAAGCTACCAATCATCTGCTCTGTTGTGATTCAAACCTTATCCTGGAGGTATTCTGTCTGTGGGTAGCCTTCTCTAGGTGTTCCTAGACAAGTGTTTTTGTATAGTAATATGAGTCTAAGATTATAGCCAGTCTCCCTAGAGCTACTGTATCATAGACTGGTACTAGGCTGCTGCCAACTGTTAGGCAAATAAGTATTTTGCAACAACGAAACTATGCATTTCTGATTCATTTTGAGTCACAAAGCTGCTCACTCATATTTTGTTTGGGTATGTTACAGTAACTATAGTAACAGGAGCCAACATATACAACATAATTATGTTGAACTTAATCGTAGCTTTAGTTTTGATGACAAGGCTTGTGTTGATGATGCTTGTCCTCAGACAGCTCTGAAGTCTTCAGTAAACAGAGATCAGTTTTCTCTTTTTACTTCTCAGTTCCCCTTCGTATTAGGAAGTAACCACTGAGATCTTTGAATGTTTAGTTGACACTTTTTAAGGTATTTTTGTACTTTGCATTTAACACCACATTTAATGAGCTTTATACAACTTGCTGGAGGCAAAACAGCAATAGGGTCAACCTGAAATCAGGTGTAAACCAGATCCTCTTTGGACCATTTCCCTAGACAGACAGACAGCTATTCAGTAAGACACTTACAGGATGATAATGTTCAGTACAGTTTAACTGTACCTGTACTTCACGTGGCTCCCTTTGGCTGCAAAAACATTATACACACCCATAAACAACTCTGGCTGCAACCTCCCTGTTCTGATCTGAAAATGACATTCTGCATCTCACAGAAAACAGAGATTTCATAAGGTATTTGGTAATTTAGGGACTTTCAGTGATGATTCAGGGATGATAATTTTCTAGCCTCCCAACAACTTGTAGTGGAGATCTTCCAAGTGAGATTGTATGTGTTCTTAGGTGTTGATTTCACTATCAGGTGGGAGGTATGAGATACAGATACATGGATTTAAAATGGATTTTTGGGGGGTTTTGTATCATGTGATTTATACAACATGCCTACCACTTTGAAGATGCAAAATCATTTTTGGGGTGAAACAAACAAGAAATAAGACAAAAAAAACAGAAAACTTGAGTGTGCTTAACTATTCACCAACCCCCCCCCCCCCCCCCGCCCCTTGGGGTATGTCTCTATAAGCTTGGCACATCTAGCCACTGGGATTGTTTCCCATTCTTCAAGGCAAAACTGCTCCAGCTCCTTCAAGTTGGACGGGTTCCGCTGGTGTACAGCAATCTTTAAGTCATACCAGAGATTCTCAATTGGATTGAGGTCTGGGCTTTGACTAGGCCGTTCCAAGACATTTAACTGTTTCCCCTTAAACCACTCAAGTGTTGCTTTAACAGTATGCTTAGGGTCATTGTCCTGCTGGCAGGTGAACCTCCTTCCCAGTCTCAAATCTCTGGAAGACTGAAACAAGTTTCCCTCAAGAATTTCCCTGTATTTAGCGCCATTTTTTCTGGCCACTCTTCCGTAAAGCCCAGCTCTGTGGAGTGTACAGCTTAAAGTGGTCCTATGGACAGATACTCCAATCTCTGCTGTGGAGCTTTGCAGCTCCTTCAGGGTTATATTTGGTCTCTTTGTTGCCTCTCTGATTAATGCCCTCCTTGCCTAGTCCGTGAGTTTTGGTGGGCGGCCCTCTCTTGGCAGGTTTGCTGTGGTGCCATATTCTTTCAATTTTTAAATAATGGATTTAATGGTGCTCCGTGGGATGTTCAAAGTTTCGGATATGTTTATCATAACCCAACCCTGATCTGTACTTCTCCACAACTTTGTCCCGGACATGTTTGGAGAGCTCCTTGGTCTTCATGGTGCCGCTTGCTTGGTAGTGCCCCTTGCTTAGTGGTGTTGCAGACTCTGGGGCCTTTCAGAACAGGTTTATTTTTACTGAGATCATGTGACAGATCATGTGACACTTAGATTGCACACAGGTGGACTTTATTTAACTAATTATGTGACTTCTGAAGGTAATTGGTTGCACCAGATCTTATTTAGGGGCTTCATAGCAAAGGGGGTGACTACATATGCACGCACCACTTTTCCATTATTTATTTTTTTGAATGTTTTGAAACAAGTTATTTTTTTCATTTCATTTCACCAATTTGGTCTATTTTGTGTATGTCCATTACATGAAATCCAAATGAAAATCCATTTAAATGACAGGTTGTAATGCAACAAACTAAGAAAAACGCAAGGGGGATTAATACTTTTGCAAGGCACTGTAAATCCTGTAGTACTAGCTATACAGTTTATAAGAAAAGTATGTTTGAATCTGCTGCCAAACAAAGATGTAGGCTAAGGCTAACTCTCAACTTATATTAGAGAACAGCCTCTGTGTCATTCATTCTGCCCAGATCAGGAAATAATAGGCATTGTCCTTCACTGATCCTTGGGTATCCATGGTAATGATGTGTTGAGTTGGATTATCTTTCATAACTGCTATTGAGGTGGTTTTTTGCATTGATATGTTTATTTATTTTTTATTGGTTTGTCGCTGTTGCTGGGCAAGAACTGAATTGGTTCCTCTCACTGGGTTTGTGTGTATGTGAAATGGGCATCTGACCTGTGTTCGGGTCAGATTCTACAGTTGTCTTATCTTATCAGTGACTGAAACCAGACTGTGACCCTGTGGCTCTCCTTAGGCAGATCCCTGGAACGAGCCAGGGTTGAACAGAGTTCAGGCTAAACCCTCTGTCTCTCCTTGGGCATCTTCTTGATTAATTACAGCAAGATGGGGTGGAAGAGAGGGGTTGGGCTTGGGTATGTTTGAGAGATTGATTGTGGACATGCCATGTCCAACAATCAATCTCCAGGTCAAGCCAGGGTGAGCCAGGGTTGAACAGAGTTCAAACTGAACATGATAATTTTTACATGACAGGGCTGTTATTTGTGCATACATAGGAGGGGACGTCAGATTTCGCCACTATCATAGACTAAGGAAGTGGGCGGAGCGGTCAAGAGGGGGAAACTGGAGACAGTGGTGGGGGAACCCAAGAGGGAGGGGTTAAGCTAAAATGTATGTAATGTCACGTCTCCACCCGTTGCTCCCCTCCGGCGCTCTGATTCGCCAGTCTACTGAGCCACCGGTTTGAGCACACCACCTCGGCTACACCGGAATGGAAACCCAATGCAACCTAATCACCTCCAGCGCACCTGCACCTCATCATCTGATCACCACCCCTATTTAGCCCTGGACTGTTTTGGATGATGTTGTGTGTGATTGTTTAGCTTCGTGTCGTTTACACTATCGCTGTTTTTCTATGGCTCATTGTTAAGTAAACCTTGACCTTGTTAATTCCTGCATCTGCGTCCTGTCCTCTTCGTTTACTCAGTACGCGTCACAGAATCACACACCAAATAAAATGGATGCAGCAGGAGTTTCCCAGTGCCTCGACCAGCACCAGCAGCAGCTTGCCCAGTTGAACGCCGCCATGCAGGAAGTGCTCCAAACTCTGCATAATCTACCCAGCGCTCTGGTTCCACCCCAGGGAGCGGCGAGTGCCCCCAATCCACATGTTCCCGTGCTATCACCCACTCCTGTGAGAACCCGTCGCCCTACCGGAGCGCTATGACGGTAAAACTACTAAATGTAGCAGCTTCCTGCTACAGGTTTCCCTTTATCTGCCACGTCAGCCTGGGGCATATCCATCTGACCAAGCCAGGATAGCGATGGTGATTTCACTTCTTAAAGGAAAGGCACTGGATTGGGCCACGGCAGTCTGGGAAGGAAAGGAGGCAGTGGCACCTACCTACCCCACCTTCCTCGATAGGTTCAGGGCGGTGTTTAATCATCCCACGGAGGGAAAGGCCGGGGGTGAGCGTCTCCTCCATCTACAACAGAGAGAGGGGCCCGCGTCTGAGTACGCTCTGAGCTTTCACACGATGGCGGCATCTTCCGGCTGGAATGAGCGTGCTCTGCGCATGGCCTTCAGGAGAGGCTTACGGGAGGACATTAAGAAGGAACTTGCATGTCGGGACGATGAGATGGACCTTGATACCCTCATCACCACGTCCATCCGTCTTGATGACAGGTTGAGAGAGAAACACCTACCGGAGCCTCGACGCTCACCCCATCTGAGCTATGGAAGCCGCACTGCTTCCGAGTCCTCACCCATGGAGGTGGGCAGCACCCCCTACACCACCATGGACCACAGATCTCCTGGCGGCTCCCTATCTAGGCGGTATGACTCCCGTCACCGCTCGGTGAGTGTTACGTCAGCTCCTATCACAAAACCACAGTTTTTAGTTCCCATAACGGTGACTGGTTATTCCTTCTGTTCCATTTCTACCGCAATGATAGATTCCGGATCAGCGGGGAACCTTATAGATAGGGAGCTGGTCTCTGAATGGGGGTTGCCCACCATGCCACTGCCATCTCCGCTACACGTCACCTCACTGGACAATAAACCCCTTGGATCAGGCACCATTACGCACATCACTCTCCCCATCACCATCACCATTCCCACACTACCGGAGCACCACGAGGAGCTGTCATTCCACATCGTTACGTCACCCCTTCACCGGATCGTCTTGGGATTGTCCTGGCTCAGTCTACACAACCCCACCATCAATTGGAGCACCAAGAGGATCACAGCCTTGTCCACCTCATGCCGGAAGACCTGCCTGCCGGTTTGTTGTTCCACGTCAGTGGAGAGTCCGGAGTCCGCCCTCCAGCCCAACATTCCAAGTGAGTACGCAGACGAGTGGAAGACGGCATTCAGCACTACCTCAGGCCACCATGAATACTGCGTCATGCCGTACGGCCTCGCCAACGCACCTTCTGTGTTCCAGTCCTTCGTCAATTACGTGTTCCAGGACATGCTGAGTAGACAGGTGGTGGTGTACATCGACGATATCCTGATCTACTCGGCTACGTTCGAGGAGCACGTCAGGGACGTCCGAGCTGTCCTACTCCGCCTCCGGGAACACAGCCTGTTGGTGAAGGGGGAGAAATGCGAATTCCATCAACATGCCATCTCCTTCCTGGGATACTGGATCAGTCCTCAAGGGGTGTTCATGGAAGGAGTGAAGACGGACGCCGTCAGGTCATGGCCAGTTCCCACCACCATCAAGGGCCTACAGAGCTTCCTGGGCTTCGCTAATTTCTACCGGCGTTTCATCAGGTCCTACAGCTCCATAGCCGCCCCGCTCACCTCTCTCCTTAAGGGTGGGCCTCAGAAGCTGGCCTGGAACCCTGAGGCTGACGCTGCCTTCAAGAGGCTGAAGGAGAGGTTCACCACAGTGCCCATCCTAAAACACCCAGATCCATCTCGTCCTTTCATACTGGAGGTGGACGCATCAGAGGAGGGCGTGGGTGCGGTCCTCTCCCAGTGGCACGGTGATCCAGAGAAAATGTATCCCTGTGACTTTTCTCTAAAAAGCTTACCCCCGCAGAGAGGAACTATGGAGTTGGAGACAGGGAGCTGTTGGCGGTGGTCCTCGCTCTGGAGGAATGCAGACACTGGCTGGAGGGCGCAGTCCATCCATTCTGGATTCTTACTGACCACCGGAATTTGGAGCACATACTGGCAGCGTAACGGATGAACTCTCGTCAAGCCAGGTGGGCCCAATTTCTCACTTGCTTCCAATTCATTCTGTCCTACCGCCCAGGATCCCAGAATGTGAAGGCCGACGCACTCTCCAGGATGCACCATACCGGAGAAACAAAGGATTTGGGGGGTCCTATCCTGCCCTCGTCTCTCATCATTGTTCCTGTCATTTGGGATGTGGACGAAGACATCCGCCTGGCGGCTCAGGAGGACCCAACACCTGCCAACACCCCTCCGGGGCGCGTGTATGTACCCACCAGCGTCCGTGACCGCCTGCTGATCTGGGCACACACCACCCTTACGGCAGGGCACTCTGGTATTACGCGCACCATGCATTCTCTAGCCCAAAAATACTGGTGGCCCACCTTGGCTTCTGATGTCTCCTGCTACGTCAACTCCTGTTCCGTATGTGCCCAAACGAAGACTCCTCGGAACGCCCCGGCAGGCAAACTAGTTCCTCTCCCAGTGCCTCAGCGACCTTGGTCACACCTGTCCATAGACTTTGTCACCGACCTTCCACGTTCTGACGGCTTCACCACAGTCATGGTGGTCGTAGATCGGTTATCCAAATCATGCCGTATTTTGCCACTAACTGGTCTTCCTTCTGCTCTCCAGGTCGCTGAGATCCTGTTCCAACAGGTCTTCCAGCATTATGGACTTCCGGAGGACATTGTCTCGGACCGTGGCCCCCAATTCACCTCCAGAGTGTGGAAGGATTTCCTGGAGAAGATCTGGGCCACGGCCAGCCTCACTTCCGGGTATAGGCCTCAGTCGAATGGGCAGGTGGAGCGCATGAACCAGGAGCTGGGGAGGTTTCTTCGTTGCCACTGTCAGGACCGGCAGGGTGAGTGGGCGCGGTTTCTTTCCTGGGCAGAATATGCCCAGAACTCTCTTGTTCACTCCTCCATGGGGCTCACTCCCTTCCAGTGCCGGCTCTGGCCCCTTGGACACCCAGCCAGACCGATGCGTCCCGCTGTCGACGAGTGGTTCCACAGGGCCGGACAGGTCTGGGATGCCGCCCATGTCCATCTCCAGAGGGCCATTAGTCGGCAGAAGGACCAAGCCGACCGCCAACGCAGTGAGGCCACCTGGGGATCGTATCTAGCTGTCCACAAAAAACCTCCCTCTCCGCCTGCCCTGCAAGAAACGGAGCCCCCGGTTTGTGGGGCCTTTTAAGGTCACCCGGCGGATAAATGAGGTATCATACCGGCTGCTCCTTCCCCCTCACTACCGTGTCTCACCCACTTTTCATGTGTCTCTCCTCAGGCTGGTGGTTCCTGGTCCTCTGGCAGATGCCGTCCCCCGGGGTACGCTTCTTCTGCCCCTGGACATTGAAGGGGGTCCGGCGTATGCAGTGAAGGACCTGCTGGACTCCAGGTTCCGTGGGGGATGTCTCCATTACCTGGTGGACTGGGAGGCGTATGGTCCTGAGGAGAGGAGCTGGGTTCCAGCTGGGGACGTTCTGGACCCCAACCTAATTCGGGACTTCCACCGTCGCCTCCATGACCGGCCCACTCCTCGTCCTCGGGGTCATCCTCCTTGCCGGTGACGTCCAGCGGCTGGAGCCACGCGTCCTTGGGGGGGTACTGTCACGTCTCCTCCCGTTGCTCCCCTCTGGCTCTCTGATTCGCCGGTCTACTGAGCCACCGGTCTGAGCACACCACCTCAGCTACACCGGAATGGAAACTCAACGCACCCTAATCACCTCCAGCGCACCTGCACCTCATCACCACCCCTATTTAGCCCTGGACTGTTTTGGATGATGTTGTGTGTGATCGTTTAGCTTCGTGTCATTTACTCTATTTGTTATTTCTCTTGCTCATTGTTAAGTAAACCTTGACCTTGTTAATTCCTGCGTCTGCGTCCTGCCTCTTTGTATACTCCATACGCATCACATGTAAAATGAGAGCTGAGAGCTGGAAGGGAGATGCTCTGCAGACCACTCGGCTTTGTCCATTGTAATAAAGTCTATCTTAATTCTACAAAAAATACTTTGGTTCTTTGATCAATATAAGGACGAATTTGCCACAACACTATCTACCTGGCTGACTCCCATATCTGTTGGCCCTTAGATAACAAGAAGCCTTGCTTTGACAGCCCCCCACTTTCAGCTATTCCAGAATGGCCCCCAGAACAATGGGTCAATTTCATAGCAAGATGGAGGTAGGAGTGAGTTATCAACACTGGGTCATGAAATGTTGGGGGGAAAGTCCATTATCCCAGTTTCTAAGGCATAACTAGGGGAGACACTCCCAGTTGTAAGGAATTCAAGGGCACTGGATTCAGTGACAGACAGACATGATCGTTAGACCACATCAAATAGACTGAACAAGACAGCTTGTTGCTGAAGAACAGAGGTCAGGCATTTTTCTTTAACAAGCTGCTTCAAATAATGCTGTGAGAGAGTGATTGTTCTTAGGAGACAAGATTAGGGCTAATCTTTTAATGATTAAAGAGTAATTCCACCACTCTTCAAGCTCATTTTCATCATGTCCAGCACATTATGTAAAAACGGCGCATTTCTGAGTAATTAAAAGATTAAAAGGTTAGGGTTAAAACATTTTTTCAAACACTATGATATTCAAGGTGATGTGGGGAGCAAGATAATACCCTCCCTCTGGCTAGTAACTCCTTGCAGGTTTAGAAAATCTTTATTTATTTATAAAAAATTTTCTACACTGTGATGTCACAGAGAAGCATTTTTGGGACCTTCCAGGGCTCCTCCCTTCAGCTGATCTGGGATATAAAGGATACTTGTCTTCCTGGCAGCACCAGAACATCACACATCACACACTCACAGGTACTAGGGGATAAATTAAATCAATTGGTGTTGTCTCTGGCTCTGGCTGGTCTCTTTCTTTCTCACAGATCCTCTGTCAGATCCTCTCAGGTCTCTCAGGTGTGACGGAACACGGAGCACTGAACGGAACACAGAAGGAGCTCCAGTAACATCAGGATTACCACAAGTTCTGCAGAGTTGGAGTTAGTTGGGGATCGCTCAATGCGTCTTAGGATGGATCATTGCCATCGTGTCCTGCACCCTGCCCATGTGGCGAGTAACGGCCTTCATCAGCAGCAACATCGTCACGGCTCAGATAATCTGGGAGGGTCTGTGGATGACCTGTGTGGTCCAGAGCACAAGCCAGATGCAGTGTAAGGTCTATGACTCCATGCTGGCCCTCTCCCAGGACCTCCAGGCTGCCAGGGCCCTCACGGTCATCTCTATCCTCCTGGCCATCCTGGCCGTGCTCATCACCATCGCCGGGGCCAAGTGCACCAACTGCATCGAAGATGAGGCATCCAAAGCTAAAGTCATGATAATCTCTGGGGTGTTCTTCATCGTGTCGGGATTCATGCAGCTGATCCCAGTGTCCTGGTTGGCCAACACTATCATCAGGGACTTTTACAACCCTCTGCTGACTGATGCTCAGCGCAGAGAGCTAGGGGCAGCGCTCTACATTGGCTGGGGGGCCTCAGCCCTCATGATCCTCAGCGGAAGCCTCCTCTGCTGCTCCTGTCCCCCTCGGAAGTACAACCCCTCACGGATTGCATACTCTGCTCCACGCTCTGCCCCAGGTGGGCCCGGGTTCGAGAGAAAATACTATGTGTGATGAGATGATGGATGGGACAAGAACTGTTAATGTAACAACCAAAAACGTTATTCTACACTTCTTTTTAATGGTGTGTCTAAGAAAGGGCTTCATGAATCCCAAGGAGACTCCACGATGAAGGGATGTGTTTGTTTCTGCTTTTTTTTACCATTGTTTTGTTTGATTTGTCTACGTGTGTACAGTATTTGTCTCTGTAATATCTACTCTGAAAGAAAAGCATTTGAGAAGGATCATGTGCTTTCCATTTGGGTTTAGTGAGAACAAAGGAAATGAAGAATAAGATCAGTAGTTACTACATTTATTAATTAAATTACAAGGTTTTAAGGGTTGGATTATTGGTGAGCTATGCATATCCATTGAAACTATATCAAGCTCATTTAAAAACATTCACAAGCCTCATATAATTATTTACATAGCGTTTGTACTTTTATAATTATTCCTCTCTAAGATGTTAGTCATTGAGTCCATTAACATTTTAAATCACTAACATTGAATTATTTCCCAAGCTTCAGGCAACTACGCTACATCAAATGATATATTGTAGAATATTCAGTCATTTTCTTCTCATTGACATTTCTCTATGTTATTGGCTCATATAAATGAGGCATTGCTTAGGCTTCAGAAACTAAAGAGCACTGTTAAACATTTGACTGATGCTTTCACAAAAAGATGAATGAATACAGTAGAGTGAACAAAATCAGGATGTTCACATCATTTTTGAAGGAACTATGTTTCTTTTTTATGTAGGATTTTTTTTATGTTGGGACATTTTATATATTTTTTCTCAAATCATTTGTGAAAGAGATGGATTTGTTTGATGGTGATGTTCTATCATCAGTGTTAAGGGTGTGATTGTGTGATGTGGTCATCTGTTTGGACCCCAGCAAGAGTAGCGGCTGCCTTGGCAGCAGCTAATGGGGATCCTAATAAAATACTAACAAAATACTAAATTGTGGGCCTCCCGAGTGGCGCAGTGGTCTAAGTCCACTAGAGATCCTGGGTCGAGTCCAGGCTCTGTCGCAGCCGGCCGCGACCGGGAGACCCATGGGGTGGCGCACAATTGGCCCAGCGTTGTCCAGGTTAGGGGAGGGTTTGGCAGGGCTATTCTTGTCCCGAGCTGCGCACTAGTGACTCCTGTGGCGGGCCCGTGCGCAGTGCACGCTGACACGGTCGCCAGTTGTACGGTGTTTCCTCTGACACACTGGTGCGGCTGGCTTCCGTGTTAAGCGGGCATTGGGTCAAGAAGCAGCGAGGCTCGGCTGGGTTGTGTTTTGGAGGACACTCTCGACCGTCGCCTCTCCCGAGTCCGTACGGGAGTTGCAGCGATGGGACAAGACTGTAACTACCAATTGGATACCACGAAATTGGGGAGTAAAATAATAATAACAACAACAAAAATATAATACTATGATACAGAGTACTGTATCTGACAGATGACAGATGTATTAAACTCAGTGTGGATAGCAGTGCACAGAGGGAGTGGGGAACAGGTTGGGAGCAGACAAACTGAGAAGAAATGGGGGCATTGTGCACCTGTGTCCAGCCAGAACAGTGCTACTGTGTGTGTTAGTCCTGCAGTGCTTTTTAATAAAGACAGTTGTTGTTTTATAAAGGTTTGCATCTCTACTGATTTAATTCAGAAAGCAATAATCCATTTTGTATATTTTCCTCGTTTTATTGAATTACCATCTGCACACAGAGGTTCACACTATCAACAATATATTTGTTGTACTTCAGCAGTTTTGTAATGTTTTTTTTAACCCAATGAGAAGGGGACGGATGCTGGGATAAGGATCAGTACATGTGCCAGTGTAAAGGTAGCCTGATATGCAATCCAAGAGGCCATGTTACTGGCCATCAATCAGCAACTTTACCACAACAGCTCTAAACAATTACCAACAAGAGATCACGGAGCAGGTGCAGGTGACAAATGTTATGTCAGCAGAGAAGTTCAAAGAAGACTGAAAGAAATGATGAAAAGGTAGGATTATAATCAGTAGCAGCAGGCCTAGAGTATAAGTCATCTTCAATTAAGGACATAGACGAACCCAAGAAATACACAGGAATCAAATTTGTAATTGTTTCTATAAGCAATTTGAAGTATGTTTCCTGCATGCTGGCTGTGACTTTAAGACTTCCAGTCTCATGTTTAAAACACATCTTGTAGCACCTTACAAAAGCCTATATCTGAAATATTCATTGGGATCTCATAGTAAACATGGGAGAGAAAAGTCCCTGGAGACTGGAGTCTCACCATACCAGCACCTTACCAGCCAACTGTTGTCTCTTCCTCCACATATCAATGTCACTTCTAACAAAATATCTATCAAATCATTTGACATGCAGCCACCTTGACTGGATCCATTGATATTAACTACTGTACAGTTTCAGCTTGGATACAGTCCATTGTTCAGATGATTTCCTCCAAAAAGGGGGATAAAATGTACATTAAAAAGCTAGGTTATGCATATGAATAGAATAAGCGTCTCTATGGTTATTGAAGCATGGTGTTCATACATGGTGTTCATACATTTTTCAGTTGATTATTCAAATTACTTGCCATTTTCAACTGAGTCAAATGCAACCTTTTGAAATTGCAACATAGGGCAACAAGCATTCAACTACTGTAACAAAACACTGTATAAAATCGAATCTAGATGATTTCAAAGTAATGTAATTTGATACAGTTGAAAAACAAAACCAATGTATTTGTAATTTGCTCATTTGCATTGTATTTGTTGGCTGACTGATGGTCTTACTAAATGAAAGTTAGGATAATGGGATATCATTCTTTCTAAGAGGGTTGGAAATCTTGGAAGTGTGTTGTCCAAAAGCTTCAGTTTCAACAGATGTACGTTACAGTTACGTTACAGATTTTGTTACGTTACAGCCTTATTCTAAAATTGATTTTAAAAAATGTTTTCCTCATCAATCTACACACAATACCCCATAATGACAAAGCGAAAACTGTTTTTTTGAAATTCTAACAAATTTATAAAAAACAGACCCTTTGCTATGAGACTCGAAATTGAGCTCAGGTGCATCCTGTTTCCATTGATCATCCTTGAGATGTTTCTACAACTTGATTGGCGTCCACCTGTGGTAAATTCAATTGATTGGACATGATTTGGAAAGGCACAAACCTGTCTATATAAGGTCCCACAGTTGACAGTGCATGTCAGAGCAAAAACCAAGCCATGAGGTCGAAGGAATTGTCCGTAGACAGGATTGTGTCGAAGCACAGATCTGGGGAAGGGTACCAAAAGATTTCTGCAGTATTGAAGGTCCCCAAGAACACAGTGGCCTCCATCATCCTTAAATGAAAGAAGTTTGGAACCACCAAGACTCTTCCTAGAGCTGGCCACCCGGCCAAACGGAGCAATCGGGGGGAAGGGACTTGGTCAGGGAGGTGACCAAAACCCGATGGTTACTCTGAGAGAGCTCCAGAGTTCCTCTGTGGATATGGGAGAACCTTCCAGAAGGACAACCATCTCTGCAACACTCAACAAATCAGGCCTTTATGGTAGAGTGGCCAGACGGAAGCCACTCCTCAGTAAAAGGCACATGACAGCCCGCTTGGAGTTTGCCAAAAGGCACCTAAAGACTCTCAGACCATGATTAACAAGATTCTCTGGTCTGATGAAAGCAAGATTGAACTTTCTGGTCTGAATGCCAAGCGTCACGTCTGTAGGAAACCTGGCACCATCCCTATGGTGAAGCATGGTGGTGGCAGCATCTTGCTGTGGGGATGTTTTTCAGCGGCAGGGACTGGGAGACTAGTCAGGGTCGAGGCAAAGATGAACGGAGCAAAGTACAGAGAGATCCTTGATGAAAACCTGCTCCAGAGCACTCAGGACCTCAGACTGGGGCGAAGGTTCACCTTCCAACAGGACAACGACCCTAAGCACACAGCCAAGACAACGCAAGAGTGGCTTCGGGACAAGTCTCTGAATGTCCTTGAGTGACCCAGCCAGAGCCCAGACTTGAATCCGATCATACATCTCGAGAGACCTGAAAATAGCTGTGCAGCAACGTTCCCCATCCAACCTGACAGAGCTTGAGAGGATCTGCAGAGAAAAATGGGAGAAACTCCCCAAATACAGGTGTGCCAAGCTTATAGCGTCATACCCAAGAAGACTCGAGGCTGCCAAAGGTGCTTCAACAAAGGGCTGAGTAAGGGGTCTGAATACTTATATAAATGTGATTTTCCCTGTATTTTTTCAGATGGCTTTTCCTATACAAGACTGGGGCAGTATAGGGTGTTTGAATGGTGTTAATAATTGATTCCACCTCTGGGTTATTTCAGCAGTATTACTCTCTCTCTCTGCTCTACTCTGCTGGCTCTGGACAGCGAAACCCTGGCTGATCACATGACCGATACTGAGCTAAGTGAAGGACGGAACAGACAGAAGTTGCTAGGCTCCTGGAGTTGCCAGTGAAAAAGCCTTCCTTTATTCATCCACCATGAAAGGAACAACACAGCCCCTTTGTGGGTCCTGTCCTGTCTACTCTGTCGGCACATAAACTTAAACACTACCGTTGGCTTACATGCTCCCACAATACAAAATATGCCAAGACCTACAGTATGGTTCAAAAGGCATGTTGCTTTGCAGATGAGGCACTGTATACATGGAATATCTTAAATATTTTTAGTGCAATAAACAAAGTGTGGCTAACAAAGTGACTGATCCGTGGAAGCTACTCTCAGCCATTTCTTAATATGTTGGTCTGTCCTCTTCCTCTTTCTTCCTCAATAAACAGAAGATAAACAAACAGCTAACAGATAATGATATCATGAAGCAGGTGAACGTAACATCTTTATCTAGGTCCATCCACACACAGCCAATCATTTTAGATCTATTTTGGGGCAGTTTCCAAAATGTCTTAAAGGGCCAATCAACTGTTGAAACAATACCAAAGAGTACTCCCTGCTATTGTTTCGGTAAAAATCTGAGGGATGGGCCACTCTCAAATTCATAGACAGAGCTATGGATGCTAGAAACTGCTGATTGCCCCTTTAAGTGCACTCCAGGGAGGGTTAATATCCAAACAGACCCTCTGCCAATAGCCTCACCTAAGGACGGTCAGAGACAGAGAGGACGGCTTGTACCTGACGCCCATCTTTAATAAACGACAGTTACTTACATTTAACATTTTAGTCATTTAGCAGACGCTCTTATCCAGAGCGACTTACAGTTAGTGAGTGCATACATTTTGTCATACTGGCTCCCCGTGGGAAACAAACCCACAACCCTGGCATTGCAAGCGCCATGCTCTATCAACTGAGCTACACGGGGCCCCATATCAGTGTTTTTCTTGTTGTCATTAACCTCCCAACATTCCTGTGTTCCGTCTTCCAACTGACTTAATCTATGAAAATAGCAAACAAGGCCTGAGACTGAAGCCCAACAACACCGGCCATATTTGCTTTCATTCTTTTATCCCACTCCAAAACACAGCCAGAAGTTTACTGCCTATGCTATTCCTGTCTAAACACCTCATTAATGTGAGAGAGACACCCCATTAGCTGCATACCAGAACATTTAACCTATAGTCGGCGTTTCGAAAAACAACCCAACCATATCCCCGCCACTTGTTTTGGTATACAGCTGAGGGATGGTGCTGGGGAAATGTTTAACCCCTCTCAAATTCTTTAGGTTGTGATAAAGACAGATGTGCTAAGCTCATAACGCATTTCTAAGTTATTTTCTTCAAGAATCAATAGGTAAATATCAAGAATTGAAATGACCATTGAACAGATTCCCAGACCCAGACTATCTCTGGTGAAACTGTGAACAATATGACAGCTGTTTTAAGGATCAGTGGTGGTGTAAGAACAGAACAAGACGTATTGGTATTATAACCAACATCCATCAGAAGAAGATCTAGGTTGTTTGGCACTGCCAGATGGATGTAAACCAAGCGTAATACACACCCTTATTATGAGCCTGGCCAGAGGGGTATACTACAAAGCAGGATCAATGCGTTAGCCAGCTAACTTTGATAAGCAGCCCGGTTCATCAATAAAGTTAAACTTAGATATGTGTTTTTGGTTGTTGAGTCAAATAGACCATGCCCATTTCCAAAAAAGTACAGTTATTTCAGAATATTTAGGCAGGTGGGCCTTACCTGTGTGCAGTGCCAATGAAATAAATCCCTCCAAATGTGAATACTACTACAGTACATTTCTTACATAGAGCAGATATAGTTTTGAGGAAATCTCATTTGTTACAATATTACTCATTTTAAAATGTTTTTCAAGGTGAAGATGCATCTACAGTATATGGGGTAAATGTGGATAACCAGCTGTATCCTGTAGGCCTATGTGATGTACGCAACATAGTTTGCATGGACTGCATAAAAGACTATCAATCAAAGGCCATAGCATATCAAGTACTGTATGAAAAATGACTATTTTCAGTGTAAAGGACATTCTGTGTTCACTAATACATAAACACCATCTACATACAGAATACATAGACTACATACATTATGATACACAACAGCATGCATGCACTTTGATAACATTCATATATTACAACAATAAGTAATATGAATCTAGATTTTTGCATTATTTCTTCTGTAATAACAGTTGCAAGTACTAGACTTTTTCAGTCATTCAGTCAACATTGTTCTGTGTTTTTCACTTAATCAAATAATCTGAGGACATTCTGATTGTCAATAAAAACCAAATTGAAAATAAACAAGTAGAAAATGTCGATGAACAACAGGACAGAACTTACATCATGTATTGACAACATATTGCATGAATTCTGTCCATTAGATTGGAAAAAATAAAATAAAAGATTGTTCTGGTACTGTGATCAAAATACCTTATATGAGTTTATCTATATTGCACCCTTCCCCCAAAATGTCCCCTTCAGTAGTGTGGCAAAAACTAAGGCACATAAGGTAAGAATACAATGCATGAAATGCATTTTGGACATATTTCATAATGTATCTAGATCCCACAACATTTCACATGAGAACTCATGACATTCTGTATATCATTGGTTTATTTATGAGCACCTATTGTATATTTAGTTATTTTCTACTAAGGGCTGTTTTCTCTGAATACATAATGGCAAACATTTTGCATAGATAGCAGGCAACATTTAATCTTATTACATCTTTTGAAAAGACTGTAGTGAGTGGAATACCACTTAGATCTGGTATCAACTGTGTTTTGTAAATACCTAAATATTTACAACATGATTATAGGTGAATAATAACTTCATTATGTGTTATGAACGGAGTCCAGTCACTCTATCAACTTCATTTCCCTTCTGTCTGTCTGTACACTACCTATATAAAGGTTGGATTAAATAATTAGTCTGAGCAAATACTGTCAGTATTCTTTCAAACATTGACATTCACACATACATGTACAATCTCAGGCATCAACGACTTCATTATAAGGCAGAAGACGGCACATCCTCTAAGCATCTTTCCTTGTCGTGACTCTCACCATGCTAGTGTGTGACTCTGGCCATGCTAGTAGTTACCATGCTAGAGTCTTTAACCACTAACATGCTTTTTATGTTCTTAGGTTCTTCTCAGTGACAGTGGGGAAACTACTGTCTACTTTTTGATAACTCTTTGTCCATTAGGGCTCTTATCTAGTCCTTGTTTCCAACACACCATGGTCTTGAATCCTAATACTCTACTGAAGTCTACTACATAACGTTACTGAGTGTTCGGCCTGTCCTGTTCTGCTTGGTACTCTATCTACCAAGACTGATAGTTCCACCAGCTTGTTCTTGCCTTGATGACTCGACTCGCCTTCTTCAATGGCCAGCTGATCAAGACATTTCTGTGCTATGTGCCAGTCCTCCATGGTGAAGCAAAAGACATACCAGGTTACTATTTGCCAGGCTGTGTCACCTTTCCCCGTCGAAGCCAGTCTCTCCAGGGGGACTGGGGCTTCTCTTGCCCAGCCTCAGAGGTCCAGGAAGCGGGGGAGGAGGAAGGCTGGTGGGGCCTGGTGGAGGAAGCTGTGCTGGGTCTCCTCCAGAAGGACATGGGGTTGGAGGCAGGCTTCTTCTGGACCTGCTCCGACTGCTGCTGGGTCCTCAGCTGCTGGTTGATGATGATCTGGATGTCGTCCTGAAAAAATTAAATAAAAACATTACACCTCTGTTGATAATGAGCCTGATTAGACTTTACATACATTTTAAATGTAAGAGCTGGATATAACAAGAGATGAAATACGCTTCTAATAGCATGAGGTTGAAACTGTGGGAAATTTTCAATCGTCTATTGAACTGGTCAGTTACAGTGAATATGTTGCCATGTCTTCATATGACCACTAGAGGGAAGTAGTCACCAAGCAGATGGCCTGGCACTAGCACCATGACTCAGCAGTAGACTAGAGTAGCAGAGAGACTCTTCTAGCCTTGGCCACCTGTCGTTATGTTCAGATCCCTTCAGTCCAAACTTAGAGGGCTGTTTAAAGGTTGCCATGTCCCTAACCCCAATTAACACTAGAGTTCTGACTGTGACCAAGGATTACATTACATTTTGACTATAGGAGGTGCCCTAAAGATAATAGCCTTAATTAAACCAATGTTAATATTTTCACAGAACTTATGAAAGTTCCCTAATATGTTACGGGAGTGCAAGAGAGGGGCAGAGGAAGGGAGAGAAATACAGATAGATAAAGAGAGATCCAGAGACGGAGAGAGAGAAGTGGGATGACAGAAACAGAGACAGACAGAGAGACCGTGGAGACCCACCTGCCAGGCCTCTAGCTCCTGAGACAGCTCCAGCTTGCGTTGGATAGCCTCCAGCAGCTGGTTGTTCAGACACATCATGTCGTTCTTACTCTTCACCAGCTCCGCCTCCATCAGGTTCTTTCTGCCATGATGTAAGAGGGGGACAAACACATGTTAGGTCACAGTGACATCATCATAGATTCATTGCAACAAAAAAATGGAAAGCCCATGGCAATCTTCCAATGACAACCCAGCACGGGACATATGTTACACTTACACATAAAATAGCATGAACTATGTATAAATGCAACATGTCACTTTATGAATGATAAATGCTGTTTGAATATGACATTGAAGTAAATTACAAAGAGTGAAAATAATTCAACGATTAAGACAAAACCACACTTACTTAGCTATGGCTTCATCTCGGTCTCTGATGGCCTGTTGGGCCATCTCTTCTTCCTCCTGTCTGTTTCCCAGCCTTAGCCTCAGCTCAGCATTCTCCTCCTGGAGCTGGGAGATTTTAAAGGAGGGGAGAGGACAAGAGAGAATATTGTGAACTGAAACCAGAGTCCAATATTAGCAACACCAATGTCTTGGGTTCAACTCGTGGTCCTCTGTAGCTCAGCTGGTAGAGCACGGCGCTTGTAACGCCAAGGTAGTGGGTTCGATCCCCGGGACCACCCATACACAAAAATGTATGCACGCACGACTAAGTCGCTTTGGATAAAAGAGTCTGCTAAATGGCATATTATTATTATAACTCCTGCTGCATCAAGAACTCATAACCAACATGACCACAAGGTGGCGCACAAACCACACACACTGAGATGAGCCAACATAACCACGACTAAAGCAGACTATTCAGTGTCTGTGGTACTTAGTTATGTACAAATTTGGTTAAAATTACATTAGAGGACATAGTTTCTACCCTGGGGTGTTCTATTGACCTGCCACTCTATGAGTGAACACACAGGACATGTGGGTGTTGTGTTATAAAACAGTAGCTCATGGTATTTACTGGACATTCAGAGCTGTAACCTGACTATCATTGTACCGAGAAAAAAATAACCTCTCTCTCTCCAGCCCCCAAACCCTAGAGCCCCACACAAATAGGCCAGCAACACAGAAACTCCTTTTATTCAGTGGTGGGAAAAGTACCCAATCGTCATAATTAAGTAAAAGTAAAGATACCTTAATAGAAAATGACTCAAGTAAAAGTGAAAGTCACACAGTAAAATACTACTTCAGTAAAAGTCTAAAAGTATTTGGTTTCACATTTTAGTCATTTAGCAGACGCTCTTATCCAGAGCGACTTACAGTTAATGAGTGCATACATTATTTTTTATACCCCCGTGGGAATCGAACCCACAACCCTGGCGCTGCAAACGCCATGCTCTACCAACTGAGCTACATCCCTGCCGGCCATTCCCTCCCCTACCCTGGATGATACTGGGCCAATTGTGCACCGCCCCATGGGTCTCCCGGTCGCGGCCGGCATCGACAGAGCCTGGATTCGAACCAGGATCTCTAGTGGCACAGCTAGCACTGCAATGCAGTGCCTTAGACCACTGCGCCACTCGGGAGGCTTTAAACATACTTAAGTATCAAAATATACTTAAGTATCAAAAGTAAATGTAATTGCTCAAATATACTTATGTATCAAAAGTAAATGTTAAAGTATACATAATTTCATATTCCTTATATTAAGCAAACCAGATGGCACAATCTTGTTTTTTTATTTATCGGTAGCAAGGGGGACACTCCAACACTCAGACATCATTTACAAACGAAGCATTTGTTTAGGAATGTTGTGAAGTAAAAGTAAAAGTTGTCAAAAATATAAATAGTAAAGTACAGTACAGAAAACTACTTAAGTAGTACTTTAAAGTATTTTTACTTAAGTACTTCATACCACTGCTTTGATTGTGTCTAAATCTAAATGGAACGCAGGCCTGACTGACACCTGATCTCTGTGTTAATGTCTCTGTCTCCTAGAGGATGAATCCGGCCTGTGTTGTCAGGGCCGGCAATCCATGTGAGAACCCGTGAACTGTACTGAGGACTCAGGTAACTGAACAATGAGCCCTCGTGTGCTGGGCTGAGCAGACTGTAAGAGGTGGAAGGTGATTTAGTATTATCTATGTTGACCTTGCTGCTGTACCCGTTGTCCATCTAATATTCAGGTTGGTTCTCCTGTAGACTATGTTCATTTTCAACTTCTGTTAGTGCTTCTCGTTTCATCCTTCGGTTATTTTCCTTTGTCTGATAACATCATTATTTCACCAGTCTCATTTCCCTTTCTCTATGACCAGTGTAGACACTAAAACTAGGGGAAACAACACTTGCATTGTTTTGACAGGCACTTTCCCGGGAAGGTGAGTTTCCCGGTGGGAATAATAAACCGTGCCTGCTGTGATCTGTGAAGCATTCAACCTTCCCAACCTGTCCTCTCCCAGATCGCCACCACAGGCTTCTAACAACAATGCCTCAACAGAGACCCAAACCCCACATCACTGACATAACTCCAACATCATCTGTCCTTATACCGGTACATAGTATTGTATAACACAAACACAATTTTCTTTCTTTCCCCCTCTAACAACAGAACGTATATTCATTAAATGGGGGAATTGAATAAAGGCTTTGCATTTAGGCCAAAAAGTGTATTCCTTTGCCGTGTTTTTTTGCAGTATTACATTAGTACCTTGTTGCATATAGGATGCATGTTTTGGAATATTTGTATTCTTCTTTTCACTCTGTTATTTATGTCATTATTGTGGAGTCACTACAATGTTGATTCATCCTCAGTTTTCTCCCATCACAGCCATTGGACTCTGCAGCTGTTTTAAAATCACCAATGGCCTCATGCTGACATCCCTGAGCAGTTTCCTTCCTGTCCTGCAGCTCAGTTCAGAAGGATGACTGTAACTTTGATGTGTCTGGGTGGTTTAATACATCATCCATAGCATAATTATTAACTTGACCATGCTTACATAGATATTCAATGTCTGATTTGTTATTGTTACCCATCTACCAATCACTGCCTTTCTTTATGAGGCATTTGAAAAGCTCCCTGGTCTTTGCAGTTGAATCTGTGCTTAAAATTCAATGCTTGACTGAGGGACCTTACAGATGTTGTATGTATGGGGGACAGAGGAAGGGGTAGTCATTCAAAAATCAAGTCAACCCCTATTATTTCCAAGTAACTTATGTGATTTGTTTAAACCAAATTTTACTCCTTCACAAATTTAAGCATGCCTAAACAAAGTAGGTGAGTACATATGCAACGACTTTATTTAATTTGTAAAAATGTGAAGAATTTTATTTTTCACTTTGACGTCATATGGAGTATTTTGTGTAGATCAATAACAAAAAAAATCACAATTAAATCTATTTCAATCCCACTTTGTAACGCAGCAAAAATGTGAAACAATCCAAGGAGGGTGAATACTTATAATACCCACTGTAGCTAACCTTTTGTCTTTTTCAGCAAAGGTACACAATAACTATACATAGTTTCCACAATTAAATTAGCTTGTTCTCTCATCATAAGACTACCCCAAAATGCTAACGGTTTTCCTTTACCTTAGCATTGTGCATGGTGACTTGCTGTTTTTGATGCTCATTGAACAGCAGATCGATCCGTGTGTCCCCCAATTATTTTAGGGGGATCTGGTGTTGGATGTGCGTTGCCGATTTTTCGTGTTTGATGAGGGCATTGGTCAGGTTGTTGAGGTTGCAGTAGCATCCTTCTAACCAATAGTCCACCAATTATACATGTTTAAACTCAATGCTTCTTGTATTTGACAACAGCTTTTTTTATTCTATTAAAAAAGCTACCCTGCCTGCACGTCACTGGTCTATTGTTAGAGTTAGCTTGCCCTGGTTGGTGGCTTGGTTTCCAGGACGACATCTCACCTGAGGGATGTGGGTGTGGTTGGCCAGTTTCTGAGCCACACCCTTTAACTGCAGCAGCATGGCCTGCAGGTCTCCTTCCTCCTGACCTATAAACTCTGACCTCTCTGGAGTCTTCACTACCCGGGTCAAGGGTCGCAGCAGCTCCAGGATGGACAGAACCTCCTGGGTCATCTATTGGAGAGAGAAAGAGAGATGAGATTCAAATGTAAACCAAATCAAATTGTATTGATAGCGTTTATAACAAAAACATTTGAACCCAGGTAAACCGGCCTAAACCTGGCCGCATATAACAAGCAGTAGCACCGTGGAAAGAGAAAACTAATTGGAAAGATAAGACAATGATGTGACTATGGTGTGTTAGGTCAATGAGTTCTGTGTTATTTTAACACTACAATGTGAATGTGTAGCTCAGGGCCACTGTATTATGTTCAGCCTACATTATGGCTACTCTTCTTTCCTCAGGTTTCAAAAGTGTCAAACTCATTACTGAGGAGGAAAGGTAAAAGAATAGTAAATGTGGGTTAACGATATTAAAAAGTTGGTGATCCCATTTCTTGAACTTGACACTTCCTAGATGACATCAGGGAAATAAACTGTGTACAGGGCTGTGTTCATTATTTATATATCACAGGGGGTTGAGTCATATACTTCTCCTCACCTGTCTTTCCCTAGAGTTATGAGTCAAAGATCAGTTTTTTTTCTTTGAGACTACTGAGCTCTATAGGAAATAACCTTCCATAGGTATAACCACTAACACAAAACCTGACAGAATGTGTGTGCTCTCTGACAGTTATAAGTGGAAAGATCCATGTAGCTTAGGTGGTTCAACCAAACAGGAAATGTAGGCTAGCGAATGACTCATGGGTACACTAAAACATCAGTTTCCTGGTATGGAACAAAACAAACCGAAATAATGACAGAATCAGACAGTCAAAATGTGATATAATTTGTCTCTTTCTTGCTCAGCTTTTATGCTTGGTTTCAAGCATTCATTATCACAATGTTTTCTACTAATTGTACCCTGTACTCAGGAGCTGTAATACGTTCACACCTCAGTAGCTAGTGGCAAAGCGCTCGCAAATAATGTTCCCCTGGTTGTTTCTTTCTCTTTGAAGACAGGACACACAAGGTAAGAAATGTTCCTTTACGGAGGTAGGTACTATACCATCACACAGAGTCACCAAGAACATACCCAGAACGTTCTGTTGCTATGTATCATTCTTCCATTACAGTGTGGTGGGAATATTTAAGTGATCAACACAATGTTTAGCATATTTGGAGTTTCTTTAATGCACATCATTTTCCAGTGTTCAATTTGTGACAATCAAGGTGCAAGTTGATGGTCACTAGACTTGATGCTGAATGTTATGGATTATTCTCATATCTGTTGATAGTGATTGATGCCAGACTGGAGGTACAAGGGCAGAGGAAACACTGATTATTCACTGTTGTATTGATGACATTATTTGGACACGGTGTGGTTCTGTAGAAGCTGACAAAGTCACTGCCTTTTTGTTTTGACTTCCTACAAGCCTCTCGGGCTGGTGTTTTAAGAACATTTTGTGCTGTCTGATTAGCATATAAAGAGCCTGTCTGCAAGAGGCCAGTTAGACATGTTCTCTGCTTCTGTGCTGGGTGGTGTCCTTCTGTTGCAACTTGTAATAAACCAGATAGATTTTTGAAAGACTGCTCTCCTTTTTGTTCACCTGGAAATTCCTATTACATACAGGTAGAGGACTTTGATTGCATGGTTATGTATCTCTGTATATTTCTAACAACTCATACTGTATACCCTCATTGCAAAAAGGGTTCTTTGGCTGTCCCCATAGGAGAACCCTTTTTGTCTTCCAGGTAGAACCCTTTTTGTCTTCCAGGTAGAACCCTTTTTGTCTTCCAGGTAGAACCCTCTGTGGAAAGGTTTCTACCTGGAACCCAAAAGGGTTCTACCTGGAACCCAAAAGGGTTCTCCTATGGGGTATATATATATATACACTAAGACTATGTATGTACCAAGGGTATTAACCCAGGATAAGTGTGCTAACCCTTGCCTTTGTCCCAGGTCCCATGTCTCCTAGTTTATATAGTGTTACCTGTTCTCGGTCATGGCCCAGGCCCATGGTGTCCAGACTGGTCTCCAGCTCAGACAGTAGGGATGTTTTTCCATGGCTACTCCTGTCCTGCAGGGAGACCTCCTCCTGCAGCTCCTCCACCTGGACCTGAAGCTTCTGGGAACGCCCCCTCGCAGCTGCAGCCTCCTGCCATGCCTCCGCCAGCTACACACACAGATACAAAGACACATACACACAGAAAAACATACAGAGGGAAACACACACAGAGAGATACATAAGGTCTGGTCAGTGTCATCTAAAATCAACCACATTATGCAAACACATTGAGATTCAGAACCTATCAGTCTGACTATTGCAAAGCAGATCTAGCTCTAGTATACATAACATGCAAATGTCATCCATAAATCCCATATTAGACAACATGTGCACTACATCAACATAGTGCTATTGGAAAAGCTACAGTGGGGGAAAAAAGTATTTAGTCAGCCACCAATTGTGCAAGTTCTACCACTTGTCAAAAATGTAAACTGACATGTTAGATTCCAGCCTGGTGCAGAAACTCCACTACAGTACATGTGTGGAATCCAGCATTGCAAGTTGAAATGACATGTAACAATGGGAGGGATGAGTCTATTGTAAAGCGACGCTTTCCATAGAGCAGACAAAATTTGCAGGTTTAAAGCTTATTTCCTGCAATTCTACACATTTTGTCATGGGGTACAAAGAAAATGTTGCAGTTTTAAAGCTAATTTTATTGCAATTCTATACATTTTGCCACATCTAATGTGTATTCATGTGATATTTGAGTGACAAAACAATTACAACAATATCTATGGGCTAAAAAACCTAAATAGAAAAACATTAGCTGACATGGGCTAGTTGATCTGGACATTTCTCACAAGTTTTAAATAGCTCTAAGGTATGCAATGACTAACATGACAAGAGGAACTGATGATGCACTACCCAATTTCGAAATTGCACATTCTACTATTACAACTTTCAAGAGTAAGTTTAAAGCCAGAATGAGGACCCCCGCCCCCTCCTGCCAACCCCTCCCACAGTTTGGGAACCACTGCCATAGATGACCAATACTCAGTGAGTGGATAATCAGTGTTGTTAAACCCCAATTACCAAGTGTATCCCAGGGTTACAGTCACTTAGCCAAGTGTGCACTATTGACATATGATAGTGAGTAAACAAGGAGAAAGATACCAAAACTAAATTCTGTGTGTTTACCTGTTGGCTCTGCTGCTGGTTGTGTTGGTCCTGTAGAGCTAAGTGTGTGTGTAGGGAGGCCAGGCTGTCCCGTAGATCTGCATTCTCCTGACACACACACTCCAGCCGCTCCTCCAGAGCCTGCTCCTTCTGGGACAGACGCTCCACCTGGACACACACAGGGAGCGAGATAAAGTGTGTGTGTGTGTTTCTGTGTGTGTTTTTGTTTAACAAGCCTTGTGGTTACCAGAAGTCCTCACAAGGATAGTAAAACAAGGAAAATTCATTCAAGTGGTGACATTTTGCTGGTCCCCACGAGGAAAGATGCTATTTTAGGCTTACAATTAGGGTTAGAATTAAGGTTAGGGTTTGGGTTAGGAGTTACAGTTAGGTTTAGGGTAAGGAGTTAGGTATAATTTTAAGGTTAGGGGTTAAGTTTAGGCTTGGGGTTAAGGTTAGGGAAAATAGGATCTTGGATGGGAATCAATTATTTGGTCCCCACAAGGATAGCAATACAAAACTGTGTGTGTGTGTGTGCGCGCGCAGCCTACCTGCTCCCTCATGGCACTGAGCAGCTCCTCGTCCTGTGGTCTGTTGTGGTGGCCTTTCTGTCGGAGCTCCAGTTTCAGGGTATGCAGCTCACTGGTCATCGCCCTCTCCACCTCCATCGCCTAGACCGCAACACAGACAAGCACCAGAGACAGGAGTGAGGTATTAGATATACATACAGAGAGACAGAGGAGTGTCACGATCATTGACGAACAAGAAGGACCAAGGCGCAGCATGATATGCATTCATGTTTATTTAATTATAGAAATAAACACCACAACAACAAATTAACGATACATGCCATCCTAAGGTACACATAACAAACCTCACACAGCACAAGATCCCACAACTAACAGGTGCCAAAAGGCTGCCTAAGTATGGACCCCAATCAGAGACAATGAGCAACAGCTGCCTCTGATTGGGAACCACACAGGCCAACATAGATCTATACATACTAGATCCAACCCTAGAAAATAACACATAGGAACATACACAACAAGGAAAATCACCCCCTGACTCAACAAATGAGAGTCCTCAGAGTCAGGGCGTGACAAGGAGACCAGAGACAGGAGAGAGGTATTAGATATACATACAGAGAGACAGGAGAGAGGTATTAGATATACATACAGTGGGACAGAGGAGACCAGAGACAGGAGAGAGGTATTAGATATACATACAGTGGGACAGAGGAGACCAGAGACAGGAGAGAGGTATTAGATATACATACAGAGACAGGAGAGAGGTATTAGATATACATACAGAGAGACAGGAGAGAGGTATTAGATATACATACAGAGAGACAGGAGAGAGGTATTAGATATACATACAGAGAGACAGGAGAGAGGTATTAGATATACATACAGAGACAGGAGAGAGGTATTAGATATACATACAGAAGAGAGGTATTAGATATACATACAGAGAGACAGGAGAGAGGTATTAGATATACATACAGAGACAGGAGAGAGGTATTAGATATACATACAGAGAGACAGGAGAGAGGTATTAGATATACATACAGAGAGACATTAGATATACATACAGAGAGACAGGAGAGAGGTATTAGATATACATACAGAGAGACAGGAGAGAGGTATTAGATATGCATACAGAGACAGGAGAGAGGTATTAGATATACATACAGAGACAGGAGAGAGGTATTAGATATACATACAGAGAGACAGGAGAGACGTATTAGATATACATACAGAGACAGGAGAGAGGTATTAGATATACATACAGAGACATTTACATTACATTTACATTATTTAGCAGACGCTCTTATCCAGAGCGACTTACATAATTTTTTTTAATACCCCGTGGGAATCGAACCCACAACCCTGGCGTTGCAAACGCCATGCTCTAACAACTGAGCTACATCCCTGCCAGCCATTCCCTCCCCTACGCTGGGCCAATTGTGCGCCGCCCCATTGGTCTCCCGGTCACGGCCGGCTACAACAGAGCCTGGATTTGAACCAGGATCTCTAGTGGCACAGCTAGCACTGCGATGCAGTGCCTTAGACCACTGCGCCACTCAGGAGAGAGACAGGAGAGAGGTATTAGATATACATACAGAGACAGGAGAGAGGTATTAGATATACATACAGAGAGACAGGAGAGAGGTATTAGATATACATACAGAGACAGGAGAGAGGTATTAGATATACATACAGAGACAGGAGAGAGGTATTAGATATGCATACAGAGACAGGAGAGAGGTATTAGATATACATACAGAGAGACAGGAGAGAGGTATTATATATACATACAGACAGGAGAGAGGTATTAGATATACATACAGAGAGACAGGAGAGAGGTATTAGATATACATACAGACAGGAGAGAGGTATGAGCTGAGCTACAGAGGACCACATACAGAGAGACAGAGGAGACCAGAGACAGGAGAGAGGTATTAGATAGACCAGAGAAAGAGGCACCAGGTTCAGGAGACATGAGATGAAAATACCTGAGACTAAAAATGGTAGAGACATTTAAGTTACTAGATATTAGATCCAGAGATACATATCTAAAATAGACATAATGAGGAAGTGTAATATAAAATCATAGATATTAAATAAGTGAATCTGTATTATATGTTGCTGTGAGCTAAACTGCAAATTGAAAACTAAGATCACATAATACAGTCAGAGGAATGGTTCTTGCCTCTAGCAATATCATAACAATATAACTAGAAACATCTCTCTGTGGGACCGTTGTTTCCTTAACTACCAGATGGTATAGGAAGCAATTATTGACATACTGTATGCGTACAAAAAAGGTGCTATCTAGAACTTAAACACACACACAGAAACAAAAACAGGGGGCATGTAGACATACACTGTAAGGGGAGTGGGCAAGGATGTATGTTTGTGTCAATCAGCCCCAGAGTCCCGTCCACAGCTTATCTTGGCACGACTATGGACAATGGAGCAAGCAGCCCACTAGGCATACATAGAGGGACGCTCCATTTGTTAGGGACACAAAATAAAATACAACACCCCCCTACTAAGCTCTAAGACTTGGCCTTCCCTTGTCTAAACTATGATGCACATAGCAGCTGATTCCTACCGCAGTAGTAGACCCCAAGGGACCTCTCAGAGTGGGGGAAAAAAGCATAGCATTCCCCTGGGATGGGAGGGCTCATAGATGGCAGTAGCACACACATCATGGGAGGAAACCCCTCAATGGAAAGAGTGAGAGATTTATATATTCTCCAATGATAGATCTTCCTAGCGCTTCCCTCTCTAAACGGCGTGATGCTGTCTGAGTCAAAGGTCAAACAAGGGGGCCTCAAATTGCGTGTCTAATTCTACATAAATGTAAATCAGGAGTGAGGGATATAACAGGTGCCATCACTATGGAAATCAAAGTACATCCTGTTGGCCATATCCCAAAGAAAAGTGAGGGTGTTTCAGGTTACAGAGTAATTCTACTGGTGTCTAAATCTAAAGTTCAAAACCTTAGCTAAACCCTTTGAGGTTTAAAGCAATCTTATTCACTTCCTTGTTTGAGACATGTGCACTGGTTTCTTTCCTTATGTTTGAAAAATAAATGATTTCCTTGAAGGCCTTTTCCTGTAAGTTAGATTGGACAATAACGTCATTTCTGAAAAGGTACTAACAAACAGAGAGATAGGCTGCGCGTTTAATCAACCAAGAGTTGCTATCATTTCCAGCTTATCAAACTGTAACCGTACTCCCTTCAGAGTAACACGTTCCTTTGCCAGAAATATGTGTAAATCATGTTATTTCAATGCAAGTGTTTGACTTGAGCTTCCACAGAAAATCTGTATGAAGTACACTAGAACCAACAGAAGTGAATGCTATACTCTGGGTGAACCATTGTTCACAGAGGAAAACTGATTAGGCATTCTGTGGAACAGTGAGGCCAAGATCCATCAATACGTTTGTATCATCTGCATGTTCACGTTGAAAACTGCTGACAGGATAGAGCTGTTTTTTTAAACAATGACACTGCCAGACAGTCACAGATGTCTAAATACTCATTCCCTCTCACACTCAACTGTTTGAATAACATTCATAGATACAGCAAAACCGGATAACGAACCAGTCTGACTGGCAAAGATCAACATAGTTTTCACACTTCTTTTACAACCGAGGTGAACAGCAACAGTAAGCATTCTAGTGGTCTCTAGAGATATTTATTAGCTGAAATGGATCTCTGTTTTCCTGGTAGTGTGACCATAGGTTGTTTTGTGGATGTTAGTTTAATACCTGGTGGTCAAGGTGATTTATCGGAGCTCTCTGAGTGGTAACCTCCCTCCCCCTGATTCCTGTCATGCTCTGTCTAAGCTCTCACACTACAGTTAGGCCCATCAGACCCTGGTAATATAGAACCACTTCAACCACACATACAATCCCATTCAGACACTGCTGTACACTATTGAGAGCTCTCTTTAGGTACACTGATTGTATAGTTATACAAACCACCATTCAGATATTAAACACATCGATGCCTCTCTCTCACTCACTCACACACACACACACTCACTCACTCACTCACTCACTCACCGTGCCAGGCAGTGCTGCACACCTGGAGAGAGGGGTACCACCACCATCCACTACCACGTCCGGTAAGAGGACATCAGCGACCGGACCGAGAGAAACACTCTTCAAACCTTTCCTCTCCACAACAACAGCTTCTGAAGTACTACTCTCTAGCTGTTCTTTTACTTTAAAATTTCCAGAGAACTCAGAGTCACCCATGGTAGAAGCAAGACAGCAGAATGAACCCACTTCTCTCCACTTCCTCCTCCTCCAGAACTCAGATAGAGGTAGCTCCTGTAAATATATATTTTCCTGCCCCTTTTGGAATTCTGGGAGACTGTGAGTGATAAATAAAAAATATTTCCTCTACATCTTCTGACCACAGGGTGGAGTGACGATCATGGTTCCTCTATCTGAACTGAAGAATACTGAGGAGTAAAATGGAGGTTGTGCTTCTTTCCTTTGCCTTATGTCCGTGCACTGGAATGGAGTTAGATATTCAACTTCCAACAGAGGCCAGGTGGTTAGTCATTTGTTTCACTAACTGTAAGTTTACGTCACAATCATACGATTCAGCAACACAAAACAACATTCTTGTTGTTAGTTGACAGAGAACTAGTCTAGAGGCCCACTCAAGGTTACTAGCCTAGTACACAAGGGCCTGTTACTTTAGCCAATCAGTTCTTCTACTGTACCTACTAAACTGATAAGAGACTATAAAATACATCATTGACTGCAACGGAAAGCTTCCAATCTTAGGTATTGTGGTTTTCACCTACACAGCATTTATAGGGATAACCCAGGACCTCACCTTTACAAACAAGTGTTGTAGTGTTAGTATTAGGTATCATTGTGGATATAGTTATAATAAAGTAAACATGAGTCACATTGAAGCATGGATATGACTGCAGAATGAGTACACAGCCTGACAGCTGTGGTTTTCCAATCACGTGGTCTAGGTCTTCTACAGCTCAGAGCCACATGGCTCAGTATACAATTCATTCCAGTGATGACTGATACAATTCATAGACCAATTCCAGATATGAGTCTTTTCCCATCATCCACTGTTGTCTCCCTGCTCTGAAGACCACATTCAAATTGAGTTGATATTATTTCAGTCCCTACTCCCTATTCCTCTTTACAACATGTTGCCATCCACTCATATAGCCTCCCAGCTGGATGGGTTGCCTTTAGGCAATGTACCTTAATGACATTCATTTAATAAGAACCTGACCTATCACCTGATCTTGAACTGCTGAGGTGGTGTTCTCTTAATCTCAGCTCAGGTTCATTTTTTATCTACATTTTATTGCTTATATGTACTGTCTGTGTATTACTTACTAGCTACTATTACTATGTATTACCTAATATCTGTGGCCTTGCTTTATACAGCGGTAGTCTTTGTACAGTACATTTATTTTCAGTAGGTAGATTGGGTAACACCCCACCTTATCTGCTGTTGGCTCTAACCCCAGGCATAGCTTGATTGGTTAGGTTTCACCAAGGTTCATGTGTTACTACAGTGGTTGGCTTTTCTTTACTTCTGCCTTAATAGATAAATATTTTCACGTCACTTTATATGGCCAAAATAACAAAGGGTCTTATGTACAGCATTCCTTAAGGCTAGCGTCAAAACATTAGCCTTCCTTGCCGGGCTTATTGCTAGTGAATTACATTTATTTCAGTCTGTTTTCTTCCATTTGGTGCTTAATGAACATGACCCAGGTGTGAAGGAGTGGTAGGTACTCACGGTGCTGAGCTGTTCTCTAAGGCGCTGGGTGTGTTCTCTGTGTTCCTCCTGGAACCTGGTCTTGTCCATCTCTGCGTCGGTCAGGGCCTGGGTCAGCCTGTCCACCTGGCCACTCAGATCCCTCACGTCTCTCTCCAGGTCCCCTACCTGGCTCACCCACCCAGACTGGCACCCCTCCAGCTTCACCCGCAGATCATGCCTGCCCTGCTCCAGCTCCTGTGGGCAAAACATAACAAACAGATGGGCACAGTGAATGCATGCCAATGCGGGTCTCTTTGGGCTGTGATTAGGAGACTAATACCACTGCTATAGCCTTTTAATCCATGAAATTACTGAAAGAGAACATCTAAGAGTATTTGTACAGCAGCTGTTACAGTGTTATTACTGTGTACTTATTGAAGCTAGGTGATGCATAATTGGTATTTCAACAGTCTGGTACACCCCTGCTATCTTTGTATTGTATCTATAAACTCTACAGAGCACACAGCATCAAAGTCCAGACATGGTTAGACTATGACTTAACCACAAGTGTGTAATACACTTTATGTAATGTAATAGAAACTAGGATTGTTTCATAATAGTAAACCAATAAATCAGTTTGGTGACTGGTCTATATAATATTCCATGTTCTTGCACATCTGAGGCCTAGTCAGGCCTACATTAGATATGTCCATCCACACAGAGAGCAGTAAAACTGTCTCTGAAACATGTCCTAATGTGGATTCATCTCCCGCTGCTAAAGACACTTATTGGATCTAGGAAAGCTACAGGCCTCTCTGGAAGCTTATAGAATTCCATACAGCATAACAGTAAGAGAAACATTGTAAATCTGAGAGATTGGGTGACAACCGTAACTACATTACTTCATGTGGGGGGGGTGACAATTATTTTTTCCCACTCATACTAGAGCAATAAAGGCCTAGTTCACACATTTTGTGATTATTATTATTTATTTTATTTCGATTTATCAGGGGGTGCCGCAGCACCCTCAGCACCCCTACTTCCCGTGGCTATGTCTTAATTAATCCTCTCCTGATACAGACAGGGCATCCTATGCTTCCTGTGATGTTTACTACACGGTCAGGCCTAATGGGAATGAGGATGCAACAAACTGCAGATGCTGCAGACTTGTAGAGGCTCTAACTAGACCCGCCAGGGACCCAACAAGTACAAAAGGTGCACAAACAAATGAATGTGCTTGTTTTGTTCCTGAGAAGCTAGACAGACATTTGAAGAAGGTGCAGACTGCAGGTGTAACACACTTCCCTACCAGGTATTGGATTAAAGTTATATGCTTTTCCTCACATGGAGGGAGCAATTTATTGAATATATCTCTGTGCTGTTCTAATGAGATGTCCATATTAATTAGCAAACCAGGGTGGGGAAGAGGGTGCGTGGAACTCAGGCTTATCACACAAAAACAAAAGAGCTTTTCAGAGAGCAGAGAAAGAGTGCATTGTGTGTAATAACATTGGTCTTTGTTTTACAGGGAAGCTCAGACTCAGTACATTCTTATGACATATCCTTTGAAGAGGAAAGTGCTAGCCTCCTTAGATCATGGTCATATTGGCTGTAGACTCCTAAGAATACTCGATTCATCCATCCACCTATGACATGTTAGTGAATATTTTCAAAGGCCTACCTTAAAACCATTCATTCTTTCTCAAGCAACAGGTGAACCTGAAGTTTGGTAATTTGGGTGAAATTGTGCTGCTTTATAATTGTCTATTTATATATTGTATTATAAAGACTTGCATGATGTAAAGACTTTGTGAGGGAAAATGTTATGTTTGTGCTTTTCTAATAACCAATTCAACTGGGTTCATGCAAGTGACTGATTGATCGTGCCTGGGAGGAATCCTCACTATCAGTATAAGCAATTTGGCAGTACGCCCAGAACATTGCTTTGAGAACCGAAAGGGGTATCTCAGTTTCAAGGTCTCAGCTTGGAGAGAAGAAGCCTTGTGAGGTATTGGTCGGTCACAGACAGGAACAAAACGTTAATGATGAATTAATGATGAATAATGAATCATGTAAATCACTCAAATATAACTTGTCTGTGTAAGCAGTATGTGCCTTCGGAAATATTCAGACCCCTTGACTTTTTCCACATTTTGTTTTATTCTAAAATTGATGAAATAAATACAAATTCTCAGCAATCTACACACAATACCCCATAATGACAAAGCAAAAACAGGTATTTAGACATTTTTGCAAATTTATTGGAGAAAGAAAACAGAAATACCTTATTTACATAAGTATTCAGACCGTTTGCTCTGAGATTCGAAATTGAGCTCAGATGCATCCTGTTTCCATTGATCATCCTTGAGATGTTTCTACAACTTGATTGGAGTCCACCTGTGGTAAATTTAATTGATTGGATATGATTTGGAAAGGCACACACCTGTCTATATAAGGTCCCACAGTTGACAATGCAAGTCAGAGCCAAAACCAAGCCATGAGGTCGAAGGAATTGTCCGTAGAGCTCCGAGACAGGATTGTGTCGAGGCACAGATCTGGGGAAGGGTACCAAAAAATGTCTGCAGCATTAAAGGTCCCCAAGAACACAGTGGCCATCATTCTTAAATTGAAGAAGTTTGGAACCACCAAGACTCTTCCTAGAGCTGGCCACCCGGCCAAACTGAGCAATCGGGGGAGAAGGGCCTTGGTCAGGGAGGTGACCAAGAACCCGATGGTCACACTGACAGAGCTCTAGAATTCCTCTAGAATTCCTCCAGAAGGACAACCATCTCTGCAGCACTCCACCAATAGGCCTTTATGGTAGAGTGGCCAGACGGAAGCCACTCCTCAGTAAAAGGCACATGACAGCCCGCTTGGAGTTTGCCAAACGGCACCTAAAGACTCTCGGACCATGAGAAACAAGATTCTCTGGTCTGATGAAACCAAGATTGAACTCTTTGGCCTGAATGCCAAGCGTCAAGTCTGGAAGAAACCTGGCACCATCCCTACGGTGAAGCATGGTGGTGGCAGCATCATGCTGTGGAGATGTTTTTCAGCAGCAGGGACAGGGAGACTAGTCAGGATTGAGGCAAAGATGAACGGAGCAAAGTACCGAGAGATCCTTGATGAAAACCTGCTGCAGAGCGCTCAAGACCTCAGACTGGGGTGAAGGTTCACCTTCCAACAGGACAACAACCCTAAGCACACAGCCAAGACAACGCAGGAGTGGCTTAGGGACAAGTCTCTGAATGTCCTTGAGTGGCCCAGCCAGAGCCCGGACTTGAACCCGATCAAACATCTCTGGAGATAGCTGTGCAGTGACGCTCCCCATTCAAACTGACAGAGCTTGAGAGGATCTGTAGAGAAGAATGGGAGAAACTCCCTAAATACAAGTGTGCCAAGCTTGTAGCGTCATACCCAAGAAGACTCGATGCTGTAATTGCTGCCAAAGGTGCTTCAACAAAGTACTCAGTAAAGGGTCTGAATACTTATGTAAATATGATATTTCTGGTGTTTTTTTTATAAATTAGCAAAAACCTGTTATTGCTTTGTCATTATGGGGTATTGTGTGTAGATTGATGAGGAGGGGAAAACGATTTAATAAATTTTAGAATAAGCCTGCAACGTAACAAAATGTGGAAAAAGTCAAGGGGTCTGATTACTTTCCGAAGGCACTGTATAAGAGAACTAACGGGAATGCCCCAGCAGAACTCCCGACTGACGTGTACTATGGTGCATTAAGTTTGTTGGAACCTCGCCAGCTTGCTGATAATAAAGAATGATTCATTTAAGATTGACTTCAGGTGTCCCTGGTGGTAATTTCCATGACAATTTGTTTAAAGTTGTTTCCCTTGTTTGATATGTCAACACAAAGCAAATAAATTAAATGTTATTGGTCATGTACACTCTTAGAAAAAAGGGTTCCAAAACTGTTCTTCAGCTGTCCCCATAGGAGAACCCTTTTTGGTTCCAGGTAGAACCCTTTTGGGTTCCATGTAGAACCATCTACGGAAAGGGCTCTACCTGGAACCAAAAAGGGTTCTTCAAAGGGTTCTCCTGTGGGGACAGCCGAAGAACCCTTTTAGGTTCTAGATAGTACCTTTTTTTCTAAGAGTGTACACATATTTTGCAGGTGTTATCGCAGGTGCAGCGAAATGCACAGTCTATCTATGGCTGTTAACATAGTCAAAACATTGGTTAATACTATGACTTGCTCTGTCTGGAATGATTATCAACATGCCAGAGTAGTGAGGTAAGTGGAAACCAGTATCCTACCTAACTATAATGTTATAATTCTCTCAGTGATGGTCACACATTTGCTGTCACATAGTCGGCGGAGAAATGTAAAGAAAATGAGAAAAAAAACGTACCCTCAATTTAGTTTATAATAAACCCTATCGAACGAAATCTTTAACAATGGTTTATAAATTGACTCATTGCATAGTCCTACTTCTCAAGTTCTAAATTAGATGCGCTCGTGAATCATGTTTTCATTAAATTTAAGATAGGAACAAGCGCGCATATGACACATTCACTGGAGCGACCACAACCTTCACCATCTCCTACAACACAAAGGGTTTTCTTTTGACACTTCTCTCTTACCTCAAGTTTGTCTGCATACTGTTCATTAAGTTTGTTGCTCTGTTCCTTCAACTGACGATTTTCCAAAAGCAATGCATTTCCCAACTGGGCCGCCAAAAGGACTTCTTCCTCCTTTTGTTTCAAAGCAGCTAAAAGTTCATTGGGGTCTTGATAATCAGATATTTCTTCCGCATCATAATCAAAATAAAAATCATCCTCCAATTCCACTTCCACCTTCTTCGGTTTGAAACTCCATTCACCAAGTTGAGCCATAGCTCCTGATTTTATGGAAATAGCCTAATAATAATAATAATATATTATATTTAAAATCTAAAAAACTAAAATTGTGGCATATTTGTCAACTCGGTCAGTCAGTTTCATTTCAATAACTATTTAGCGGTTGCCTATGCCTCTGTGCGCAATCTATGTGCGAATGAACCTGTGGTTTGACAAGCCGGCCTCTCCAGTATGATGCGAGTGAAAGTAGGCTGGTCCCCAGAGAATCCATTGCACCTTATTAAACCTGCGCGTCTGATGCGTCGCTGTGCAACAGTTGCCTCCCGAAGTCTGTTTGTACCACCCTAAACATATACATTTGACAATTCCAATCAGTTACTGCCCCTTGCAATAATAGTGTGCTAGCCTAACATCTTCATCCAAATTAGAAAATGCTTTATTATTATTATTGTTCAATAACTGACTAAATAAAATTGCTGTTCAATTGGCCTAACTGTGGAAAAGTAGCCTATTAGATATAGAGTATTAGATATTTGTTGACCTTCCCTCTCCCACTTCTTCATGATGCCTCTGTCTCAGTCATGTTCTCTTTCATGCCAGTGAGTCAGTCCTTGAACAAATGGCACCCTGCGTGGACAGATCCAGAGCCCCAGCCTTGGCTGGGTTGCAGCCCAGCCCGTGTCTGCTTGTGGAAGTGTCCCGCTCCTTTGTATAGGCGCTACCTTGGGTTCACAGGTCAGCTCCCACAAGGTTTCAGGGCGCAGGGGCCAGCAGCACCACAATAAAAGACACAGCATCCTGACGCATGACACTGCCATTGTTCCAGGGCATCTGTACATATGGCACAGGGGGAGCCTCACATGGAGACTGTACATCAAGGCTTGTCTGCCCTGAAGCCTATTGTTCCCATTGTCTTTGTTCAATTTATTGGCTCCTAAAGGGAGTGTGCCGAAAGCATGACAGGGTGCCACACATGGGCCCTAAGCACTAAATACAGGGACTCAAGGACTAGGCTATACAGAGACGTATCACAATATGAGGTCAGCGAGGACACACTTATCCTTGCCTACTCATCTATTACAGTATCTATTACAGACAGTCACTGTTTTTTATCTATAACTTTAACATTCATTTGAAAGCTAATGTATCCCTGTGAGGTCTCTGATATAGAAGGTTGTAAGTGATTAAATTGGTGCTATCAGTCTAACTAGGCTACACTAGCCTTCTGTATGAAAGATTATGAACCAAAGGGCTCCCGAGTGGCGCAGCAGTCTAAGGCACTGCATCTCAGTGCTTGGGGCATCACTACAGACCCCCTGGTTCGATTCCAGGCTGTATCACAACCGGCCGTGATTGGGAGACCCATAAGGCGGCGCACAATTGGCCCAGTGTCGTCCGGGTTTGGCCGTTGTACGCCGTCATTGTAAATAAGAATTTGTTCTTAACTGACTTGCCTAGTTAAATAAAGAAAAAAAAAAGGACTGATCAAATTCAATGGTAATTCAACTTCTCCTTAGTCTAGATCAGGGTTCTCCAACCCTCCTGTAGGTTTTCGCTACAACCCCAGTTGTAACTAAGCTGATCAACCAGCTAATTATTAGAATCAGGTGAGCTAGATTAGGGTTGGAGTGAAAACCAACAGGTAGGTAGCTCTCCAGGACAGGGTTGGAGAGCACTGGTCTAGATCAATACATTAATTTAATTGCGGAACCAATTACTCAAATTCACTTCCTACCTGATAACCTCAGTTAAGCATAAAAAAAAAACATTCCCATTTCAAATGTGAAACTAATTTGTCAACTCCACCCAGCCTGGTATCATGGACTAGACGTAACATAGTACTCCCGAGTGGCACAGTGGTCTAAGGCAGTGCTAGCTGTGCCACTAGAGATCCTGGTTCGAATCCAGTCTCTGTCGTAGCCGGCCGCGACCGGGAGACCCATGGGGCGGTGCAAAATTCGTCCAGGGTAGGGGAGGGAATGGCCGGCAGGGATGTAGCTCAGTTGGTAGAGCATGGTGTTTGCAACGCCAGGGTTGTGGGTTCGTTTCCCACGGGGGGCCAGTATGAAAAAAATAATAAAAATAATGTATGAACTCACAAAAAATGTAAGTCGCTCTGGATAAGAGCGTCTGCTAAATGACAAAAATGTAAATGTAAACGTAAGTCAAGGACACTCAAATCAGTGTAATATCTTACGTTTGGTATGGTTACATACAAGACAGAAGGTTACTTAAGGCAAAAACGAAAGTAGGGTGGTTGAATGGGTGGGAGTATATCGTGAACGTCTAGCAACCCAAAGGTTGCATGTTCTAATCTCATCACAGACAACTTTAGCAATTTGAGCAAATTAGCTACTTTAACCTTAACCTTAACCCCAACCCTAGCTAACGTTAGCATTAGCCACCTAGCCAACGTTAGCCACAACAAATTGGAATTTGTGACATATCATACATTTTGCAAATTTGTAACATATTGTACCAATTGCAATTCGTAACATATCATACGAAATGGATGATGATCATCCACAAATTAATACATACCATAAGAAACGTAGCATGTCATACAAGTTTGATTATCACAGATTTACCTTTGCTATGTTACGTCTACCCCTGAGTCCAGGTTGTTCCGCCACCAACTCTTCCACCACCATTAGGTTTCAATGTTTTATTTAATTGACTTAAAAACGAATCTTGGCCTATGTAGGCTAGAATAAATAAATTACCTTTACAGGTATACAGATTTTAATATGCTAATACTATATAATAATAATACTTCTACCATTTCAAGTTTGATATTGAAAATACAAATGCACTGTTACCTCCCCACAAAAAAGTTTAACTCTTGCAGAAACTGCAGTTCAAAGTCCAAGGGCAACATCTAGTGGAAAGAGAGAAAAACTGAATTTCCAGAACTTCACTGGGCACTGGAGAGTAGACTCGAAAACTTTATATGCTAAAACCACAAAATATATATCAGAGGATACTTAGCGTCATTTACTAGCTTTACATATGGTAGCGGAAGGTTTTTTGGAACGAAAGTCATAAAAGGCTACATATTATAAGGCTCTGTCGTAGCCGGCCGTGACCGGGAGACCCATGGGGCGGCGCACAATTGGTCCAGCGTCGTCCAGGGTAGGGGAGGGAATGGCAGGCAGGGATGTTGGTAGAGCATGGCGTTTGCAACGCCAGGGTTGTGGGTTCGATTCCCGCGGGGGGCCAGTATGATTTTTTATTTTTTTATATGTATGCACTCACTAACTGTAAGTCGCTCTGGATAAGAGCGTCTGCTAAATGACTAAAATGTATAACAGATTAGAAAAGATTAAAAACAATCCGTCTGGCTCCGGAGTGGCGCAGCGGTCTAAAGCACTGCATCTCAGTGCTAGAGGCGTCACTACAGACATTGTTTCGATTCCAGGCTGTATCGCAATTCGGCGGTGATTGGGAGTCCCATAGGGCGTTGCACAATTGGCCCAGCGTCGTCCGGGTTAGGCTGTGATTGTAACTAAAAATGTGTTATTAACTGACTTGCCTAGTTAAATAAAGAATAAATAAATAAAAATTATCACCGGAAGTTACACGCACAAAATATGATGTAACACGTAGATACTTCCGGAACAGCAGCGCTTTTTATTCCGACGAAGGTCGATTAGACATAGACATATTACCTACTGTACTGTGTCGCTTTCTTCAAATACGAAGGACTTTTCTTGTTATATTTGACTAGCTATCTAGCTTAATCAAAAATGCCAAGAGGAAGCAGAAGCCGGACGTCAAGGATGGCCCCTCCAGCCAGGTATGAAAATTGGACAAAATCATGACATTAACAACGCATTGCCAGCTAGCTAGTTAACTTAGTTAATTTAGCATCAAGTTAGCTAGCTAACGCTAGCTGCCTGACTTTACTTGCTCGCTAGGCTTGCGTAATTTCCCTATGTTTCCTCAGTCTATATTTAATGCGGTGTCTGTATTTCAAAGGTGTTATGATAGTCAGTTAACGTTAGCTAGATAACAAATATGGTATTTTTGGCTAGCTAGCTAGGCAGCTAGCACTACTAGCTCGCTAGACACTGCTGGTGACGTTAGGTGAAACTGATAATAATAAGATGAACAGTAACTAAATGTACTGAATAAATATATCTGGTAGGCTAATCTTTACACTACCCTAATTTACTTTGTTCTATGTTACTGAATTGGCCCAGAATATCTTACTGAGGTTGATGCTGTTAATGGACCTAATTCAAGTTCTTCAGTGACACATGATTGAGTGTTGACACTTGATTCTCATCTAATAACAACACTCTCTCTTTCAAACCAGGATGGCCCCACCGCCACCCCCCATGGCCAGGGCTGCACCCCCTCCATCCTACGCCCCAGCGCCTGCCCATGCCCCTCCGTCTGCCATGGCTGTCCCAGCCGCTGCTGCTCCCCGGCAGCCAGGCATGTTTGCGCAGATGGCCACCACAGCCGCTGGGGTAGCCGTTGGCTCAGCCGCAGGGCACATGATCGGCCACGCAATGACCGGAGGAATGGGTGGGGGCGGAGGAAGCCAAGAGGCTGCCAAGCCTGATGTCACCTACCAGGTAGGTGATCACTGCTTAGTCATAGTGAGTGACAGGGCCATGGGATTGAAGTGGCTTTGTGTCATGTAGCCTAGTTAGTAGTGGTAGTGATGAGTATGAGCGAGTCAGAGAGGGATCGAGAGGATAAGCCATGAAGGATTACACCCTGTGCCAGGCCTTAAAGAAAGGGCATCTAAATAGTTGAGAATAACATCAACACTAACCTCAAATGCTTTATTATGTTTCTCAGGAGCAGCCCCAGCAGTACCAGCAGCAGTACCAACAGCCACCTCCCATGTACCAGCCAGCCCAGTATCAGCAGCAGCCCCAGTCCATGTTCCAGCAGGAGCCTGCCCCTCAGCAGGGAACCTGCTCATACGAGCTCAAGCAGTTTATTGAGTGTGCTCAGACCCAGAGCGACCTGAAACTATGTGAGGGCTTCAGTGAGGTGCTCAAGCAGTGCAAGTTCTCAAATGGTGAGTCTAAAAATGTGTGTTAATACAATCTTAGCTGTTACTGGAAATATTTGTGAAAAAGAGGGTGCTTTATGCATCCCTGAAAGTTTTTTAAATAGTGACGTTGTATCATGACTATTATATGCATTCATTAGATTTGATCAGTTGACTTGTTGTCTATCCCTTGCCTTACCTGGTGTCACTGTCACCTTTTGGAATAGGATTAATATAAGGTTTTTATGTCAGTGAGTGTTCTTCAGTCTGGTTCCTGGATAGTGTTCTGTATGTGTCTGGCATTCATTCAATTAAGACTGACTCTTGAGTCAGCTGAGCTAATTTGTTGAATGCCCCACAAAATGTAGCTAGGCCCACTTTAATGTATGTCCTCAGAGATGCTCATAGTAGTTACGAGGTCCCACTTAATATTCTTGGCCCCCAAGATCTTTAACCACAAATGTATGCAATACATCGTCGTCCAGGGTAGGGGAGGGAATGGCCGGCAGGGATGTAGCTCAGTTGGTAGAGCATGGCATTTGCAACGCCAGGGTTGTGGGTTCGATTCCCACAGGGGGTTGGAAAAAAAATAATGTATGCATTCACTAACTGTAAGTCGCTCTGGATAAGAGCGTCTGCTAAATGACTAAAATGTAAATGTAAAATGTACACTAAGTGGCCATAGGGTGATGCAGAACTATGAGACATTAAATCATGAAATGTGTAGCAGCTCATGCCAGGCTCTCACACATTTGATTTCACTGTGAGTAAGGACAGTCCCCCATTTCCGGTGAGGGAGTTGCTGATAAAAAAAAAAAAGTTCACAAAATGTTTTCCCTAATGTTGAGCCGGGGGCTGGTCTAGGGGTAGTGCTGCTGCCATGCATTGCCCCTGGAGTCCCTCTATCTCCATCTATCAATAAAAACTACAAAATACGTACAATTTCCTTAATGTAACTTTTTTTTTTTCCCTCCACAGGGATGTCCTGAGAGGGAGACAAACAACCCCATCAACGCTGAACGCACACACTCAACATACACACAATACTACTAAAGAAGTAATTTACAAACACTCGATAGACTTGGCTTTGTTTGGCAGTTGATCAAATAACTGTTAATCATCATATATGGACAATAAAAACATTTTCCTCAGGTTGATGCTGTGAAGCTTGTAATAATAGTCATATGTATATGTTTATTTTTTTGTTGCATGTTTTCATTTTAAATGAACTACATGTTTGATTGGCTTTAGTGCTTAAACCTGGGGTGTATTCATTACGTCTTGAAACGGTTTACCTTTTAAAGAACCAAAGGGAATGAAACAGGAGGGACCTACCTGAATTTGTACAATAGAAACTTGTTTTCGTTGCAAAACTTTTTGCAACAGACTAAACGTTTTGCTACAGAATCGGCATAATGAATACACCCCTGTTGTAAATTAACCTGGTCCCTAGGCTCAGCCAGCTGGGGACAAGATTAGTCGTACATATATCTGATGTATTTTAACAGTGATATTCCCTCATAGCCTGGTTAAACCAGATTAAAAGTAGCGATTGAAATCCGTTAGGATGCCAGGCTAACTCCCTCATAGATCACAATGTAAACTTCATTGATGGTAGATATTCCCTGGGTCCACCCATTTCCATCATATCTGGATTAGGGTTGTACAATTGCAATTTGCTTGTAACAAGCATAGGATCTAATAAAGTTATTCTGAATCACATTAAAGAATCTTCTGAATCACATTCTCTCATCCCTGATGGCTCTCTTGCATGCAGTGATAATGTGATGCAGTATTACATAAATTGTATCATCGTTGTGGAACATTTGTCTGAGTAACACTAGACTAGAGCAAGAAGAACATGCAGAGGTGAGAATGTAGGCCGGTGTGTTATTTCATGAATATGAAGAAGATATGTCTACACGCGTAGTGCCTGTGCTCTTCAACTAGCACGGATTTATTTTGGGCATCTGACATTAGCATTCGCCCTTTTCCTATGTTAGCACAGTCCACCATGAAGACTGACCCGCTGTGTTGACATCGTTAGTGAGCTAGTTGCGCGTTTGTTCATTATATTATATCCCATTAAGTGTTTGGATTATGATGTATTTAACTGCATTGTAAGGACTAAACACGCATTGATTGATACGGTAAGTGTTGATCGTAGGAATTTAGTGTTTGTTCAATTTGACAAGATCGCGATTTAAAAGGTCAAATAGTGATAGGAGCGAAATGTACGACGGCAATTATGGCTGATAGATTTTTTTCCAGAATGACTTGATATTCAATCGGTTAGCCAAATTTGTATCAACGTGTAACACAGGCTTCAAAATGTCATTACATAGCCAGTATTTACACCAGTTCAACATGGCATCTGCATCTCTATCCCGGGTCTCCCCGTTCTGTTTATTAGACATATATCTAACCCTTACCATTAAAGGGTGCTTTTGCAGTTTGCACATGCCTCCTGTCCCGCTTGTGTGTTTTTATTTTATTTTATACAACCATTATTTTCAAAACAATTGGGCTACTGTCACCAAAAACCTACATCAATTGTCTCCTATGTGCTTGCCTATATTGCTGTTAGAGGAGTTTAGAATTGGGGATTTAATTTTACTTTAAATGTTATACATTTCACTGTGTTAGGTTTTACTAACTTATTACATTTTTCGTTAAAAGGGCGGTCAACTTCACAAATGCAGCTCAGTTCAATGAGAAAGTGAGTTTGCCCTGTATATTACCTGCTGTGTTTTTTTTATTCTTCAGCTTGTTGTCAGCAGCAGCAGTACAGTAGTCTAGTTGCCTTAGAAAACCAGTCACCCCAACATGACCAAAGAGGACGAGATCCCGGATTGGGTGGGAGCTCAGGAGTTCTATGGCAAATATGACCCCAAGGAGATCCTGGGAAGGTATGGTATCATTTGTATGGCATATGGGATTGTTGACATGAACCTCGCATGAGGTAAAAATAACATAAACCCATTTTCTATTCATTCACTGCATAGAGTGGCCCCAGATCTGTTTGTGCTGTATACCCGTAACATACTCGCATGTCAACTCAACAATGTTTGGCAATGCATCACAATGACCATATGAGTTGGCTATACAACCCAAAATGATCTGGGACCAGACTAGAACAGAAATAATTTCCACAGAAATGAGACTCTAAACAAAATAACCAATTCAATGAGATGTCCAACTCTAAACACACACCAACCTCACTTCAGTCTAGACTGTTTATGGAAGGGAGTTGGGGTTCTGTGAACTCACTAGTAAACCCTGTCATCAGGGACATCCTTTGTGTCACTGTGTGCTGTTTGTTAGTCAAGAGAGGTCTGCCATTATGTAACTAAACTACGCATTGTTGAACCAGGCAGCGTTCATTTGAGTGTGTTTTAGGACCAAGGTTTTGGCACTGAACACTACCAGTGATTGGTCAGCTAGTATTGTGTCATTATGTCATCCCACTCAGATTCACACATGCAGGTCAGGGAGTCACTTGTGTGATAAAGAATGTGTGTTCTTTTGCCATTGTTTCTGACGTGTCTCACAGAACTTTAACAAAGACAGGACAGATCAAACAGGAGACAATTCATCGTCGTTTTTTGTACATAAAAAAACATATTCAGTATGTGTGCCACATGGGAATAAAACCTACCCCAACCCTGATGTTGCCAGCATCAGACTCCAACTAACCGAGCCATTCTACCCTTGTCAGCACAAGTTACCCATTTGCCTTAAATAAAACCTTGATGATAAACCTCAAATCAAGATCCCACCACGAGATAATGTATTATAGTATGTACAGTACCCCAACCTAGCTATTGTATGTGCACTCTATGTGCCTGGAGAGTGTTGTTTTGAAGTGGACTTAGCTGTTGTCCAAATGGAAAAGTCCTAACCAGGGGTGTGTGTGAATAAGTCAGCCATTACTCCGGTGACGCACTATACCACTGTTCTTATTGGGCCGGTGGGCTCTGTGACATGTCACACAAACAACAGCGCACTGTATAGTATGGCATAACACACACATCACTTGTATTATCATATCAGTTTCCTGCACACGTAGAGAGACAACAGGCTTTTGAAGAGAACGCCTGCATTTCAACATACTGAGGGAATGTACTTGCTTTTGTGGCCTAATGCAGCTTTATGTCATTATATGGAGTATAGGCCTACATTCAAAGTGCAGAGGGTTCTCAAAAAGAAAATGGTAAGGATGAACATGTTTTTGAGGCTGCCTTAATATATAAAGCTGTGCTTCAAATATTTAAATATCTTTATCTGACAGGGATAGACAATCAGTCTCAGACTTGTGAGATTTTAGCTCTAGTAAATGTTCTGAATTAGATACACATTGTGTCCTGTATTGGTTTACTTAGGTTTGTATTACAACCTATATCATCTCTTGTGGACAGATGCACATAACATAAATGGTAGTAGCATCTTTCGACAGACTGTGGAATTAGATTTTTAGTCATTTATCATTTGGACAAATCACGATTTCAAATTTTTTGAATTTTGGAAGGGGAGGGTACATTTTGCCCATAAACTGGCCCGAAACTGGCTGAGGGTTTCCATTTAGAGAGATGGAAACTTCGCTAGTCTCGTTAGTACATTTTATAACACGTTTCCCCTCTAATTATAGTACCACTATGCTTCCCCAGAACTTAATCGTGAGAATCTGACACAATTACACAAGATTTTAGTTCTGGGTGTCCGAGATTACATTCTATAAAGTGAATAGAGTGGTGATGAGTGGGTTGTCAGTTCAAATCCCTGGTGGGGCACATTGCCATTGTTTCTTCGTTCTGGAACACATCTAATAAGAGAAGTTCCACTTAAGTATTCAGTTTCACAAATAAAATAAAAAACAAAATGTGTGTGATGTAACTTACTACCTTTAGATAAGACGCTATTTGTTGACATTTGTTTTTCTGTCCTTGTGCCTCAGGGGGGTGAGTAGCGTCGTGCGACGTTGTATTCATAAACAAACCCAACAGGACTATGCGGTCAAGATCATCGACGTCACTCCTTCTGACAAGATCTCGGCTGCAGAGATCGAGGAGATCAAAGAGGCCACAGTGAAGGAGATTGATATTCTCAAGAAAGTCTATGGAATGGACAACATCAGTAAGAAAAATAACACCATAATACAAACATTATTGTCCCTTTAATGGAACTGAAGGTATATAACAACAAAACTACTTGAAAAAGCTTGAGGAAGAAACACACATCCATCTAGCCTATAACTGGAGTAGGCTTAATCTGGGTTCAGAAAATGGGCTCTATAAAAACATTATTTACACATCTTGTCTAATGTGGAGTGTGGGGCACATTGACATGGATCTCTAGATTTCTGAAGTTGTTTAACAATAACTTTGTTCAAAGGCTACTCGATTATGTCTATGCATCATAGAGGGTTGGACAAATGTAGCCTTTGCTCTCCTTTACTGCTCCATAACCATATTGACTGCACATCACTTGTTTTGCTAGAAAAGGTCAAATTGATAATATAACATTTCTGTAACTCTATGGCTGTGTTTACACAGGCAGCCCAATTCAGATCTTTTTTCCCACTAATTGGTCTTATGACCAATCACATCAGATCTTTTCACCTCATATCTTTTTCAGAGCTGATCTGATTGGTCGAAAGACCAATTAGTGAAATAAATAACAGAATTGGGCTAATTGTTCTTTTGGTTATAGACATGCCTCATAACAGGTCTATTATCTCTCCACAGTCCAGCTGAAGGACTGCTATGAGTCCAAAGCCTTCTTCTTCCTGGTGTTTGACCTGTAAGTATCCAGACAGACTCTCCAGCATACAATCATGCAATCTGTCAATTTCCTAAAAAGTAATCATAAAAATCTTTATTTAACATTTAAAAAACACTATCAAATCAAGATACAAGGAAGAGTGACATTTTTAATGCACTGATTATTTTTACAGTGATTATACAGAGTACATTTGCTGGCCCTCAGGATGTATGCATAACAATTTCATCTGTCTCTCTCCCAGGATGAAGAGAGGAGAGCTGTTTGACTACCTCACAGAAAAAGTAACGCTGAGTGAGAAGGAGACCAGGTCAGAAACTCTAACTCACACACATTCATTCACTATCGTATTGGCGTACATTTGGGTTTGATCCAAATCCTCTCCCCTCCAAAATGTATATCTGGACAAGACAGTTTGGGGTTGAAGGGTTCATTAAGACATTTGAGGGACATTAGAGATTTGCTGTGCGAGTGCTTTAGATTTTGAGTGATTTGAGGCTAGTTACATTGGCCCTAAATAGAAGAGTCTTGCATGTTTAGGGAGTGTGAGAGATTTAGATCAGAAGGGACAACATTTCCCTATTTCCCTGTAGGAAGATCATGCGTGCCCTGCTGGAGGTGGTTAAGTTCCTCCACGACCAGAACATCATCCACAGAGACCTGAAGCCTGAGAATATCCTGCTGGACGACAACATGGACATCAAGCTCACTGACTTCGGCTTCTCCCTGCAGATTGAGCCCGGACAGACACTCAACGGTTAGTTAGTAGTTTCTATCGAAAGATGTGGGGTCTACGACTAGCAAAGCAAATCTAGTTAGTTACTGTACCACACAATCTCATTCTGACTGAGTGAGCAGTGAAATCATTGTAGAAACTCATCTGAATCTCCCATTTCCAATATGGCTGGCTCTGTTCCAATGTCCATACTGGCATACCACATAGAATGGAGCATTATAGCGGAAGAGAATGAAAGCTACATACTGGCGGCTCAGTCAGTGGAAGGAAGCCTCATGTTTTGAAGGTTGTGGCACTAAGTCTGAACACTAGCTGTCAGTGCTACGCAGAGGAACCCTTTCTAGCTAGTCAACGCCCCTAGGTCCTCTTCCACAACCCCCTCCCCTTCCGTCCTATCCCTGTTGTTAGCTCAAGCAAAGGTTAAGATGCAACAGGACACTTGTTGAGCTATTTGCTGCTCCCCAATCATTAGGAGTGTGTGATGACCTTTCAAAGGGCGACACTGTGACTTCTCAGCATGCACAGAACTTCAGGACTAGGAACTGCAGTCATTTGTTTGTGGAAAAATACAATCCCACACTTATACGTTTGTCAACAAATACTATATAGGTTCAGGTTGAATAATATACATGAAAGAACAGTCAATTACTGTAACAGACTATGATGTGTTTCCTGTATCAGCTTGAGACTGATGCTAAATGAATGTGTTTTTACTGTACAGTATGTATTGTATGTTTTCATATACATTTATTGTACTCAGAATTATAAGAATATACATTATTACTAATATTCACCTAGCAATGACCCCCCCCCCCCCCTATCTGTTTTCTATGCCAGAAGTGTGTGGGACCCCTGGATACCTGGCTCCTGAGATCATTGAGTGCTCCATGGACCCCAACCATAGGGGATACGGGACTGCAGTCGACATGTGAGTACTCAGATTACATACAACTACCCATTCACCTTTCCATCTACCCACTGGATACTAGATCTTGGTTAAATACTGTACATAAAGCTTCTCTGTCCTCCCACTGCTCCAGCCCTTAATTTATTTTAATACAAATTATATATAATGGAAATATTATCAATAATCAGCTTTTAAGTGCAACATTTCTTTCTAAAAGTATCCATTTAGTTAAGCTTGTTCCATAGTATTTATTTAGTTTAATAATACATGGTACCTACAGGTGACTGCCAAAATAAAGGAAACACCAACATAAAGTGTCTTAATAGGGCGTTGGGCCACCATGAGCCAGAACAGCTTCAATGCACCTTGGCATAGATTCTACAAGTGTCTGGAACTCTATTGGAGGGATGCGACATTATTCTTCCACGAGAAATTCCATCATTTGGTGTTTTGTTGATGGTGGTGGAAAACGTTGTCTCAGGTGCTGCTCCAGAATCTCCCATAAGTGTTGGTTTGGGTTGAGATCTGGTGACTGAGACGGCCATGGCATATGGTTTACATCGTTCTTATGCTAATCAAACCATCCAGTGACCACTCATGCCCTGTGAATGGGTGCATTGTCATCCTATGGGTAGCCAAAATGTCCTGGACAGCATTTTTATACATGACCCTAGGCATGATGAGATGTTAATTGCTTAATTAACTCAGAAACCACACCTGTGTGGAAGCCCCTGCTTTCAATATACTTTGTAGCCCTCATTTTCTCGTGTTTCCATAATTTTGGCAGTTACCTGTATATTCTATGGTGAAAAAAAGTCAGAGAAAAGGAAAGTGTCACTATAATCCTGATGATGATTTATTGTGATTCCAGATGGAGTTCAGGGGTGATCTTGTACACCCTGCTGGCTGGATCCCCTCCCTTCTGGCACAGAAAACAGATGATGATGCTTCGTATGATCCTAGCTGGGAACTACGACTTCTCCTCTCCTGAATGGGACGACCGCTCCGACACTATCAAAGACCTAGTGGGTTTGGAATGAACACTGTAGCTTCAAAACATGGTTAAAACTATACTTCTGACCTCATGGATAGTCAGCTGGATCCATAGCTCTGTCAATGAATACACTTTATTGGTCCATTTGCATGGATCTTCTTTATTTTTTGCTGTCACAGTACCCAATCTGACACACACATCACAGCCTGGGAGCAGCGCAGGGACTGCTGCCGAGCAGCGCCCCTGGAGCACAAGGCTGCCGCCTCAGTCCCTGCAGATTTCCTCACTGGCAGCTCGGGGGTTCAAACCCGCCCCTCTAACCTCGAGGCTACCTCCTCCCCCTAATTTGAGAGTGCCTACATTTCTATAGCCCCATCCTTCAGCTGTTTACCAAAACAGGGGGGGGGAATCCTTGATTGCCCTTTTAATGTTGCCTTATGTCTCCCTGTTTTCAGATCTCCAGGATGTTGGTGGTAAACCCAGATCAGCGTTACACAGCCCAAGACTGCCTGAACCACCCCTTCTTCCAGCAGTATGTGGTGGCTGAAGTACGACACTTCACCCCCAAGAGGAGGTTCAAGGTAAGAGCAGCAGCACTATACAAATATTCTCATGTGAGGGCCATGTGATGTCACCACGGTTGGGGATTTATGTTCATGAATTCAGAAATCCTCATGGAAAATGAGTTTTCTGAATGTCAATATCAGAACTGACTGGAATCGATGGCAGTAGATAACATAACTGTGTGGGATCAGTGACTGAACAATATATGACATCGTAATAGCTGATTCATAGGTCAAATAAATCATAACAGGCAGTCTACTGATGTACATTCAACCAACACATTCTTTCCCCCAACCCCATGTCTCCAGGTCGTCTGCATGACAGTGCTGGCCGTGATGCGCATCTACTGTAACTACCGCCGCGCCAAGCCTATCACCAAGGAGGTGATCAAGAGCGACCCGTACGCCATCAAACCCATCCGCAAGCTGATCGACGCCTGTGCCTTCAAGATATACGGCCACTGGGTCAAGAAGGGCCAGACCCAGAACAGAGCCGCCCTGTTCGAGAACACTCCCAAGGCCATCCTGCTGTCCATAGCGGCAGAGCCCGAGGACTCCTCCATGCACTCCTGGTAATGATGATGATGCTGCTGTTTGTTTCTCAGTCCAGGTCCTAAGAGGAGGGAGGTGGGACTCTACATAAGCATGCCATCTGTCCCAATTCTCTATCCTTTTTAAATCCAATGGTTTTAAATGTGTTTGGAGGAGTGTACGGCTGCACACATCGGGAGAAAGGACAGAATTGGGCTGGGCTCAGGATTTCACTCTGTCTTAATTGGGCTGATTGGAGCATGGGCGTGATGCAATAACAAAAACAACTTTGGGTGGGACACTTTAGAGATGTAGCATGAGATATAGCTTGTTCTTTGTATCAAAATTGAAGGGGGTTGGGGGTGAAAATCCATGCCAATGGATTGCAGCTATTTGTCGCTTGACTTGTATGTCTTTCAAACCTCTCCTCGGGGACCCTAAGCCATTCCCTATATTTGATCTATTCCAGAGCTAGCACACATGATTCAACTCGTCACTAATCATCAAGCCCTTATATAGGTGAATCAGGTGAGCTCGTTTAGAGCTACAACAAAATTGTGAAACGTCTGGGGGTCCCTGAAGAGAGGTTTGAGAACCACTGTTTTAAACTATGGATTGATTATAATGAAGAAGTGGGAAATATCCTAGAACTATCCCTCCAAGACCTGCACTGAGGAATATTGGTCTGCTGGTGTTTAGTACGGAACAAATAGCTAGACGACATCCACAGTGAAATATCTGTTACAACAATAGTTTTTCTAGGGCTTATACCCTTCAAACTCAACTCTGGACCTTAAAGCCAGTGCCACTGCATTTTAAAATTGTTACCCTCTAATCAGGGACTGATTTAGACCTGGGACACCGTGTGTGTAATTAATTATAAAGGTAGAACAGAAAACCAGCAGGCTCCAGACCTCGTAGGGTAAGAGTTGAATACCCCTGGCTTATACAGTATTGCAGGTCTCAGAAAGTTCAGAGATGGAAATATAGAGCATACATCAGGCTTTCTATTCTGTTCCAGTATGATAGAGAACGGTGTCCATTCTATTATATAGATTTCTGTGTTCTGAAATATTGCACCCTACTGAATTATTCCTAGATGTGAAGTGTGTTACGTTATGGTTAAAAAGGTCATTTCAACCATATAATGAGCCTCAAACTCGGCACATAAATTCCATATGCATACAGTGCTATGTAAAAGACTATGCATTACTCTGCCTGCAAAGCTTGTGAAGCTTCTTAGTACTATGTAGCTAGTGATTTTCTCCCCTTCGCTCAGTATGTGCAATGAACCCTGCATACTTTAACTGGCATGTACTATTTTGACATACATTATGTGGGTTATACTGTACTTGGTCATGTACTGTAAAGTGTTTAAGGGTGAGTGTGAGAACACTAAAATTGTATGCTAACGTTTTGATGAATTTTATTTATAAAAAAATCAGAACCTGATTGATGTATCCTAAATGGTGCAAATGTATAACTCACAAGACTCAATAGACTGATTATAATGAGCTGCAAACTCAACATCACAGAGCCAAGCTACAGGTTTATTACATACTAAGAGTGAGGTTTATACATTCTTGGTATGATCCATAGCAAAAAAAAAAAAAAGAACACATTTGTGGGAGAGAAATGAACTCATTTGTGGGATGAAATTGAGTGGCCATGTATAATATGACAGAAGGGACATATCAACAAGCAGGGGAACAAGAGCATTATTCTCCATCCACCACCTAGGATGAGAACCTAATACGGGTTCATTTATTCCCCTAGTTATTCTACGAGGCTGCTCTAATAACTAATATCTGAAGTGGTAGTCATCCACAAGATCTCATCTTGGTCATCGGTTCTGACCTTAGCCCTTCAGGGATGACATGCCTGCTCTCATGATCTCATCTACCAACAGGATGTTGCTGGCTATTACCGTGCTGTGGACAGAAAACAAACAAACCAACAACAGTTTAATCCAAAGGGTCATTGAATCTTAAATCTAAAGGGTCGTACTGATATGAGATTTTAAAAGGGTGTTCTTCTTACCATGAGTGAAGGAGTTGTTTCTTAACACTGTAGTTATCCCAAACCCCAGCTTCCGAAGCGACCATTGGTTCACCTAAAATAAAAAATAATTAATTAGTAAAGTTAATTTTAATAACAGATTTTTTTGTTTTGACATAGGAAATGGGTATGATGTATCATGCAATTGGATGTGAAATAAATAAATCCATATAGCCTCAGTTTGAGCTTTTAAGAAAAAACGTTAAGTTCCATACCAGAGCTCAGGTCGACACCAACCAGCTGACCACTCTCTTTGTACTCAGTCTGGAGTTTGACCAGGGTCTCCATTGGATCATACCCAGAGTTCTGGGCAAGGACCTGGAGAGAAAGAAACAAACACAGTCAGCTAGCAGTAGACAGCAATACTTTTCTTAAAGGGATACTTCGGGATTTTGTCAATTAAGCCATTTATCTACTTCCCCATAGCCAGATGAACTTGTGGATGCCATTTTTATGTTTCTTTGTTCAGTATGAAGGAAGTTAAGAGGTAGTTTTGCAATCCAATGCTTGCTAGCGCTAGTTAGCAATTGCACTAGCTAGCAACTTTCTTCAAACTGCACGCAGACATAAAAATGGTATCCACGAGTTCATCCGACTCTTGGAAGTAGATAAAGGGTCTCATTGGCAAAATCCCGAAGTATCCCTTAAACTAAAAGCTAGATATCCTTCATTGTCAGAGTTACATAGATGTTATATCAATAGAATGCCAAAGCATGGAAGGCATTGACAAAAATAAGAAATAACTTAAAACCTTTGTTTTCAGACTCCTTACATACCTTAGGGATGATGAGGAGGGCATCAGCGAAAGCCTGCACACCCAGCTGAGCCCGGCCCTTCACTGAGGGTTTGTGCTTTATCAGAGCATCATGCACAGCCACCTCAAAGGCCCCAGCCCCTGACACCACGCAGCCTGCAAAGTCAACACTGGGGTCAGTCTCTGAACAACAGCTGATAAGCAGTACTGAAGAGCTCAGTCAGGCACACATTGACAAACAAAATGAAGTGATTTGAGGCTAAGAGGAGTTTGAAGATGTGATTGGATGCTATCTGACCACAGACTACTCAACATTCTATGGGGAAGACTTTACAGTGGGCCATTCCTGAAGAGTTTGTGTATGCACGAAAACTAGCTACTTTGAGATCTTGGGACTAGAAGGTTCTATCTGCAAAAATGTCATTCAGAGAGAATTGGCTTTAAAGTTCCAAACCCTCATTGGTTTGAATGGTGTCAGCAATTCCTATCTTGCATTCTTATTAACTTAACCACATGAATTGGGGTATTTAAAGTATATACATAAGTAGAGAACATTGAACAGAACAAGGCTATGGCAATAAAATAAAATTAAAAGACAAATGCAGATAGAACCAGTCCCAAGCTCTCAAGTTGTATTCACTCCTCCATTGAGTAGATGAGGCACAGGACAGCACTCACACTTAGTAAAGAAGAAGTGAAAGGATGCTTTTGCATGGTGTCTGACTGCATCTACTACTGACAGAGTCACACAGAATTCGTCCATGCCTACAAAGCTCTGTTAGGCTTTACAGAATTAGCCCCATCTTGATAAAAACAAAAACTCCCCCACTCACTATGATCTGATGGTAAAGCCTAACAGAGCTGGATTCAAATAGTTTCTGATTAATCCTGCCTGGAGTGCCAGATGAACAGGGGTTGAACTTCCATTGCGGTGCTACGTACCGTCCTCGATGGCGTTCTTGACGGCCCTGAGCCCGTCCCTGACAGCGTCTTTGATCTGGGTCAGGGTGTGTTTGTTGGGTCCCTTCACCAGCAGGGTCACTGACCGGGGGTTACCACACTTCTCTACGAATGTGTACTTCTCCTCACCCTGTATGGGGGGAGAAACCCCTACATTACATATTTAACTTCATGATAAACCACAACATTACATCTTTGACCATGATATCTTACACATTTTTATTAAAATCATAGATTTTTCATAGTATTGGAAAGAAGGAACAAGGCAAGCTGATAGGCCCCTTTTGTATCCTTACTCAGTGGGTGAATGTGGCCAGTGATTCCACACACAACAGGAGGAATTCTGTACTAACTGTTTGGGAAACAGACTGGTATAGGCCATTTATGACTGCTTGTCCTGGTCATGAGGTAAAGAACCAACATGTTAACTCACCAGTGTGTGTTCATAGACCAAACCAGCCTGGCCCAGGCATTCTGGAGTGAGGTCTTCAAAAGAGTTCATGGCAATACCTCCACAGGCCAGGGTGAGTCTGCGGGGGGGGGGGGGGGGGGGGGGGGGAAGACAGGTCAGCAAGACAAAGTAAACAAATAAAAAGTAGTTACACAGACACGCTACATTGTATTCACTCCTCCACTGATTGGTGAGGCACAGGACAGCACTCACATTTAGTAAAGTAGCAGTGAAAATATGCTTTTGCATGGTGTCTGACTGATTTTACTACTGACAAGAGTAACACATCATTCTTCCAAGCCTAAGAAGTGTACCTCAGCAAAATGCACTGTTCAAGCTTGTAAACAAACAAAGATGGAGGTAGGCTATATATTGTTTTACCTTTCCATGTTCCTCCTCTTGGTCCTACGCAGAGCTACAATGCCCTCTTTGGCCAGAGCATCCAGGGAATATGGGTCAATTCCCTGTAAGAGGAAAATACAGTTGGGTTCATTAAATATCCAAAATATAATTCAAATCAATACAACTTTAATATGGTGCAACACTCAATGTACTGGTCTGCTGAATACATGCCAATGCAGAGGTTACACACCACACTTTACTGTAGCACAGAGTAAAATCCAAGGGAGCTACAAAGAAAGCACACAAGGGTGTTCACTGTACCGTCAGACACTTCTCCTTAATAAGTTAGTATTGCATGAATCTTCAAAGAATTTCCTTTGAAAGATTGATGATAGATCACAGTTCACATTTCCAAAATAATGTATTCACTGGCGAAAAAGGCAACTTCCTAGTCATACCTTCTGGTTGAGGACCACAAAGCCCTTGTTGTTATCAGCACACACTGCGTTCTTGAGCTCGATGATCTTCTTCACGCGCTCCTCAATGAACTTCCTCTCAGCAGCCACCAGCTTCTCCCTCTCGCCAGCACTCTTGTAGAAGAAGCCAGAGTTCACCTCGCTGAAAGTAAAGCAGGGGTTTATGCGAACTGACAGTTTCAAAATTCATGCTCTTTTTCACAAAGCCCCTTTACTGTAGTAGTTACATCCTATAATAGTGACTTTCCAATTTCCAAAACTCATTCCTGCTTAAAAAGACCTTTGCCTCATCTCTGAAATTAACTCAACTGCCGTACTTGTATTGTATTATTTCCCATGGAGTAGGTGAGGCACAGGACAGCACTCACCTTAGTTAAGAAGAAGTGAAAGGATGCTTTTGCATGGTATCTGAATGCATCTACTCCTGACAGAGTAACACAGAATGTTGTCCATGCCTACAAATATATTCCAGCTAGTAAAAGGCAAAGCTAGCTGCGCTAACGTTATACTGACGTTTTCTCATATTCCAAAGAGGCGTTGCAAGTGAGCACGAAGGCGTCCTCCACCCGTTTCTTCATGTCGGGATGACGGGCACCGTGGTCCAACACCAGGCCTCTTATCAGCCTAGGGCGGGGACACAAAGGTCACAACGTTGGACACAATTCGAATGTACTCTGTGTCAGTGACTGTCAGGTGAGTGTGTGTGTGTATGAGAGAGAAGTGATGATGTACACTCACTGTGTGTCGCTGTCAGTCTTATGCTTCATCTCCATGATCTCCACCATGAACAGGTCAATAGGCTCGTTGGGTCTGTGGATAGCCAGTACAGCATCCACCACAGCCTGCAAAATATCCACAAAGTGAGGGGGTGAAGTTATTAGATGTACTTATCATACAATCAGAGTACAGCACGTATAGTATTGCTTGATTCATCTTGTCCACAGAGGGAAACAAATCAGTGGCCTAGCATCCTGTTCACCCCGGACGCTTGTTCACGTTTTTGAAACTTTCTCCAAAGACCTGTCACTGAAAATGAATTTAACCTCACATTGTTCAGTGTATAATAGAATACTGTATAAAATGGCTGATTTGCTCATATTTGCAAAGGCCTACCTGTGATTTGGCTGGAGGAATGGGAGGGAGGAATATACATCAGTGGAGGCTACTGAAGGGAGGATGGCTCATAATAATGGCTGGAATGGAGCAAATGGAAAGGCATCACATACATAGAAACCATGTGTTTGATACCATTCCACTAAATGCGCTCCAGCCATTACCACGAGCCCGTCCTCCCCTAATAAAAAGGTGCCACCAACCTCCTGTGATATACATGCATAATGATATGCATGTCATTGTGTCAGTAAGGGGAAAACACGGCATGAAACCTTCTTTACTCTTCAGTTAACACACACACACACACACACACACTCTCTCAAACATACACCACTCTCTCACAAACACACACTGCTCCCAACTTTTAAAATGTTACATGCTGTCTAGACCGGGCACGTGCGCGCGTCCGCGAGCGCCATCGCGCGCATGTTGATTTTGTACATCCAGAGCAGACGCGATCCAGACACGCAGAAATATCAAAACGAACTCTGAACCAACTATATTAAATTTGGGGACAGGCCGAAACACATGAAACATTAATGGATATTTAGCTAGCTTATTTAGTGTGTTTTTTCGCATTGTTTGTAACTTATTTTGTACATAATGTTTCTGCCACGGTCTCATATGACCGAAAAGAGCTTCTGGATATCAGAACAGCGATTACTCACCTCGAACTGGATGAAGATTTTTTCTTTAACGAGTCGGATGCGAAGGATTTACTCGAGATACCCGACCAGGCCCAAATCCCTGTCATTCACATGAAGAGAAGACGTCGATACATGGGACGCAGGTCTGGATGCCTTGTGAGAATTCGTCGGCGAGTGGGTAACCCACATCTACCATCCGTCCTATTGGCCAAAATGCAATCATTGGAGAATAAACTGGATGAGCTCAGTTGAAGACTATTCTACCAACGGGACATTAAAAACTGTAATATCTAATGTTTCACCGAGTCGTGGCTGAACGACGACATACAGTTGGCTGGTTTTTCCGTGCATCGGCAAGACAGAACAGCTGCCTCCGGTAAGACAAGGGGTGGCGGTCTGTCTATTTGTCAATAACAGCTGGTGCGCGAAATCAAATATTAAGGAAGTCTTGAGGTTTTGCTCACCTGAGGTAGAGTATCTCATGATAAGCTGTAGACCACACTATTTACCAAGAGAGTTTATCTATATTTTTCGTAGCTGTCTATTTACCACCACAAACCGATGGTGGAACTAAGACCGCACTCAACGAGCTGTATAAAGCCATAAGCAAACAAGAAAATGCTCATCCATGTGGCACTCCTAGTGGCCGGGGACTTTAACGCAGGGAAACTTAATTCCGTTTTACCTCATTTCTGCCAGCATGTTAAATGTGCAAAAAAATAATAAAATAAAAATAAATCTCTAGTCCACCTTTACTCCACACACAGACGCGTACAAAGCTCTCCCTCGCCCTCCATTTGGCAAATCTGACCATAATTATATCCTCCTGCTTACAAGCAAAAACTAAAGCAGGAAGTACCAGTGACTCGCTTAATGCGGAAGTGGTCAGATGACGCAGATGCTAAAGACACAGGACTGTTTTGCTAGCACAGACTGGAATATGTTCCGGGACTCATCCAATGGCATTGAAGAGTATACCACATCAGTCACCGGCTTCATCAATAAGTGCATCGATGACGTTGTCCCCACAGTGACCGTACGTACAGTTGAAGTCGGAAGTTTACATGCACTTAGGTTGGAGTCATTAAAACTCGTTTTTCAACCACTCCACAAATGTATTGTTAACAAACTATAGTTTTGGCAAGTCGGTTAGGACATCTACTTTGTGCATGACACAAGTAATTTTTTCAACAATTGTTTAGACAGATTATTTCACTTATAATTCACTGTATCACAATCCCAGTGGGTCAGAGGTTTACATACACTAAGTTGACTGTGCCTTTAAACAGCTTGGAAAATTCCAGAAAATGATGTCATGGCTTTAGAAGCTTCTGATAGGCTAATTGACATCATTTGAGTCAATTGGAGGTGTACCTGTGGATGTATTTGTAGGCCTACCATCGAACTCAGTGCCTCTTTGCTTGACATCATGGAAAAATCAAAAGAAATCAGCCAAGACTTCAGAAAAAACTTTGTAGACCTCCACAAGTCTGGTTCATCCTTGGGAGCAATTTCCAAACACCTGATGGTACCACATTCATCTGTACAAACAATAGTACGCAAGTATAAACACCATGGGACCACGCAGCCGTCATACCGCTCAGGAAGGAGACGCGTTGTCTCCTAGAGATGAACGTACTTTGGTGCAAAAACTGCAAATCAATCCCAGACCAACAGCAAAGGACCTTGTGAAGATGCTGGAGGAAACCGGTACAAAAGTATCTATATCCACAGTAAAACAAGTCCTATATCGACACAACCTGAAAGACCGCTCGGCAAGGAAGAAGCCACTGCCTCAAAACCGCCATAAAAAAGCCAGACTACGGTTTGCAACTGCACATGGGGACAAAGATCGTACTTTTTGGAGAAATGTCCTCTGGTCTGATGAAACAAAAATAGAACTGTTTGGCCATAATGACCATTGTTATGTTTGGAGGAAAAAGGGGGTGCTTGCAAGCCGAAGAACACCATCCCAACCGTGAAGCACGGGGGTGGCAGCATCATGCTGTGGGGGTGCTTTGCTGCAGGAGGGACTGGTGCACTTCACAAAATAGATGGCATCATGAGGAAGGAAAATTATGTGGATATATTGAAGCAACATCAGTCAGGAAGTTAAAGCTTGGTCGCAAATGGGTCTTCTAACTGGACATTGACACCAAGCATACTTCCAAAGTTTTGGCAAAATGGCTTAAGGACAACAAAGTCAAGGTATTGGAGTGGCCATCACAAAGCCCTCAATCCTATAGAACATTTGTGGGCAGAACTGAAAAAGCGTGTGCGAGCAAGGAGGCCTACAAACCTGACTCAGTTATACCAGCTCTGTCAGGAGGAATAGGCCAAAATGTGGGAAGCTTGTGGAAGCCTACCCAAAACGTTTGACCCAAGTTAAACAATTTAAAGGCAATGCTACCAAATGATAATTGAGTGCATGTAAACTTCTGACCCACTGGGAATGTCATGAAAGAAATAAAAGCTGAAATAAATCATTTTCTCTACTATTATTCTGACATTTCACATTCTTAAAATAAAGTGGTGATCCTAACTGACCTAAGACAGGGAATTTGTACTAGGATTAAATGTCAGGAATTGTGAAAAACTGAGTTTAAATGTATTTGGCTAAGGTGTATGTAAACATCCGACTAACTGTACATACCCCAACCAGAAGTCATGGATTACAGGCAAAATCCACATTGAGCTAAAGGGTAGAGCTGCCGCTTTCAAGGAGCGGCACTAACCCGGGCGCTTATAAGAAATCCCGCTATGCCCTCAGACGAGCCATCAAACAGGCAAAGCGTAAATACATGACTAATATTGAATCCTACTACACCGGCTCCGACCCTCGTCGGATGTGACAGGGCTTGCAAACTATTACGGACTACAAAGGGAAGCCCAGCCGCAAGCTGCCCAGTGACAAGCCTACCAGACGAGCTAAATGACTTCTATGCGCGCTTCGAGGCAAGCAACACTGAAGCATGCATGAGAGCACCAGCTGTTTAGGACAACTGTGTGATCACGCTCGCTGTAGCCGATGTGAGCAAGACCTTTAAACAGGTCAACATTCACAAGGCCAGACGGATTACCAGGACGTGTACTCTGAGCATGTGCTGACCAACTGGCAAGTGTCTTCACTAACATTTTCAACCTCTCCCTGACCGAGTCTGTAATACCTACATGTTTCAAGCAGACTGTTACGAACCCCGTGGCTTTAAACGTCTAGGGTGGATGGACAAGAGACCCGTAACATAAATCATGCAAATTAGAATCGTGACATGGAACAGTGAGAACAAAAACTACACGACAACCATAAACTACCGTCAAACATAATTTTTTATTTTTGAACACACGGTAAAGGTTTGGGAAAAAGGGCTGAGCAGGACCCAAGAAATGAAACAATAGTGTAAAAAAAAACTAAACTGATCTTGCCTGCCTCAAGAACCGCTAAGCTACTGCTAATCATACAAAAATTACAGTGGGTGGTCCGCTCAGGTCTAACTAGTGTTTTTAGACCGTTTTCTTCCTACGGGTAATGTATGCCCAAGGGCAACTTGCTTAAATTCCCCTTTTCCCAGCAACACACAACAAAGTTACCAAACAGAGTAACCAGCAAATGAGTGAGTACACAAAACACAGGACACCACAGTATCCATACTCACATACGGAAAATAGTCTCTCTCTACAAACACAACTGACCGGCTTTTAAACAATGTGTGATTGAAAAACCAGAAACAGGTGGTGCAATGCAGAGGAATGTCCACTGATTGGTCCACCTCAGCAATCAGCAGACAAACGAATGTCAATCGACCACCAATCAGGAACATAAAGGACACCTGTGATTAGGGCAGAAGGAGAAGAAAAACACAAAAAGACACAGGATACCTGTATCCGTAACACAGACCACTATAGTCCCTGTGCCCAAGAACACCAAGATAACCTGCTTAAATGACTACCGACCCATAGCACTCACATCAGAAGCCATGAAGTGCTTTGAAAGGCTGGTCATGGCTCACATCAACACCATCATCCCAGAAACCCTAGACCCACTCCAATTTGCATACCGCCCCAACAGATCCACAGATGACACAATCTCTATTGCACTCAACACTGTCCTTTCCCACCTGGACAAAATGAACACCTACGTGAGAATGCTGTTCATTGACTACAGCTCAGCGTTCAACACCATAATGCTCACAAAGCTCATCACTAAGCTAAGGACCCTGGGACTAAACACCTCCCTCTGCAACTGGATCCTGGACTTCCTGGTGGGCCACCCCCAGGTGGTAAGGGTATGCAACAACACATCTGCCACGCTAATCTTCAACACAGGGGCCCCTCAGGGGAGCATGCTTAGTCCCCTCCTGTACTCCCTGTTCACCCATGACTGCGTGGCCAAGCACGACTCCAACACCATATTTAAGTTTGCCGACAACAGTGGTGGTAGGCCTGATCACCGACAACAATGAGACAGCCTATAGGGAGGAGGTCAGAGACCTGGAAGTGTGATGCCAGGACAACAACCTCTCCCTCAACGTGATCAAGACAAAGGAGATGACCATGGACTACAGGAAAAGGAGGGTCCATTCTCATCGACGGGGCTGTAGTGGAGCAGGTTGATTGCTTCAAGTTCCTTGATGTCCACATCACCAACGAACTATCATGGTCTAAACCCACCAAGACAGTCATGAGGAGACTGAAGAGATTTGGCCTGGGTCCTCAGATCCTCAAAAAGTTATACAGCTGCACCATCGAGAGCATCCTGACTGGTTGCATCACCAACTGGTATGGCAACTACTCGGTCCCCGACCACAAGGCGCTATAGAGGGTAGTGCGTACGGCCCAGTACATCACTGGGGCCAAGCTTCCTGCCATCCAGGACCTCTATACCAGGCGGTGTCAGAGGAAGGTCCTAAAAATTGCCTAAGACTCCAGCCACCCTAGTCATAGACAGTTCTCTCTGCTACCGCATGGCAAGCGGTACTGGAGTGCCAAGTCTAGGTCCAAAAGGCTTCTTAACAGCTTCTACCCCCAAGCCATAAGACTGCTAAACAGCTAATCAAATGGCTACCCGGAAAATGTGCATTGACTCCCCCCCTTTTTTTTACGCTGCTGCTACTCGCTGTTAATGATCTATGCATAGTCACTTTACCCAAACCTACATGTACATATTACCTCAATTACCTCGATTAACCTGTACCCCAGCACAATGAATAACATGCATGTGTACATTTATTTTGCAACGCTCGTGCACGCAATGCGAGCGGTGTGGTCAGCATGTTAGGCACCAAACAGAATTTAAGGAGCACCAAAAATACATTTATTTTTTATATAGTTTAGGCTTACATTTGGCCTATATGGATCACACCTTTGAAGCACATGATGAGTAGCAGGCCCTTTTCCTTTCTTCCTGTGCCAATCAAATTTGCCTAAACCTACTGTCAAGTTACCAGGATGTTAGCTAGCTAGGTAACATGACTGAACAACGTTGTTTGTTTTCAAACCAATAATTAGCGACCCGGGATTAGTTTAAAATGGCCCGCGACATGGTTTGTGAAATGATATAAAATTTGTGCAAATCCCGATAGAAAAAAAAAAAAGGCATCTCTGGTAATTTGGGTCATAATTCTTTACCCGTTTAGGTTAGAGCCAAGCCGTTTTCTTGCGGCAAGCATGCCTGTCGCGAAGCGGTGCTCCATTTCCCCTCTCTGACACTCAGAGGCTGCAGACTGGTCTCAGACTAGTCTGTGCTTTTGGTTATAACAGGCGATTAAATGATACAATGTATCAAAATCGCTTTGCGCGCTGCTCCAATGTAACAAATCTAAAAATCTAAAAGATTCATCAGGGTCTAGGTCTGCATCCCCGCTCGCCATCACGGCTAAATTATATATATTTTTTAACTGACGTAGGAATAGACATGCGTGAAGAGTGAACGGAGAGAAGCAGGTGAGAGGGATGGGCTGGTAGGTGATGCGGCTGGCTGCTTACAGCTACCACACGTGATATGCGCATGATAGTGAAGTGGCTATTATTGGACCTACGCATACAAGAGACTAGTGACTGTTGCTTAAATTCAACGTAATTTATGAACAAAACTGCCTTTATCAACATTTTATCAACAGGTGCCAGGAGGTTCTTTAGATCGGTAGGGCTGAAAAAGTCAGTAGTATCATATGAAACGGTACTACGGTATTCTAAAATGTTGGTATCATACGTATCATGATGTTTTGGTATCGTGGTATTACTGTGGTACCGGTATACCGTGCAACAGTACCTGAATCAAATAAATCAGCTAATCATGATATTCAGTTTAGAATGCAATTCGTTTAAAATCAGTTGTGTTTTCTAGGGATGGGGAAAAAGTGTGACACCACTCCGGCTCCCGAGTACTGGAGTTTCCCATCCCTGCTCTAAGTATTTGAAAGATTTCAAATCATTTGAACACAGACCTGGACAAGTGCTTGTTTGATGACCAATAAAGTAAAGTGAGCCAGATTCAAGAACTCTCCAACCCACCACTCAAAACAAACAGTCAAACACACACTCCTACCTCTGTGAGGAGATCAGCCAGCTCGGCGTGGACCTTGGTTCTGAGGGAAGTGCGGGCCACGTGGATGAGGGTCTCTCTGTCCATCTCTCTGGTCACCTTCATCTCCTCCAGCACCTCCAGAGCCTTATCCTTGGCTGCCTCAAAACCTTCTGCTATTATCCGTGGGTGGAGACCCTTTTTTTTGGGGGGGGGGATATCACATCAAACAGGTTGGGTAAAAACACAAGAATAGGGGGTTAACTAATGGTACTGGGATGCAGATTCTGCAACCTGCTTTAGTGGCACTGATTCTACATTTATCAATTAAATACTTTTAAGTCATCACACAACCTTGCTAAAATGAAATTATTTATCAAAATCCATTCTTTCAACAAGGAAACTACCAGTGTTGAAAAGGGTATTTCAATGACATGTTGGAGGCTTCCCCCAAGCCAAGACAAATCTCACCTCTGACACATACAGGTCTGCTTGTTTCAGGAGCTCCCCAATGATGAGCACATTGGATGTTGTACCGTCACCTGTGATGTCATCCTGTGCCGTAGCCACTTTGGCAATCAAGGATGCCGTCGGATGCTGGATTTGCTGATTGAAGACAAGACATAAGTGGCAAAGCAAGAATATAAAGCAATCTCTCACACTTAGTAAGGTTACAGCTGTTAGATTAAATGTACTGGTCTGCTGAACACATGTGGAGGAGAATGCAACTCTTCCAGTGCAGAGGTTCCAGACCACACCTTACTGCAGCAGAGCGTAAAATCCAGGGGAACTACAAAGAAAAAGCAGACATGGGTGTTCACTGTGCATCAAACTCATAGGAACATTTTTCTTACCATTTCGTGCAACAAGACATTACCATCTTTGGTCAGCTTTATGTCACCAGCCCCTGATACAAGCCTGCAAGCAAGCACACAAAAATAATTTGTTAGAGGCATGTTTGCATATTTAATACATTACTAGATGCATTGTAGACTTATGTCTCTAATCATGTGAGTATAGCTAGAAGGCAATGAGACTAGTTGTATATAAACTATGATACAGTCAGCTTTTCAGTTACATTCTCTAAAGGGCCTAGGTGTCTGCTGATTATCCTTTCCAGCTAATACCATTGGTCAGATAATCCAGTGCCCATTGTAAAACCACTCCCTGATATTCCAGCTAGCTAAATCATAGCCCTTGATCATGACTCTCAGTTCCATTACATTACACATAAGAGTCATTGGACAAAGGCATCTTCTATATGGGGGAGTTTTGTTAGGAGCCCCAATGTTCGGTCTGAACATTAACACGCATTGCTTGCGGTATGGTTTTGGAAACATAAGGACCTTATCTTTAATATCAGCGAGAAATCATTTTCAAAAAACAAAAAGGTTACATTGATAAACACTTTTATAGGGTTAGTGTTCCCACATGGTCATATCTCCATGTTACAGCACGTGTTTATGGAAGACAGACAGAAGACAGAGGGACCACCTGTGCTAATTAGCCATCTAGCATGCCCCAAACACCTGTGTGTAATGGAAGAAGGCCGCCAGAAACGTGTTGTCACTGAAAAATATTGTTGGCTGCAACTGTGATAAAGCCGGTTAAAACCATGTATATTTTGCATTTGTGAAATTATTTTGATGTGATATGAAAGTAAAGGGCTTTATGTTTCTAGAACCATAGCGCAATTGAGAGTCGATTCACGTTTAGATGGAGTATTTGGCTGTTTTGGCTGCCAGAGCCAGTCTACCTCTAAAAAGAACATGCAAGGTTCTTGAACCTTAAAGGGATACTTCGGGATTTTGGCAATGAGGCTCTTTATCTACTTCCCCAACCTGGTCTCAGAGCATTTTGTATTATTCTTTACATAAAGCAGAGACACTCCATTTAGTATGATATGTTACAAATTTGAAACATTTACAATATGTTACGAATTTGTAGACTTACAATAAGTTACGAAATTTGAAAAACGTATGTATGCTACAAATTCTAATTTCTTGTGGCTAACGTTAGCTAGCTGGATAACGTTAGCTAGGCTAGGGGTTAGGCTTATGGTTAAAGGAAAGGTTCACCCATTTTGAACGTTATATTGTTTTTGTGCATCTCTTGAGTGATGTTCAGTATGAACAATTTATGCACTCACTAACTGTAAGTCGCTCTGGATAAGAGCGTCTGCTAAATGACTGAAATGTAAATGTAATGTTCTATCGATTCCCTGTGTAATTTCATGTGTATCGGAGTTATTGGAGTTCAAGCAGGCAGATATCCGGCTGGTATGATTTAGCACTGTGATAAAGTTGCTCACTACACTGGAAAATAATAGGAATAAAACTTTTGTATCACGAAAACTTCTATCATACATGTCAGATTTCAATACTGGCCGATGTCATAACTCGGGAGGATGTCTTCTCTCGAATGAGCCATTGATCTTATTTTTGCAATATTCCTACCTCGAGAAATGTGTAATTTAAGAGCATATTTTTCCAATTTGTCTGCTTCTTTAGTCCAGGGTACATTGCATGGTGCCGTTACCAGAGATATTATAGAAAGGAGATAGGAATCTAATGAATGATGGAACGTATAACGCCCCACCCAGCAGATTGTCGACCAATCGCGTTCACGTTCTCATGCTGCGTCACTCGGTTGTTAAGCTAATCGTCACGCAATCCCTTCTCAAAGTCAGTGTATATGTCGCGAAACGTGCCTATTTTCCTTGAAAGTACGTAATGTCATGATTTCAAAGCTATACGATATTACAGATATCAAGTTAATTATCTCACATCTCAGAATATATTTGTAATGTTGTACTTCTTGTTGACAAAATACGTGCTAACGTTGGGTTTTTGAGCTAGCGCCCAATAGACTCCCATTCACTCCTTGAAGGAGAGTGCTCCTTGTCCCAGAATCACCCAGAATGGACCGTGCGGCCCATTGACGTAGCATGGGCAACGTTTCCCCATTTCCTCAAAAGTATATCTGCCGTTGCGAATTTTATACTCCACTCTGTGAGGCACATCGATCTGCAAATTGAACATGAGATTTTACCTAGCTAGCTAGCCAGCCAGCCCATAGAGAGAGCATTGCATTGTGGATTTTGTAGACTTGAGCTGCAACAGATTTCCACAATTATTTTCCATGTTGCTACCATATAACGGCAAAATGAAACATTTGTTCACAAAAAATATTGTTCTCAGATATTAGTGTTATTTAACTGTAAATTGAAGGAATGAGTGGTTTTGGGTGGATTTTTCCTTTAAGGTCAGGAGTTAGGTTAAAGAGTTATGGTTAGCTAAAATGGTTAAGGTTAGTGTTAGGATTAGCTAACATGCTAAGTAGGTGAAAAGTAGCTAAACAGTTGTAAGTAGTTGAAAAGTTGCTAAATAGCTAAAATGCTAAAGTTATCCGTGATGAGATTCGAACACACAACCTTTTATACTCCCATCTTTCGTTTTTGCCTTAAGTAACCTTCTGTCTTATGTAACCATACCAAACGTAACATACTGTAGCATACTAATTTGAGTGTCCCGGATTTACATTTACTATGTCTGACTTCCCCAGAGTCAGATGAACTCTCGGATACCATTTGTATGTCTCTGTATCCAGTATGAAGGAAGTTATAGTCCAGTGTAGCTCAGTTGTTAGAGCATGGCGCTTGCAACGCCAAGGTTGTGGATTCGATTCCCACGGGGGACCAGTATGAAAATGTATGCACTCACTAACTGTAAGTCGCTCTGGATAAGAGCGTCTGCTAAATGACTAAAATGTAAATGTAAGTTATGCTAACTAGTGTAAGTACAATGACTGGAAGTCTATAGGTACCTACTAGTATATACACTCAGACATAGCCCAGATAGTAGTTTAGGGGGGAGACTATTAAAAGACACAGAGCACTACTTTTGTGAGAGAAAAAAAAAAAATATATATATATATATATATAGGGGGGGGGGGGGGGGGGTGCTGCATCACCCTCAGCACCCCTACTTCTCGAGGCTATGCTTCTAGTGATTGTTCTAATGCTAGCGCATAGTTCAATTGTGCTAGCGGTAGTTAGCAACTTCCTTCAAACTGCACGCAGAGACATACAAATGGTATCCACGACTTTACCCGACTCTGGGGAAGTAGATAAAGGGCCTCATTGCCCAAAATCCTGAAGTAACGTTATCCCTCAAGGAGTACTACTAGTAACGGTAGGCTCCTTAAGAGTACATATTGGACTAGCTAAATCATAGCTAACTAACAGTAGTTAAAACAAGTATTTTGGAGGTGGCTAGGAAATCCACTATCTATCAGTTATGAGTTTCTTAGAAACTACTGTCTACAATGGATCTGACAAAAGAAAAACAGTTAATACAATGAATGGCCTACTGGCTGCCAGGCTACCACGATGCTAGCAGCAGTAGCATGCTAACGGCTAGCTAACATGACCAGTCGCACTCACATTTTCATTGTTCCTTTAGGTCCCAAATTACTTTTGAGCACATCCTGAAGACCACGAGCAGCGCTGATATTTACTGCAAGAGCGGCTTGAGCACGGGCCACCTCAGCTTTCGGGTTTAATGCCTTTATAGCAGTCATGATGTAAACATGAGCTATTCAGTTCATCCACGCTGTAGAATTTACAGTAACGGTTAAACTAAAAGAGGCAGGTTTCTGGAACTCTCTGGGCTTCACGTGCGGAAATTGACAGTGGTCCCGCCTTACTGTATTTCATTGGCCAGCTGTTAGACGGAAGTCCAAATTACCCTGATTGGTGGAACAATAGTTCACTCAAATATCGAAAAGGCGGAGTCAACTTGTTTGTTCACGAGATTCAACTTGGCGCTGAGCGGGGCATTATACAAATATGTTCAGGCTGAGCTGTTTAGAAGTGGATGTGATTTATAAATCATTTTCAAAAGTGCGCTGCGCCTTTCTAAGCTCTACCGTCATGAGCAACCACTTTGTATTGCACATGTGTAAAATTAAATGTTATGAATATGGACATAAATAGCAAATGTAGATGTAAAAATTGAAATATAATTTGTCTCACTGTCAAAAAGACAATGCAATTGAGGGCGCTATCCTGATCGTGGCATCAGGCCACCACTGAGTAGCGGGTAAGCTAAGGTTACGTAAAAGGAAACAGTAGTGGGCGGTCTCACGTACCGGCTTTCTTTTGATTCGCTCAGCTTTCTCTTCCTCACCAGTGAACCTATTGAATGCATCTGGGAAGTCGGACAATGCTGGAACGGTGGACAGTGCCATAACAACGCTTTAGTAACCAAGAACATTTTGCACAAACTTGTTTTCTTATTGAAGAAAGTAGACTTAGCTTGCAGGTCCAGCACATGCCAAAAAATACATAACATTTAACACCATCAAGGACACTTTGTACAGGTAATGCAGATTTATAAATTGTTCTTAAATTGATACATTATGTAACGTATTGCATGATTTCAAGTGAACTCTATTGTTTTGCTCTGTGATGCCAACCGTGCACAAATGTATCGCAGTGGAAACTCAATCTGGCAATGGCTTTCATCACCTTTTGCGCTCATGCCAGGCACTTTTTCGCGAGGGGAGTGTGACGCAACAGTTCAATTGCTGATAGTTTTCTCCAAGGCCAGGGTGCTGTTGTACTCTTTGTTGCTACTGCCTGCAACTAGAGCAAAACGTTGCACCCACCGATTTGGTTCATTCGATGTAATTTTTAACAATAGAAAATAAAAGTTAAAGTTGTTAAATCCAGTGGTGGAAAAAGTACCCAATTGTCATACTTGAGTAAAAGTAAAGATACCATAATAGAAAATGACTCAAGTAAAAGTCACCCAGTAAAATCCAGGTTGAGTAAAAGTAAAGATACCATAATAGAAAATGACTCAAGTAAAAGTCACCCAGTAAAATCCAGGTTGAGTAAAAGTCTAAAATTATTTGGTTTTAAATATACTTAAGTATCAAAAGTAAATGTAATTGCTAAAATATACTTAAGTATCAAAAGTAAAAATATAAATAATTTCAAATTCATTATATTAAGCAAACCAGACGGCACCATTTTCTTTAATTTACGGATAGCCAGGGGCACGCTCCAACACTCAGACATAATTTACAAACGAAGCATGTGTTTAGTAAATCCGACAGATTAGAGGCAGTAGGGATGACCAGGGATGTTCTCTTGATAAATGTGTGAATTAGACCATTTTCCTGCTAAGCATTAAAAATGTAACCAGTACTTTCGGGTGTCAGGAAAAATGTATGGAGTAAAAAGTAGATAATGTTCTTCAGGAATGTAGTGAAGTAAAAGTTGTCAAAAATATAAATAGTTAAGTAAAGAACAGATACCCCAAAAAACTACTTAAGAAGTACTTTTAAGTATTTTTACTTAAGTACTTTACACCACTGGTTAAATCATCAGATTGTTGCACTGCATCTGTCGATGAATCATGTACGGTACAGTAACTATCGCATGCTTGAACTGAGCACATTATTTTATTTTTCATGACGTAGCATAGTAAATGTAAATCCTGGACACTGAACATAGTATGATACAGAATGTTACGTTTGGTATAGTTAGATAAGACAGAAGGTTACTTAAGGCAGAAATGAAAGGAGGGTGATTGGTCGGGATGGGTGGACATTTCATCACAGACAATTCTAGCTAATTAGCAACTTTGCAACTAGTGAGTACTTTTTAGCTACTAAGTAACTATACTGAACAAAAATATAAACACCAAGTGTTGGTCCCATGTTTCATTAGCAGAAATAAAATATCACAGAAATGTCTCTTAAATTTTGTGCACTAATTTGTTTACATCCCTCTTAGTGAGCATTTCTCCTTTGCCAATATAATCCACCCACCTGGCAGGTGTGGCATATCAAGAAGCTGATTAAACAGCATGATCATTACACAGGTACACCTTGTGCTGGGGACAAAAAAAGGCAATTCTAAAATGTGACCGACCAGCTCGATTCAGTCTTATGTAGCAACATTTTAAATTGTGTATTTTAACATTGGTTAAAAGTAGAGACTCAGAGCTAGAAAATGTTATATATCATACACTACAGTTGAGAAACAATGGGAAAGTAATTCTGCTTTGAAAGTTGATAAACTTGGAACCCCACTTTTGAGAAAATGGCCCTTGAATGTTTTAGTACACCTACTGGAGAGCTCTTCTTTGTCTACACCCATTCAGCATCGTTCACACCCTACGTCTATCGACATGTCTGTATACAGTTGTCATTCATTATTACAGGAAAATAAACTCACAACAATATCCTTTTTTACAAGTTAATGGTGAGCTATTTAAAGAAAATAGCTTACGGTTGTGAGTGTGACGAAATAAAAGCAGAGAATTTTAGAACTTGGACACTGTCTCATTGGCCTAACGTCATATCCTAATTTGACTGGTGCAGGTCATGTTGTCCTTTACATGACCGTCTCTGGTAAACACACACTATATCAAATATAATCAAAGTTGATTTGTCACATGCACAGGATACAGAAGGTGTAAACGGTACAGTGAAATTGTTTCTTGCATAGTGCAGTCTTTTTTTTTTAGACTATCTATCTAGCTAAACAATGAACCATAATCCCAACTCATAACTTTACTACCCTGCATTAATCTACAGGTAGCTAAACACTAACCAGCTAGGTTCAATGTTAGCTAGCTAGCAAACATTAGGATATAACTAGCAATGCAAATGGCTCTGAGATATGAATAATATTACTACACAGATCATACACGTAACGTAACGTTAGCTAGCGAGCCAGCCAGCTAACGTTAGCTAGCTAGCTAACAGTAAGCTTTAACTTGCAATGAAAATGATTTTCTGACAAAATTAGAAACGTATCATATCTGAAAATGTAGCTAGCTAGACTCTCTTACCCGTATACATGGATGAACGCTTCTCCTTCTGTCACGGATGCCATGGTTGCCCTTAGTTTGAAGACGTAATCCGGAGACAGGTGTTTTATACAACAGCCTTCTCTTTTTGACTCCCTCCGCATTTGCAATCAAATGCCTGAATTTTCTCCATCTCCTTAGCTATCATACTCTGCTTCCACCAGGCATTCCACTGATTTCAAAACTCAGTCCTCCAGAAAGTGGAGAGCTAACTTTAAAAAAAATCTGCGTTAGTAAGGATTATCTACACATACTGAGCAGCTCAATCCGAACTCATCTCTCGGCATGTCCAGCCCATGCATTATCTCAGCCAATCATGGCTAGCGGGAAGGTTCCTGACGTTTTCTGTGGCTAAACCAACTAGGCTCGTAATTTAACCATTTTATTCGTATTTACAGATGGCATACACGTTTGTTATTAAGGCACATGAAAGTTCACATGCTCCAGAAGGCATTTTTGCCTAAAAACACATTTTGATAAATAAATAAAAGTTTACGTTCAAATGTCTCTCCTGTGAAGTAGTGATGCGTGACATACGCCTAGTGTGCAATTGGCATTCTGACTGCAGGAATGTCCACCAGTGCTGTAGCCAGATAATTTAATGTTAATTTCTCTACCATAAGCCGCCTCCAACGTTGTTGTAGAGAATTTGGCAGTACGTCCAACCGGCCTCAAAACCGCAGACCACGTGTAACCACGCCAGCCCACGACCTCACAACCGCAGACCACGTGTAACCACGCCAGGCCAGGACCTCCACATCCGGCTTATTCTCCTGCGGGATCATCTGAGACCAGCCAGCTGGACAACTGATGAAACTGTGGGTTTGCACAATTGAGGAATTTCTGCACAAACTGTCAGAAACCGTCTCAGGGAATCTCATCTGCGTGCTCGTCGTCCTCACCAGGGTCTTGACCTGACTGCAGTTTGGCATTGTAACTGACTTCAGTGGGCAAATGCTCACCTTCGATGGCCACTGGCACGTTGGAGAAGTGTGCTCTTCACGGATGAATCATGGTTTCAACTGTACTGGGCAGATGGCAGACAGCATCTTATGGCGTCTTGTGGGCAAGCTGTTTGCTGATGTCAACATTGTGAACAGAGTGCCCCATGGTGGGGTTATGGTATGGGCAGGCATAGGCTATGGACAATGAACACAATTTCATTTTATCGATGGAAATTTGAATGCACAGAGATACCGTGACGAGATCCTGAGGTCCATTATCGTGCCATTCATCCGCCGCCATCACCTCATGTTTCATCATGATAATGCACGGCCCCATGTAGCAAGGATCTGCACACAATTCCTGGAAGCTGAAAATGTCCCAGTTCTTCCATGGCCTGCATACTCACCAGACATGTCACCCTTTGAGCATGTTTGGGATGCTCTGGATCGACGTGTACGACAGCCTGTTCCACTTCCAGCCAATATCCAGAAACTTTGCACAGCCATTGAAGAGGAGTGGGACAACATTCCAAATGCCACAATGAACAATCTGATCAACTCTATGCGAAGGAGATGTGTCGTGCTGCATGAGGCAAATGGTGGTCACACCAGATACTGACTGGTTTTCTGATCCACGCCCTACTTTTTTTTAAAGGTATTCGTGACCAACCGATGCAAATGTGTATTCCTAGTCATGTGAAATCCATAGATTAGGGCCTAATGAATTTATTACAATTGACTGATTTCCTTATGAACTGTAACTCAGTAAAATCTTTGGAATTCTTGCATGTTGCTTTTATATTTTTTGTTCAGCATGTTGGCTAACCCTTCCCCTAACTTTAACCTAACCACTAGCCTAGCTAATGTTAGCTATCTAGCTAACATTAGCATTAGCCATCTAGCTAATGTTAGCAACAACAAATTAGACTTTTTTAACATATCATACGTATTGCAAATTCTTAACATATTGCACAAATTGCAATTCATGACACATCAAACGAATTGTAATTCGTAACATATACAAAATAGATGATGGACATCCACAAATTAATACATACCATACGAAACATTACATATCATACAGAGGGACACAGATTTACGTTTACTAAGTCCAGGTTGAAATGTTAGCTAAATGTCAAAGTGTAATTGATTTAGGTATTCAAAAATATATATTTTCAGTATCAACCATTGTCTTTGCATGCATATTAGTATTAATGCTCGATGCATATAGCAGTTGCAGATATATTACCATATTCAATCAAAACCTTTATCTGGTTTTCGGGGGAATGATTCTCAGAAGACCTCAAGTAGTCAAGGTTTTGCTTTTCCCATCTCATGACCTCTGTCTACTATTGGCAAATTGAATTACTTGTCATCCGATGCACTCATCACTTTCAATATACTGTCCTGTCCAAATAGAAATGACCACTGTCAGTTAAACAATCAATGATGTTTTTGTCTCTCCTGCGTGCTTTTGTTTCAGCATAATGACAACTTTATCACAGACAAAGGAAATCTTCCGGAGAGCAGATGCTGTGTGCTTTGATGTGGACAGCACTGTCATCAGAGAAGAAGGCATTGATGAGCTAGCCAAATTCTGCGGGGTTGGAGATGCTGTCACAGAAATGTATGTTGTGTAGCAATTCGTAATGATTTTAAGATGAAAAGCATGTGCTTTCTTCTCTCCCTTCTTTATCTAGGCCCATCTACATTCCCCTGTACCATCATTTTCTACATGTTATTTTCTAAATGTTTCATTCTCAACATATTTGTTGAGTACATTGAGTTTCTCTCATTTCAGGACTCGCCAGGCCATGGGAGGGTCAGTGACTTTTAAAACCGCTCTGACAGAGCGCCTGTCGATCATCCGATGCTCGAGGGAACAAGTGAACAAACTGATAACTGACCACCCTCCCCAGTTGACGACAGGTATTAAGTAAGTGGTTGTTGATTCAATTGGTCAATTTTTTCCCCCACTCAACACTATTTGATTATTAGCAGACTATTGTAATTGTATTGTCATTCCCACATAAAATGGTTGAACTTCCAGTAGTCTCTTCAAGCCGGGTGTCTAACCTCAAGTTGCATAATCACTTATGAAACCTGTACTAATTTCTGCATGTTGTAGAATAAATTGACACATTTCCATCCATTGTCCAGGGAGCTTGTTGATACTCTGCACCAGCGCAACGTGAAGGTGTTCCTGGTATCTGGTGGTTTCCGCTGTATCGTGGAGCATGTCGCCACTCAACTCAACATTCCTCTCCATCACGTGTATGCCAACCGCCTCAAGTTCTACTTCAATGGTAAGAGCAGATCAGAGCAGCATCAGAATCACCTCACACTGTTGCAGGGATGAACTGTGGTTGATGACTGTATGATCATTAATGTATGAATATTATGGGTTATTTTGGTTTGACGACTGGAAGCAAAAACAGGTGGCCATCTTATCACTTCAGTATCCCTGCACATTGTACATTTGGTATTGGCACTGACCCTGTATATAGCTTCCTCTCTTATTTCTTAATTCTCGTGTTTTCTTTATTATATACACTACCAGTCAAAAGTTTGGACACACCTACCAAGAAATTCCACAAATTAGCTTTTAACAAGGCACACCTGTTAATTGAAATGCATTCCAGGTGACTACCTCATGAAGCTGGTTGAGAGAATGCCAAGAGTGTGCAAAGCTGTCATCAAGGCAAAGGGAGGCTATTTGAAAAATCTCGAATATACAATATTTTTTGATTTGTTTAACACTTTTTTGGTTACTACATGATTCCATATGTGTTATTTCATAGTTTTGATGTCTTCACTATTATTCAACAATGTAGAAAATAGTAAAAATAAAGAAAAACCCTGGAATGAGTAGGGTGTCCAAACTTTTGACTGGTACTGTATATATTTTATTTGCATTAGTTATACTATTTTGATATTGATTACTGCACTGTTGGGTAGAGCTTGCAAGTGAAGCATTTTACTGTACTTGTGCATATGACAACTTGAACTGAACTTCAGAGGGCTGGTTTCAGCCAAGCAAGCAGTAGATTGGCCTCTACAGGAAGGAATTCTTTACTAATTCAAACCGTAATATTTTCCTCCTAGGTGAGTATGCTGGCTTTGACGAGACCCAGCCCACATCTGAGAGTAATGGAAAGGGGAAGGTGATCAGCATGCTCAAGGAGAAGCACAGCTTCAAGAACGTGGTGATGATTGGCGATGGAGCCACAGACCTGGAGGCCTGTCCCCCTGCAGTAAGTGTTGTCTTGTCAATACACTTAAAGACAGGTGACAAGCTAGTATTTATAGCTGTTACTTATGTCATCTCCAGCGTTCTGTCATAGAATACTTTATTGTCCATCTTGTGAAGGAAATTTGTATTTTTTTCTATCTGCTCCCAACACCCCTAGACACCACAGAAACGCACACACACAACACATTTTAGGTGGAGCACAGAGTTAACAGCAGTGCAGTGCCCGTGGAGGAGTTACAGTTGAAGTCGGAAGTTTACATACACCTTAGCCAAATACATTTAAACTCAGTTTTTCACAATTCCTGGCATTTAATCCTGTCTTAGGTCAGTTAGGATCACCACTTTATTTTAAGAATGTGAAATGTCAGAATAATAGTAGAGAGAATGATTGATTTATTTAAGCTTTTATTTCTTTCATCACATTCCCAGTGGGTCAGAAGTTTACATACACTCAATTAGTATTTGGTAGCATTGCCTTTAAATTGTTCGGGTAGCCTTCCACAAGCTTCCCACAATAAGTTGGGTAAATTTTGGCTCATTCCTCCTGACAGAGCTGGTGTAACTGAGTCAGGTTTGTAGGCCTCCTTGCTCGCACACGCCTTTTCAGTTCTGCCCACACATTTTCTATAGGATTGAGGTCAGGGCTTTGTGATGGCCACTCCAATACCTTGACTTTGTTGTCCTTAAGCCATTTTGCCACAACTTTGGAAGTATGCTTGGGGTCATTGTCCATTTGGAAGACCCATTTGCGACCAATCTTTAACTTCCTGACTGATATCTTGAGATGTTGCTTCAATATATCCACATAATTTTCCTTCCTCATGATGCCATCTATTTTGTGAAGTGCACCAGTCCATCCTGTAGCAAAGCACCCCCACAGCATGATGCTGCCACCCCCGTGCTTCACAGTTGAGATGGTGTTCTTCGGCTTGCAAGCGTCCTCCTGTTTCCTCCAAACATAACGATGGTCATTATGGCCAAACAGTTCTATTTTTGTTTCATCAGACCAGAGGACATTTCTCCAAAAAGTACGATCTTTGTCCCCATGTGCAGATGCAAACCGTAGTCTGGCTTTTTTATGGCGGTTTTGGAGAAGTGGCTTCTTCCTTGCTGAGCGGCCTTTCAGGTTATGTCGATATAGGGCTCGTTTTACTGTGGATGTAAATACTTCTGTACCCGTTTCCTCCAGCATCTTCACAAGGTCCTTTGCTGTGGTTCTGGGATTGATTTGCAGTTTTCGCACCAAAGTACGTTCATCTCTAGGAGACAGAACGCGTCTCCTTCCTGGGTGGTATGATGGCTGCGTGGTCCAATGGTGTTTATACTTGCGTACTATTGTTTGTACAGATGAATGTGGTACCATCAGGTGTTTGGAAATTGCTCCCAAGGATGAACCATACTTGAGGTCTATAATTCATTTGGCTGATTTCTTTTGATTTTCCCATGATGTCAAGCAAAGAGGCACTGAGTTTGAAGGTAGGCCTTAAAATACATCCACAGGTACACCTCCAATTGACTCAAATGATGTCAATTAGCCTATCAGAAGCTTCTAAAGCTATGACATCATTTTCTGGAATTTTCCAAGCTGTTTAAAGGCACAGTCAACTTAGTGTATGTAAACCTCTGACCCACTGGAATTGTGATAGTGAATTATAAGTGAAATAATCTGTCTGTAAACAATTGTTGGAAAAATGACTTGTCATGCACAAAGTAGATGTCCTAACCGACTTGCCAAAACTATAGTTTGTTAACAAGAAATGTGTGGAGTGGTTGAAAAACGAGTTTTAATGACTCCAACCTAAGTGTATGTAAACTTCCCACTTCAACTGTAATTATTAAGTGCCTTTTTCAAAGACACAATTGCAGGGGTGTATTCACTAGGAACCAAACAGAAGCAAACGGAATGAACCGGGGAGGAACCTACCTGAATGTATCTAATAGAAACTCTAGTTTGCATTGCAAAACATTTTGCTACGGTCTGCAACTAATGAATACACCCCAGTACTAGATTGTCAGGCGTTAAAGGCAGCTATAATGTAAAGTAACACTGGAATAATGGACACTGGATGCCTTTTGACTTTTAAGCTATTTTCCTCACTACATTGTTTTGTTTTTCAGAATGCATTCATTGGATTTGGTGGAAACGTGGTCAGGCAGCAAGTAAAGGGGAGAAGTTTGTGGTACGTCACAAGTTTTGGAGAGCTGCTAAAAGAACTGGAGAAGATTTAACAAGGAAATACCATACAAACTTGAACCCTCTTACAACTATTGTTACTAATGCTAACATCAGTGTTTTATTTTCACCTAATGGTGTGCCTTTTATGGTTTTATCCAGTGCACACTTTTTATTTAATTTCCAGTCAATAGATTTTTTTTTTTTATGAATGAAAATGTTTCCACTACAAGTGTCTTCTTGGGTTTGACCCTTGTTGATTTTTCTACTAGAGAATATTTAAAAAAATTCAGGTTAACTAAATGTTATCCTTTTTGGAGGGATTTGAGCAGGGTTGGAGTCAATTCCATTTCAATTCAGTATTTTAGTTTAATTACAGAATTAATTTAATCCAATCCTGGATGTGTTTTTAAACTGCACTTTTGTGGTTTTGTCCTCATTTCAAAGCTTTAGTGGTAAGGATAATAAAACTACTGCATTTTACAATATGTGCATTTGTTTTAATTTTGCTATTAACACTAATAGTAAAAGTGTAAAATGCAGTTCTCAGTGTGCGTGGTCATTTACTTGTTTGTTTGCTTTGTGTCAACAGCCTCATGGTACCATCCACTAAACAATGACAAACACATAACTCACACACATCCATATTGTACTGGCTAGCACATAGTCCAGCAACAAAGGGCAGCATTACCACAGTTTCTCTTTGAATAACTTTATGTGCTGACAATTCTTGCCACCTTTGTGTAATAAATACCCTGTAAATCAGGGAATAAAACTAGTATGAGGCATGCTACTATCAACCCTGAAACCTCTTTAAAATCATGAGTAGCAGCATGACTCCACAATTAGATTTTCATTTCAGTACATCGGTAGTTGTACATTGCACAGAAATATTCCATGATAATATTAGACTTGTGGTTTAACCCTTTACAGAATAGATTATTCATTATGCCCAACCAGAAACATGTTAAAATCTGATAAAACGTCTTGGAAAAACTGGACATGCAATATTTTCTCCACAAGGGTAAAACAAGCCATGTTCACTAAACCAGTACAATAACAACAAGCCATGTTCACTAAACCAGTACAATAACAACACGTCAAGCTTATTGCAGATGGGAAAGAAATAGGGAGAGAAAGCCCACGATTGCAATCAATACAAGTACTTGAAAAAATTCACAGAAGACATTTAGGGTTAAAATAGGCATGGCCTTTAGCTCTGTATTCATCATACCAGTTCTCAAATAAATCAAAGTTTATTTGTCGTGTACTCAGATTATCAGATGCTAATGTAGGTGCAGCGAAATGCTTGTGTTTCTAGCTCCAGCTGTGCAGTAAATGTCTAACAGTACAATACTAATACACAAATGATCCCAATAAATAATGTTCACGCTCAGTGCCTTCACTTCATAAAAGTTAAATAATTGACCATTTAGTAGATATTCTCTCCGTTGACAAAATACAGTAACAATGCACTTTTGCCATTTGGACTGTCTTTCTAGAACTCATTTTAGTCATTTCTTAGATTTCATCCAAAAGCGTAATTTTGCAATGCAACAATGTGATTCATATATTTATTCAATATGTACATTAAATTAAAAAAATACAGCTAAATCACACATTGTGCATGTATAGTGATATTTGTCAAGTCGTGCCATATTTGTAAAGTCCCCTGTAGCTCAGTTGGTAGAGCATGGCGCTTGCAACGCCAGGGTTGTGGGTTCGTTTCCCACAGGGGGCCAGTATGAAAATGTATGCACTCACTAACTGTAAGTCGCTCTGGATAAGAGCGTCTGCTAAATGACTAAAATGTAAATGTAAATAGTTGGCCAATGTATTAGCTCAATTCTTATTCACTGCAAACAGAACACACTGCTAGGCTAGCCCTCTTTTTTCAAAGCAGCACTTTGGTTGGTTCTAAAAATAGACTACATCAGCTGTGGCCAAGTGATCAGTGTTAATATGACCCAGTACGTTGGACATCAGTTCTCCACCCAACCACTATCAGGTTTCAATATGCTGATTTTGCCCATCCAGTCTCCCAAGGACAAAAAAGCAGTTGTGAGCTCTCATGCCAGTGCTTTACAGTTCTTTCAATTATGGGAAAAGTATTTTAGCCAACAGCGTCAAGATGGGATATGATAATACTTTAACCTCCTGTGTCTCAGTGATGTTTTTTAAGTACCAAATATTGTTTGCTGGTGCAAAGTCAGAAATGGGTAAAGTAAAAGACAAACCAAATCAGAGGGAGGTTGGTTGGTTGGCAACATTAATTAGAGGTTGAGACCACGGCAGTGAGATTTTAGACTTTTTGTTACATTTAAACAGGTGAGGCTTGGCGTTCGGCCTTCTGTGTTCTCTCATAGGTTACTGCAGCGGGGAAGCCTTCATTGGGATCATGATTCTGGAGTCCATATGCTGAATGAGAGGAACTAAAACAGAGATACATGATCAGATGAGAGTTCAAAGTATTTCATATTGTTTTCATTTTTAAAAAGTGCGCACACTTTGTGAAAGTACACTTCATAACAGATTTTGCTCACCTGTATAATACACAACCTCATCCCAACCCTCATGTTGCCAAGCTGCGTTCCTTGTGGCTTCTCTGGCCTCAAGGTCTTTGTAAGCTGAAATCAACAATGAAACACTGCATTATAAAATGAATGTTAGTCTTCTTTCAGAAAAAGAATAACAGCTTTGTATATAAGAGAGCCTAAAAGCCTAGTACGAGAGGCTACATGAATGTTAGATCTGTGTGAATGAATGAGAGGAGAGGGGAGGAAAGGAGAGAGGAGCGATACAGCTGGTCTGCCTGGCCTCACCCCAGAGGTGGTGCACCATGTAGAGGTTTCCGATCTGGGAGAAGAACCCTCCCACAGCCTCACTGTTGTGCTGGCGGTAGCCAATTGCTCTGGCCCTTGGGAAAACAACGGGCCAATCACAACATCAGTCACAACACTTCCCCACAACCAATGCTTCATCTTCACATTTGCTCAAGGCCATCCCATGCAGATCATTATTTTTTTATATCTATTTAACCTTTATTTATACAGGTATTCAATTAAGAACATATTCTTATTTGCCATGATGACCTGTCAAAGAGGCGAGCACAGCAGCCATATACAATTACAATGGGCTACTGTCCTGTTTGGACACTCATTTGACTATTCATACGGTTTGATTGAACTTGCTTGAAAACGATCATTCCAGTTTGGCAGAACCGGTTGGCTATACAGACAGTTGGATTGGACGTACTCATGCATCGAGACCGCTATCTGTATGGTGTGGGATTGGAGATATTTAATTATTGGCTCTGAACCAGTCCCATTAGTCATTGTATATACAATCATATCAATTACAATCATGTACAGTTATTTTGATTACCCAAATCATACTGACTTAATTCACGTTGTCAGCATTTGTTGTTTTAACAATGTGGCATGACTTAGAAAAAACTAAATTTTCCCCAATTAGAATGAGTAATTCTGATCAATTACTGATTCAAATAATCAGAGTACGCACAATCACAAATTAAAACGTATTTTGGCAGACAAGGTCGAAGAATTCAGAACAATTAATTAACATTGAAATATTGAATATTTGTCATAAACGAACAAATGTGTTTTCAACATAAACCTGAGAGAAAGGAATCGTCCAGGCTCATAGGCTCCTGTTGAAAGTAAACAACTAAATTCAATCTGAAAATAGCAAGGACAGTAGTAGAATCTCCCTTTAAGACCTGTGCACTCTGGGATCTAACAATAGAGTTTCAAAACAGCGTCTCTCTGGAATAGCTTTTATTAATGAGAAAATGGGAAGAAAGTGTTAACCGAAAAATAAACTATATGCTGTAAGTAAAGATGATGAGTAATTCAAATGTAAATCAGGTTGCCTTACCAGTAATTACCCCACTCAATCATGGTGCCAGGCTGAAAAAAGGAAACATGAGAAAAAAGTTTTTGTATTTCACAGGAATAGCTAATTGTGTGACAATTTCCTCCAAGATTCAAAATAAATCATAATGGCCCTTTCACATGGATTGCAATATAGGCCTGCATTTAAGAGCATAATGTTTCCATAGAGCATACACAAACTCTCCAATGTTTATGTCAACAATTGCCCACCCTTTGTATCATCTGGTGGTGATTCATATGTGTTCAGCAATGTAGCACCCTCCTAAACTAAACCCCTAGTAGTGCTATGGTTAATGAGGTTCAATCACTCAGTACTCACTCTGAGCTGGTAGGACCTGAGCTCGTAGATGTTGGGTCCCTTCCTGGGGATGGGCTCATTCCAGAAGCTGAACTCCAGGAGCAGTTGGTTCCTACGAGACAACAGCATCTTTCCTCTCTCCTCCCGGTACTTCATGAACTCCTGTGGATGAACGTAACGGAAGGACGTCAATCTGGGTGTCAACCTCACATCAATAAGCACATCTGAAACCTTCCGGTATATCTAGAGAGGGGTTCGTTAGGAGGGCTGGACAAAAGCCAGCACACCCAGTAGCTCTTCAGGAGGAAGGTTGGCCACTCTGTATATGAGCTAATGTGACAGGCAACCTCAGACAGTACTAGCATATGAAGCTATATTCAAGACTACTATATTCAATGTGAAGGCTTCTAGACGCTGCCGGTGAGGAATTGACAGTCATGGAACAGTTTGTTACCTTGTTCTGCCTGAGTTTGCTCATGACCTCAGTCAGAGCTGGGTACCCTCCTCTATACCGCCACATATGGACTGGAAAAACACACATAACAGACATGATTTGCAAAGCAATAATAAGCATATTCAGAGACATATCCATAATCCTTCTGATAAGTGTAAGGGCATTATTTCAGTAATGCAAAACCAACAGCCAGGGAACTATCGACAACATATGTAGACATGACAAGGGTAGACTAGGGTTAGGCCACACTGGTCCTGGAAAGGTAGATGTTTGCTAGTGCTGAGCGATTAGTGCTTTTTGAGGTCGGTTCGGTTTCGGTTTGACTATTAAAAACATAACCAACATTTCCGATTTCGATTATTTAGGTTGATTGCTGTAACAACACAGAATAAAACAATTAATAAAAGTCCCATGATGGTTGTGACTGCCCATTACTGCTTATCACTTATTAACCATTAAGTGATAGGCAGGTAGCGACTGCCCATTACTTTACTTGAATACATTATTTCAGTTGTGTATTTTACATTTGTTTTATTTGATTACTTTATTATTTCATTCCAAGTCAACATCTCATCTCTATAGAGCTGTTGCCTATGCTTTCTGACAAAATCATTATTTTGTAGTTCTTCAAAGTAAATAAGGCATTATTTTATGACTGCTGAATACCAACTATTAATCACTTAGATAATGCATTTTCAGGTAGAAAACTCGCAAAGCAACAGCTGCTCTCTATATCGCCTCATGATCGCACATTCTTCTCTCTTCTGTAGCAGGCGTAAAAGAAACACAGACCGGCCAAGTATACAAACAATGGATAATGGTCATTGTAGTTAATTACCACGTATTATGTGCTAAACTATGTAGAATATTGGCCTGTTGGAAACTACAACTCCCTACTACGTCGCACAGTTCAGGCTGGATCTGATTTATCTCTAGAGAAACTGTGCAACGTGTGCATTGAGCTCACAGAAAAAAAATAAAAAAAATAATGGAATTCAAATTATTGAACCAGCGTTGGTCAATTAGTTGCACAGAACAGAGCAAATGGAATGTCATTAAACACCTGGAAACCATGTGTTTGATGTATTTGATACCATTCCACTTACTCTGCTCCAGTCAGGGATATACGGCTGCTTAGAGCCAAACCTAGTTTTATCAACAAGAGGAATTTTAAACATTTCAATGAACAGGCCTTTTTTTGTGACCTTTATTTTTGTGAGTTTGATTGTATTACATCTATACCTGACCCAGCGTTGGCTCTGAACCACTTCTCAAATCTTTTCAATTGTATTGTAGATAAACATGCTCTCTTTAAAAAAACTGAGCATTAAAAATAGGTCTTGCCCTTGGTTCAGTCCAGAGCTATCTGAAGTCATACACAACAGAGATGCTGCCTGGGCCAAAGCTAGATTCACAGACTCAGGCCCAGACTGGCAGTCTTTCAGGCGATTGAGAAATCTGTTTAAAACTAGTTAAAAAAGCTAAATCAGATTATTATGTTAATACACTATCTAAATGTACAGGAAACCCAGCTAAATTTTGGAAAGCTGTTACTTCACTGAAGGGTTGTGTCTCCTCTTCTCTCCCCCAATTAATTAATTTAGATTCTGGCCCTATTACTGACAAAATTGATATAATGAATGCATTTAATCACCATTTTATCTCTGCGGGCTATATATATGAATGTATTTCAAAGCCAGCTCTTGAAAGAGTAGTTTGGGATGTTGATGGTGAAGATCTATTGAATGATCCTAAAAATGCTGGTCAGGAGTTTTCTTTTCGGAAATTCACTGATAAAGAAGTCCTGGATGCTTTGCTAACATTAGACAATACAAAATCCACAGTGGCTGATCATTTGGAGCCTGGTCTGCAGCTCCCTTTATTGCTGGCTCAGTAGCCCACATTTTTTATTTAACATTGTTATCAGGAAGTATTCCAAAAGCATGGAAATCCGCATATGTGCTGCCACTCCATAAGGATGGGGATACAAATGATCTTGACAACTATCACCCCATTTCAAGACTACCTTGTTTAGCTAAGATTCTTGAATCCTTGGTTAACGTACTACTTCGTTCCTTTTTATCTGATAATTGTATTTTTAATATAAACTAATCAGGGTTTAGGCCTGGGCATAGTACTACTACAGCAACCATGCTAGTTGTTAATGATCTTGTCAATGTCTTGGATGCTAAAAAGAGCTGTGCAGCCTTGTTTATTGACCTGTCAAAGGCGTTCGACAATGTTGATCATTCTGTTTAGCTGAAGAAGTTACCAAGAATAGGCCTGGGATATACAGCCTGTTTATGGTTTCAGAATTATCTTAGCGACAGAACTCAGGCCATCTTGACAGATGTAGTTCAATCTACATTTCTTGAGATTCAAAAAGGTGTTCCTCAGGGTTCGATTTTGGGTCCATTATTGTTCACCTTGTATATTAATGACATAGGAAACACTGTTAATACTTGTAACATTCATCTCTATGCAGATGACACAGTTTTGTATTCCTGTGCCACCTCAGTGCAGCAGGCCATTCGTGAACTTCAGCATGACTGATTCAATTCAGAAATCACTTACAGATCTTAAATTAGTGTTAAATACAAGTAAAACAAAGCTCATGCTGTTCTCTAGGTCACGAAATGTTGACCCTGAGGACCTGCATATTTGCGCTACAAATGGAGCCCAAATTGAGCTTGTTTCTCAATACAAGTACCTGGGTGTCTGGATTGATGACAAGTTGTGCTTTGTAACGCATATAGAAAATCTGACTAAGAAGCTAAGATTGTTTTATATCAAAATAAATCATGCCTCAGTATTGAAAATAGGAGAAATTGTTCAAACAACGCTTCTCCCTGTATTGGATTTTGGTGATATTGTTTACATGCATGCGGCAACCTCTGTTTTGAAACCCTTGGACACAGTCTACCATTTCGCAATACGTTTTATCACAGGGGACAATTTTAGGACTCATCATTGTAGTCTGTATAAAAATGTGGGATGGACCTCTCTGTCTGTAAGAAGAGAGCTGCATTCTCTTTTATTTATTTACAAAGCAAATCTTACAGAAACTCCCTTCAATAATTAAGTTAAGAATCATAAGTTACCAAACCCGTTCTCAGGAATGAATAACACTACAGATCCCTTCAATCTCCACAGATTTGCGAAAATCTGCATTTGGTTTTGCCCCTAATTTGTGGAACAATCTGCAGAGTTCACTGCAGTTAGACGTGCTGGTGCCACTCAGGAAGTTTAAATGATTGATTGAGGACCTCTATGTAGTTGAATGTGATTGCTTTTATTAAATATGTTTATTTTGTTATTATGTGCTGAATTATATTGTTTTATACACGTACAGTGAGGGAAAAAAGTATTTGATCCCCTGCTGATTTTGTACATTTGCCCACTGACAAAGACATGATCAGTCTATAATTTTAATGGTAGGTTTATTTGAACAGTGAGAGACAGAATAACAACAACAAAATCTGTCAAAAATGTTATGAATTTATTTGCATTTAATGAGGGAAATAAGTATTTGACCCCGCTGCAAAACATGACTTAGTACTTGGTGGCAAAACCCTTGTTGGCAATCACAGAGGTCAGACGTTTCTTGTAGTTGGCCACCAGGTTTGTACACATAAAGGAGGGATTTTGTCCCACTCCTCTTTGCAGATCTTCTCCAAGTCATTAAGGTTTCGAGGCTGACGTTTGGCAACTCGAACCTTCAGCTCCCTCCACAGATTTTCTATGGGATTAAGGTCTGGAGACTGGCTAGGCCACTCCAGGACCTTAATGTGCTTTTCTTGAGCCACTCCTTTGTTGCCTTGGCCGTGTGTTTTGGGTCATTGTCATGCTGGAATACCCATCCACGACCCATTTTCAATGCCCTGGCTGAGGGAAGGAGGTTCTCACCCAAGATTTGACGGTACATGGCCCCGTCCATCGTCCCTTTGATGCGGTGAAGTTGTCCTGTCCCCTTAGCAGAAAAACACCCTCAAAGCATAATGTTTCCACCTCCATGTTTGACGGTGGGGATGGTGTTCTTGGGGTCATAGGCAGCATTCCTCCTCCTCCAAACACGGCGAGTTGAGTTGATGCCAAAGAACTCGATTTTTGTCTCATCTGACCACAACACTTTCACCCAGTTCTCCTCTGAATCATTCAGATGTTCATTGGCAAACTTCAGATGGGCATGTATATGTGCTTTCTTGAGCAGGGGGACCTTGCGGGCGCTGCAGGATTTCAGTCCTTCACTGCGTAGTGTGTTACCAATTGTTTTCTTGGATGACTATGGTCCCAGCTGCCTTGAGATCATTGACAAGATCCTCCCGTGTAGTTCGGGGTTGATTCCTCACCGTTCTCATGATCATTGCAACTCCACGAGGTGAGATCTTGCATGGAGCCCCAGGCCGAGGGAGATTGACAGTTATTTTGTGTTTCTTCCATTTGCGAATAATCGCACCAACTGTTGTCACCTTCTCACCAAGCTGCTTGGCGATGGTCTTGTAGCCCATTCCAGCCTTGTGTAGGTCTACAATCTTGTCCCTGACATCCTTGGAGAGCTCTTTGGTCTTGGCCATGGTGGAGAGTTTGGAATATGATTGATTGATTGCTTCTGTGGACAGGTGTCTTTTATACAGGTAACAAACTGAGATTAGGAGCACTCCCTTTAAGAGTGTGCTCCTAATCTCAGCTCGTTACCTGTATAAAAGACACCTGGGAGCCAGAAATCTTTCTGATTGAGAGGGAATCAAATACTTATTTCCCTCATTAAAATGCAAATCAATTTATAACATTTTTGACATGCGTTTTTCTGGATTTTTTTGTTGTTATTCTGTCTCTCACTGTTCAAATAAACCTACCATTAAAATTATAGACTGATCATTTATTTTTCAGTGGGCAAACGTACAAAATCAGCAGGGGATCAAATACTTTTTTCCCCTCACTGTATAAGTGTCTGTTGTTTTATTATTCTGTTTTTATTGTAACGTACAGTGAGGGAAAAAAGTTTTTGATCCCCTGCTGATTTTGTACGTTTGCCCACTGACAAAGACATGATCAGTCTATAATTTTAATGGTAGGTTTATTTGAACAGTGAGAGACAGAATAACAACAACAAAATCCAGAAAAACGCATGTCAAAAATGTTATAAATCGATTAGCATTTTATTGAGGGAAATAAGTATTTGACCCCTCTGCAAAACATGACTTAGTACTTGGTGGCAAAACCCTTGTTGGCAATCACAGAGGTCAGACGTTTCTTGTAGTTGGCCACCAGATTTGCACACATCTCAGGAGGGATTTTGTTCCACTCCTCTTTGCAGATCTTCTCCAAGTCATTAAGGTTTCGAGGCTGACGTTTGGCAACTCGAACCTTCAGCTCCCTCCACAGATTTTCTGTGGGATTAAGGTCTGGAGACTGGCTAGGCCACTCCAGGACCTTAATGTGCTTCTCCTTGAGCCACTCCTTTGTTGCCTTGGCCGTGTGTTTTTGGTCAATGTCATGCTGGAATACCCATCCACGACCCATTTTCAATGCCCTGGCTGAGGGAAGGAGGTTCACACCCAAGATTTGATGGTACCTGGCCCCGTCCATCGTCCCTTTGATGCGGTGAAGTTGTCCTGTCCCCTTAGCAGAAAAACACCCCCAAAGCATAATGTTTCCACCTCCATGTTTGATGGTGGGGATGGTGTTCTTGGGGTCATAGGCAGCATTCCTCCTCCTCCAAACACAGCGAGTTGAGTTGATGCCAAAGAGCTCGATTTTGGTCTCATCTGACCACAACAATTTCACCCAGTTCTCCTCTGAATCATTCAGATGTTCATTGGCAAACTTCAGACGGGCCTGTATATGTGCTTTCTTGAGCAGGGGGACCTTGCGGGCGCTGCAGGATTTCAGTCCTTCACGGCGTAGTGTGTTACCAATTGTTTTCTTGGTGACTATGGTCCCAGCTGCCTTGAGATCATTGACAAGATCCTCCCGTGTAGTTCTGGGCTGATTCCTCACCGTTCTCATGATCATTGCAACTCCACGAGGTGAGATCTTGCATGGAGCCCCAGGCTGAGGGAGATTGACAGGTCTTTTGTGTTTCTTCCATTTGCAAATAATCGCACCAACTGTTGTCACCTTCTCACCAAGCTGCTTGGCGATGGTCTTGTAGCCCATTCCAGCCTTGTGTAGGTCTACAATCTTGTCCCTGACATCCTTGGAGAGCTCTTTGGTCTTGGCCATGGTGGAGAGTTTGGAATCTGATTGATTGATTGCTTCTGTGGACAGGTGTCTTTTACACAGGTAACAAGCTGAAATTAGGAGCACTCCCTTTAAGAGTGTGCTTCTAATCTCTGCTCGTTACCTGTGTAAAAGACACCTGGGAGCCAGAAATCTTTCTGATTGAGAGGGGGTCAAATACTTATTTCCCTCATTGAAATGCAAATCAATTTATAACATTTTTGACATGTGTTTTTCTGGATTTTTTTGTTGTTATTCTGTCTCTCACTGTTCAAATAAACCTACCATTAAAATTATAGACTGATAATTTCTTTGTCAGTGGGCAAACGTACAAAATCAGCAGGGGATCAAATACTTTTTTCCCTCACTGTATACAAGGCTCTCTTGTGAAATAGATTTTTTATCTCAATGTGACTCCCTGTTTAAATAAAGGTTAAATAAAAACAAATTAAATAAAAACAAATAAAACACAAGCCCGTTCTCCCTAATTAAGGTGCCACCAACCTCCTGTGATTAGTTGTTTAAAAAACTAAAAATATCCAACATTCCGGTTAATAGCGCAGCACTAATGTTTGCAGGCTTTGTTATTATTGCTAGGTGGGTGTAAAGCCAACTTAATTTAATCATCATCTCACTAGGAAAATGTGCGAAACTGGTTCAATGAAGCCCATTTCTCCTGAACTAAGGTTGCATATCCCTGCAGGTGTGCCAATTCCAGAGAATGTGCAGTTCAACTAGACTAGAAAGTGGAGGAGTGTGTGCTCTGCTGCCAGCATTCTTACCAGCCTGGTCCTGCTCTCCATACCAGGTGTTCCAGGTACCCACGAGCTCACAGGGATAGTACTTATCATTATGGATAGATGGTAGGGTCTCCTCACTGTCAATAGAAAGCAATAACAAACATATTCTACTGGGGAGCCTAGCAATTAAGAGCATTGGGCCAGTAACCGAAGGGTCGCTGGTTCGAATCCCTGAGCCGGCAAGATGAAAAAAATCTGCCGTTCTGCCCTTGAGCAAGGCAGTTAACCCCCAATAACAACTGCTCCCCGGGCACCGATGACGTGTAAGTCGATTAAGGCAGCCCTCCGCACCTCTCTGATTCAGAGGGGTTGGGTTAAATGCGGAAGACACATTTTGGTTTAATGCATTCAGTTGTACAACTGACTAGGTACCCCATTTCCCCTTCCCCTAATAATAATTGTATGATATATAATATAAAAATATGACCGTTATTATGACTATAACTGTTCTTATTGATGCCTGGATGCAATAATTTGATGTTAGCACAGACACCACTGCAGCTTTCTTGTCAGGTTTCTCTTAGAACTTCAACATACACTTCCCAGCTAAATAGAATGTTCTATAACAATCCCCATCACAAATGTTTAAAATAGGTATTTTGGCTGTGTCTTCTGTGTGTTCTGTGTCTAAACCAGTTGTGCAGATTATACGATAAGTAAAAGGTTATTATGACTGAGTCATCTTAAATATGAGCATAGATAAATTATTCTACACACTGTTGCCATGCCAGCATGTCAATTGCGTCACTGGAATAGAACTTTAGACATTTGGGCTAAACTCTGCTATTACGGAAAAACCACATGAATTTCACGTAATCTTATGTGACGTTAATTTGACAACATGTGGTAACATGTGATAACACGAAACTACACATGTGAAAACAATGTGAAGTGTTTCAAAAACACGTTTTCACGTCATGTCATTTTCCACATGTGAAATCATGTGTTTTTTCTTTAAGTGTGCACAACCCACTGGTGACACCAGCTGTGCAGTCATATAATATCACCATTACTACCGTTTACATTATATCACACATACTCAACAACCAAATGAAACAATAATTTGGGACAGTACTACCCTCGGTAAGGCTACTACTTGACAGTACTACCCTCGGTAAGGCTACTACTTGACAGTACTACCCTCGGTAAGGCTACTACTTGAGGGGCTTTAGGTATAAAGGCCTAGACTGAACAAGGTCCATGCTACTTACCAAAGCTGGTTGTAGGCATCCTGGCACTCTGGTTTCACGTTATGGACTGTAACAGAACAATCTCTATTAGACATAGTGCCCTCTGTTTTGGAAGGGGTTAAATTGGTCACACTTTACATTACAGTCAAGATCTGTATGTACAGTGAAACAAGTATTGTAATTACTAATTTCTACAATATACTTACTTCTTACAATATGCTTATGGTTATTCCACTGCACTCAAAACTCTGAAATATAAAAAGTAATTTGGAATTAAAGTAAACAAGTTACAGTAAAGCACAACTTACACTGGATTTTGTAGAGGTTGCTTTCCTCATTCTTGGTTAGCAAGTGGGAGTGGGCATCCTTTCTGGGATCAACTTTACGCACAAATAGCGACTTGAACCAGCTATCTTCACGATTCCTATGGTTTGATGCTGACAACCCCCTGGAGAAAAAATACAGATGGTAGTGTTAATACATATGTGAACAGAGACATCTTATGAAGTGAGTGACTCATCTATTCCTGCATCAAAGGATTTCACTGCTGTGTAGTGAGCTGAAGTCAGATCTGTCCATGCATGCATCCCACATTCCTCTGCAGGTGAATTATGACAGAAAGGTCTAGCTAACAATAATAACAGTAACACAGGCACTGTATGATGTTGTTGCCCAAGCTACCTACACACAATGTTTGAGAAAATGCACACTAGCTTCCTACATGCAGTACCAGGTCTTGCATGTCCCTGGCTGTTTCCAAAGGAAACAACAAGCAGTGACAGTTAGAGCTAGCCACAGACTACCACTGCTGAACATACACATGCGCAATCATGGTGCTTATGAAAACAATGTATCATTGGCTAATGTTGACACTATAAGGTAAAAAAATGCCGATGTAGTAACATAGTAATGCCATGCAAAATACAGTAAGCTACACCATATATACACAAATGTATGTGGACACCCCATCAAATTAGTGGATTCGGCTAATTCAGCCACACCCGTTGCTGACAGGTGTATAAAATCGAGCACACCGCCATGCAATCTCCATAGACAAACATTGACAGTAGAATGGCCTTACTGAAGAGCTGTGACTTTCAACCTGGCACCATCATAGGATGCCACCTTTCCAACAAGACAGTTCGTCAAATTTCTGCCCTGCTAGACCTGTCCCGGTCAACTGTAAGTGATTAATCTGGGTTTGGCAGATGCCAGGAGAACGCTACCTGCCCCAATGCATAGTGCCAACTGTAAAGTTTGGTGGAGGAGGAATAATGGTCTGGGGCTGTTTTTCATGGTTCGGGCTAAGCTCCTTAGTTCCAGTGAAGGGAAATCTTAACGCTACAGCATACACTGACATTCTAGACGATTCTGTGCTTCCAACATTGTGGCAACAGTTTGGGGAAGTTCCTGTTTCAGCATGACAATGCCCCCGTGCACAAAGCGAGGTCCATACAGAACTGGACTGGAATGCACAGAGCCCTGATATCAACCCCATCGAACACCTTTGGGATGAAATGGAACACCGACTGCGAGCCAGGCCTAAACGCCCAACATCAGTGCTCAACCTCACTAACCTCAACATATAGTGGAAAGCCTTCCCAGAAGAGTGGAGGCTGTTATAGCTGCAAAGGGGGGACCAACTCCATATTAATGACCATGATTTTCGAATGAGATGTTCGACGAGCAGGTCTCCACATACTTTTGGCCATGTAGTGTATATCCACAACAGTAGCCCTACCTTTATAATATTGACCTTGAGCAAGTGTAATAATAATTGACTATTAGACAGACAATTACACTAGTAACTGGACGTGCATTACCTTCAAGAGTTTAACCATTTTAGAATAGCTCAAACTAGAAGTTGCACTAATTTGTAGCTTATCAAATCGACTACAGGCCAATAGTTGACTGGCTAGTTATTTAGGCTAACTTGCTAGCAGTCACTTGTTCAGGTTCACTCCTGCACACTTGCAGCATAGACGAGTCAGTGGGAGCCTCTATTCTCCAAAATCGTCAATGGAACAAAAGTCAGAGCCCAAACGCTTTAAATCCTAAACGTGCAAAGTAATAATAGTCACACCTGCTTAAAACGACGATCTGTCCTGTCGACTGGGCCGTTTTTCTAGCCTGATTCAGGCCATTGCCAAATCTCTGAAGGACTCGGGTCGCCATCTTCCATTGATAACCCTGGAGCGTATTCATTACGCCGATTCGGTTGCAAAACGTTTCTTAAACGGAAGCAAACGGAATGACGGGGAGGGACCTACCGAAATTTGTTCAATATAAAGTCTCGTTTTGCTCTGTTTGCTTCCGTTTAGTCTTAAACGATAAACGGTTCCCGTAATGAATACACCCCCGTCCTATGCAAAAACACAGTGGAGGCTGTGAGTCTACAATGTAGCCACCAGGTGGTAGTCAAACACCAACAAATGAATGGTGTGACCAGGGGAGGACCACCAGTCCTCGGTCCTATGTTACAGTTTTTAGATACAAACTTGAAAAGGAGACTGGTGTGTGTACCTCTTCTTTGTAGACTTCACTTCTTTTTTTTGCTTGACTGAATATATCTACTGTATTTTCTGTGATTGGGGATAAATGCAATCTAAACTCAAACTCAAGGCAAGCCTGCCGGATCCGGAACAACCTCTGACTAAAACCAGAGGAAGAGGCGAAGCAATTGGGATAACTGGGCCAAAAGCCGTCTTCTCCAGCAGGTGGCGTTTTTTCGTTTACCAAGCGAGGAGTTTTTGTATGGAGGTCAATGACAGTGTCGAATTTGGATAACACAAAAAGTAATGGCTACTTGCTACGTGTGGCTTATTTGATCGAATATACGTTTCGTAATGCTTAGGTTGTTACGAGTGTACAGATAAGTAGGACACGTGACATCCCGGCATTTTTTAGAAAAACACTTTGTATCGGAGTTGTGCCTGTTCACACACGTTTCTGCACTCTCATTGGCTAGAATGGTCCCACCTGATCTTGCCTCTCCCGACTGCCTTCCTTTTTGATGACATTTATTTTCATTGTTAGTGCGGCTACTTGAGTTTCTGGTCAATATAATGGATAATCTGTGCTAAAACCAAATTAAAACTATATGTGAACGGGCCAGTCTCCCCTTGACAAGTAGGCCTGATGCCATAACCCCCCCTTGAAACAACTTGTACTTTCCCGCTACCCACTCAACTTTATGCGACTGACCTTCAGTTAAACTCCCACATCAAACCTAATGGATGTTTCTTCACATTTTTCATGGAGAGAGCATGTGCTAATAGCAGTGGCGCAACTTTCATTCTGAAATATAATTGTTGTCCCCCCCCCCCAGTTTTATCATTGGAATATGATACAAGACGAGGCAACGGTGTGCTTTAGGACCATGCGGATTCCTCTGAGAGGTCGGTCGGGTAGGCTGTTTGCAGTGTAAAAAAAATAAAGGTTAAAAGCCTGGCTAATAGAAAAAGGGACTTGACCGGTTTGAACTAACTTTGCAACCTTTGTGACGACAACAGTTTGGTACGTTTTAAAGGCTAGATAGCTGACTTGAAAAATCCAGATTGAACAAACCTTTGCAACTTGTCCGGAGATAGCCACATCGCTGCATGGGGTTGTGGTCGCTAGAATAGACTAGAGCAGGGGTCTTCAACCTTTTCTTGCCCAGGGATCCAATGTCTTGTCTTATTATCAGGTGAATGATAATGGCAAGGAAAGGTAATCCAACATTTTAAAATTAATAGATTTGGTAGATAGTTTTTCATTATTTTGGCCTCCCATTTTACATTTTTGTCATTTAGCAGACGCTCTTATCCAGAGCGACTTACAGTTAGTGAGTGCATACATTTTTCATACTGGCCCCCCGTGGGCTCCCCACATTACAATTGGAAGAGGAAGTGTAAACTGAACTCCAACATAGCCTATTAGCAAGAAAGATAACTCCAAACACATTTTCACTAATAGCATCTGTTTAGCTGGTTAAACAAAGGTTAGCCATGTGTTGGTAAAAATGTATGTCCAAGTCAAGATAGTTTACCAAAAGCCGGCGGCACTTGTCGTGACTGGGCTTCGGACCGCAGGTTGATATCCCTGGACTAGAGAGACTCATTGGCTACATACATTTGATATGGCTGAAATATAATTTCCCCTGTCACTTGAACTAATTATTAAAAAAAAATTCAATCATTGCAACTTCAAAACCTAACCTTTTTTAAAAATGTATTTAGGTATGTTAGTGACGGATGATGACTCCATCCAACCCTGGGCTGGCCAACATGATGGAATGAAAACGCAGAAAAGGTAGTTAGTCAACCTTCTATTAGTCAAGCTAAATGAGAACATCTGTGTAGTTTTAGTCACACTTTAGTAGCTATAACTTACTAGAGGTATAACTTACAGGTGACTGTATAACTACAGGTGAATTGGGGTATATTAGGTACACCACCACATTCATGAAAATGGTTCGCTCCTACAGACTGTCAATTACGTGGCTGTGGCTTACTATATAAAGCAGGCAGACAGGCATCAAGGCATTCAGTTACTGTTCGATTGAATGTTAGAATGGGCAAAATGAGTGACCTCGTTTTGATCATGTAGTCTTGGAAAGCACAACTCATATATACACTCCCATTCAAAAGTTTGGGGTCACTAAGAAATGTCCTTGTTTTTGAAAGAAAAGCATTTTTTTTTGTCAATTAAAATAACATAAAATTGATCAGAAATACAGTGTAGACATTGTTAATGTTGTAAATGGCTATTGTAGCTGGAAACGGCTGATTTGTAATGGAATATCTACAGAGGCCTACAGAGGCCCATTATCAGCAACCATCAGTCCTGTGTTCCAATGACACGTTGAGTTTGCTAATCCAAGTTTATCATTTTAAAAGGCTAATTGATCATTAGAAAACCCTTTTGCAATTATGTTAGCACAGCTGAAAACTGTTGTGCTGATTAAAGAAGCAATAAAACTGGCCTTGAGACTAGTTGAGTATCTGGCGCATCAGCAATTGTGGGTTCGATTACAGGCTCAAAATGGCCAGAAACAAAGAACTTTCTTCTGAAACTCATCAGCCTATTCTTGTTCTCAGAAATGAAGGCTATTCCATGCGAGGAATTGCTAAGAAACTGAAGATCTCGTGCAACGCTGTGTACTACTCCCTTCACAGAACAGTGCAAACTGGCTCTAACCAGAATAGAAAGAGGAGTGGGAGGCCCCGGTACACAACTGAGCAAGAGGACAAATACATTAGAGTGTCTAGTTTGAGAAACAGACGCCTCACAGGTCTTCAACTGGCAGCTTCATTAAATAGTACTCGCAAAACACCAGTCTCAACGTCAACAGTGAAGAGGCGACTCCGGGATGCTGACCTTCTAGGCAGAGTTGCAAAGAAAAAGCCATATCTCAGACTGCCCATCTTAATCTTTTCTTTTTATATGCCAGTCTGTGATATGGCTTTTTCTTTGCAGCTATGCCTAGTGCATTCAGAAAGTATCCAGACCTCTTGAATTTTTCCACATTTTGTTATGTTACAGCCTTATTCTAAAATTGATTAAATTATTTTTTTCCTTATCAATATACACACAATACCCCATATTGACAAAGCAAAAACAGGTTTTTAGAAATGTTTGCAAATGTATTAAAAATAAAAAACAGACATACCTTATTTAGATAAGTATTCAGACCATTTGTAGATTGATGAGAGAGAAAAAAACAATTTAATCCATTTTAGAATAAGGCTGTAATGTAACAAAATGTGTTAAGAGGTCTGAAAACTTTCTGAATGCACTGTATATAGTGTGTGTGTGTGTGTGTATGCGCTACATAACCACACTGACAGTACACATTCCCAGTTTTTCCTAGTTTCTGAAATCCCAGACCTAGGGCAACAGCAGACAACTCTCCCTGCAAATCACAAGTTTGGGTAGGCAGGGTTTAAAATGAGAGCGACATGACAGAGACGGACACAATGTGGACGCAGATAGCTAGGCCCAAGACGCTAGGCACAAGATGATCTAGCTTCTTAAAGTATCTCTGGTTAGCATAATTACCACAGCCAGTCAGTGGTTGAAAGCTTGTGACGCTAAAGTTAGCTGTCATGGTATTTGCAAAAAACGACATGCAAAATACACTTATTGAAAATATCCTTTCTGAGCTCCATTTAGCTAGCTACCAATTTTGTGTCCGGTGAGGATGTTTACGCCAGGGCACAAATGGATAAGGCTCTGGATGTATTTCCTGCGTGTCCATTTCCGCCTAGCCCAACCAGCATTTTTACCTGTGCAGACGTGTGTACTGGAACACTGTTAATGTGGGAGGCAACCTGTCTGCCTAGGGATACTAAGTTTGTCCCAGTCGAGTTTTTGGGAAACATGCATTCACTTCTTATCAATGCTACTTCAACTGTGTAGTGAACAGTTTTGACTCCTGAGCATTTAAAAAATATATATAATAATTATTTATTCTGGTTCTTTCGAACGAGTCTCAACCTTTTTATGGTCACCTGGTGTGTGGAATTAACTGAAGAAATGGGAGGTGTTCGAGTCCAGGCGTTCTGGCGGTTGTAATTCTTGGCACATAGCACCAATGGCCTCAATCATGGTCCTTGCAGGGGCCAAAGGCAGCTCACAGCTGGGCATGAGGGCCCACCGAGCCCTCCCAAAACATGGAGTCCTCTCCACAAGCCTGGGAACAGTTAGGCCTAGGCTACCTCTTTCTCTGAGTGTAATAGGTTTTCAGTATTCAGAGTGACATGCTCTCAATGCAATAAAAAGAACACAAAAAAGAACACAAAAATTATTCCAGTTTGTATTTCTTCTACCATTCATGTTATGGTGGATAGTAATGATCTATTATCACCTTTCTAAATATCTATTGTTTTGGGCGGCTGTGGGAGAAATGCAAAACAGACCCTGAAGTCTGACTGTGAACTCTATTAGGAAACTGGATCACAAGGTGGCTGCTTCTCCTACGTTGTGGTTACTTTGAGGAACTGCAGTGATGGGCTTTCAAGTTCACTCTAGCCTTGGTACTGGCAGTAAATCTTAGCTGATGATTGTGTTTTCAAATCTCACGACTGAATGCCGCAAATGATGGAAAACTCTATCAGTATGATTCAGCTTTACAATGCCAAGAGGAAATAAGTAATGGATTGTCTGTTAAGACTGTTAACAGAAAATGGAAAGTGAGATGGTGTCATGGTCATGTAAACATTCAGCACACATAAAATATATATATATTTTTTGTGAGTATTTTACCTTCCCAAAACACTAAACAGCTTTAAAACCTCTTAAGGATAAGACCCTTTTTTTCAATTT